TGAGGAGCAGGCACACAGACCCACCAAGCCATACCGATGCTGGAGGATGGAAAGCCACTTATTTAGTTAAAAAAGTAAATTCTAAATGGTCTGAGTCCCTTAGAGTTACAGTATCGTGTGTTCAGTGTGCTCTTGGCTCAGCTTTACCTCCTTAGCATGAGCAGGTAGATTTGCTGGAGCCTTAGCCCATAAGCCATGGACTTTCACCTAGACATGCTTTCGGCTGTGATTGAGTCAGTTCTCTCTGCAATCTTCCTATAAGGTGGTATGTGCTGTATTTTGTCTTTAGTGTAAGAAGAATGTTGTTAACACATAACGTTTATCCAAAGTCTAGGACTTTTGTAGTGTCCCATGCTCTGCTGATAAAGCACAAACCAGAAGATAAGGAGCTACCACTATCAGCAGGAGCTGCAAATAAACAAGGTAAGAACAGTTCATGGCCCCTATGGAAGCAGAGGAAGAACCCAGTAAGGTGTTGGAAGGCTCCAGGCCAAAAAAATCAGGAGTAGGGAGTGGAAAGGGAACCCATGGGCTCACTGGACCTGCCACTGCAAAGGGCCCCCAGTCCCAGCAGGAAAAGCCTTGGGTTGGGGATGTGCAACTCGTGGGTGGGCTGTGAGTGCTCAGGCAGCGGCTTCTGCCCTGACAGTCTTCATCTGAGAGGTGGATTCCGGAGAAACTTTGGCTTTAACCAAGTCTAGAGGAGCTTTGGGGGGTTAACCCAGTGGAAGAGATGCTGGAGATCTGATTGCTGCATACAGACATGTAGCAAGGAATTGTACCCAAGGCAGAGGCTCCAGCAGCTCTAACCAGCGTCTTGGGAAGATGCTGACAATCTCTGTTCAAATAGAAGAAGTCTTTTTCAGGTCTTTAAAAGGCACAGAGGGAATTCAGGTTTAGGTAACTAGGTATGAATGCAGTGTAAAACAGGTCTGGCTCTTCCAGGGGCTTCGCACTTACATTCATGTGGGTTTTTTCCCTAATCCTCTGCAAGAAAAAAACAGGGAGCTGCTGCTGCACCAGCAGGAAGGAAGCAGAGAGTACAGCAATGCTGGTTTTTCAGAGCTGAGAAACCAGGGATATGTGAAAGATCCTGTGCAGGAGCACAAGGCTTTAGAAGGGTCAGTTGGCAAAATCACATTTTATTATTGTGATAAATAAATCCCCATCTGCCAACCCACAGAAGTATCTGCCCTTATTTATCTCTTGTCGTTCAGGCTCTGAGCTGCAGGGCTTTGCTGGAATGGTTTAGTTTTAGGACCCTGTGACTGTGCTAACATGGAAGAGAAACCCCCGTCCCTATTTATGGAGTGTGTTCTGCATAGATGAAGACAATTCCCAGGCTGCTCTGAGAGAGATTCTTTTTAGTTACAGGGATTTGCCAGAGTAGGCAACAGTTCTAAAAGAAGATAAATAAAAAATTGTGGGGAAGCGAGTCTTCTTAATTCCCTCTCCCATCTTTTTTTTTTTTTTCTCCGTTTTCCCCTCGTTTGTTCCATGTATTTTAGCTGGTGCTGTCCCCAAGGTATGGCCTTCCTGGATAATGGGAAAGGACCCGCACCTGGGGCCAGAGGGATTAAAAGGAAGGTGCAGAGGAGATGTGATGACGGATGCAGAGTGGAGGTCGGGCGAGCAATCTGGGCCGAGTGGGCTCCTCGCTGCTGGGGTCGGCCATGGGAAGAGTAGCCCCGTTCCCACCATACCCAGGGAGCCGCCATGGCCTGTGCCCGGCTCCGGGATGCCGGCTCTGTACACGGCGCTCCAGGACCCTGCTGCGCGACCCCCGGCACCGCGCAGCCGAGGAATTGCGGGACCGGGAAGCGCGGGGCTGGTGCTGCACAGCGGTTCCTGAGGTTACCGGTGTTTGTGTGACCTGTGTCTGGGGAGGGAGATGCGGGGGATGTGATGGGGGAGCGAGACAGGAGCAAGCTGAGCCCTCCCCTGGGCCCTTCCTGGGAGGAGGGGACGCGTTTTCCAGGCTGTCCACTCACAGCCGGGTCCGTTCTGCAGCGGCACCACCGCCGGCCACACAAACCCGAGCCGCGACCCTCCGGGTGTCCGTCGGTGCCGGGCTGCTCCCGGCTTTGCTGCTCGGGGCGCTCCCTACGGGGGTCACTGCACAGAACCGGCCCTGTGGGGCTCCGGATGAAGCGAGGGACGGTGATGGGTCACGGTGGGAAGTTACCGGGGCAGCTCCCGACAGCCACAGCCGGGATTATATGGGAAGAGGTGAGTGGTCCTCATGGAAACTGGCGTTGCCGGAGCTTTGCCTGGATGTTTCCCCACCCCGCTCCTTGTGTATTCTGACTAAGGAGGGAGGGAGAGAGAGACGCTGCGCTGGCCTCTGGGACCACGGCTTCGGGGGACAGAGCTCGACTCATGGCGCCGCCACTGGCCAGGGAATGAGCGGGCGGGCGGCAGGACCCCGAAGGGTCGGAGCCCGGGGCCCTAGACGCCTGTCAGTCTCCCGGCCCCTTCGCGAGCTCAGCCAGGACTGGGGCCGGTCTGGGGCTCCAGCGGGGGTTATGGCTTAGCAGCGCCGGGCCCGAGAACAGGGACCGGCCCCTGTCGGTGCTGCGAGGCGAGGAGCGAGCCCTGTGTCACTGGGATGTGGCTGTTGGGGGGCCCTGGGCCCAGCTCCCAGAGAGAGTCGAGCCATGCAGGGCTGGACACCGGGCTCAGAGACACCGGGCTAAGAGGCCTGGCCGAGCTTCCTGAGAGCAAGGGATTCAGAAACAAGAGATGGAGTCTTATGATTTGGGGACTTAAAAACAGGGTCAGTAAAGCCAGATTTGGGACTCAGAAATGGGGACCAAGCCCCGGGTGTTGGAGTCTGGAAACTTGCTCATGTGGTCAGTCGTGGGGCTTGAAGAGACCAAGTCAAATAAGTCCTGCATTTTGCTGCTCAAAAAAAAAAAAACCCAGGTTCAGAGCTTAGAAACAAAGTCCTATGTATGCATTCTTGAAACGAGGTGACTCATTGGGCTAATACTTGGGCTCAGAAACACAGACCAGGGTCTGCCTTTTGCTGTTCAGCATTAGAAACCAAATCCTGCAATTTAGGGCTTGAAAACACACTCCCCGGGCCAGTTTTAGGGCTCACACAAAAAACTCAAGTAAAAGTGCTCCATTTTGGGGACTTAGAACAAGGCTCTTTTGGCCAGATTTAGGGCTCAGAAGCAGAGAATAAGTAAATCTGGGGGAGGTCAGAACTGGGCTTACATGGCCAGTGTTGGAGCTGAGGCACAAGAGACTAAAAGCACTGTGCTTTATGAGTCTGAAATGGGGACCACTCAGTTTTGCGGCACATAAAAAACTGCCAAGTGCTACATTTGGAACCCTCAAACCCAGGCTCATTTGGCCAGATTTAGGGGTCAGAAATGGAGACTAACTCCTGTGTTTTGGGTGTTGAAAAATGGGCTCATGGGGTCACTGCTGGAGGCTGAGAAACGGACTAAGTGCCGTGTTTTGGAGTGCGAGCACCAGGCGCCGTGTAGCCCATTGTGGTGTTCAGAAGCTAAGTGCTGCATTTTGGGTGTTAGACACGGGGGTCCTACAGCCCTCTTTTGGGCTCCCAAGGAGAGGCCAGGAGTTGTGTCTGGGGTCTTGAAACAGAGCCCCAGCCCTGCCTGGTGCCGCTGCCGGGGGAGGAGTGTGAGGCTGAGACGGATGGTACCTGTCAGAGTCCCCGCCCGCGCCAGCGTCTTTATTCAGCGTCTGCTGAAACCACCGCCCCGGGGGACCGCGTCCGGGGTCTCGGCGGGGCAGCCCCGGCCCGGCGCAAGCAGTGGCTGCGGGCAGGAAGGGTAGCGCAGGACTTAGAGCCAGCTGGAGACCGGGCACCGGGGGCAGTTCCGCGGTGGAGTACGGGTCACAGCAGGGAGCCCAGTGCCGGTGCCCGGGCGGCTCCGCTGCTTACGAAAGAGCAGCGGGGTTCGGGGCCCCGCGAAATAAAGTCCGGAGGGGAAGGAGGCCCGCGCCCTCCGTCCTCGGCCCTGTCTGGGTTCCAGGGGCCGTCCCACAACATACGGGTGTGCAGCTGGAGGTGGGTTCAGCTCAATCAGGGTTGGTTCGCGGCTCAGAAGGCTGTTTTGGTGCTTGAGACCCAGAGTGGGGCTCTGCAGCATGGACCCAGCTGGGCATTTCCTGGGCACAGAACTCGACGCTGGGCCAGAGCCCGAATCCTGTGCCTCTGGGCTCAGTAACGAGCCCCCCGCTCACTGGTTAAAGCCAGGGCCATGCTGGCGGCGATGGAGAGTGTTGAGCTGTCGGCAGTGGGTGGGCTGGTGGACTCCCTCCGGCATGGGGGGTCCAGTCGTGTTGGTCCCCGAACCTGTCACACCCTATCAATGCTTTACAATGCCCACAACCTGCTATTAACTAATCAGTTACTCAGCATTAAAGTATATTGATTTTCAGGTTATGACAGTGAACGATTTACACCTGACACAGGAAGGAGCAGCCCTGTGCCTGGCCTTGATTTTTTCCATTTCCTCCGTTCCCTCCATGTTCATGCAGCATGTACAGCATTCGTCAGATAAACATTCCCAGTTTAATTCCAGCATCAAATTTTGATTTTAGAATACAAGGTGTGGGAGTTACATGTGATCTCAGGGCAGGCTTGTTCCCCTGCCTTTGAGTTCTTCTGTCCGCTCGGTGGCTAGAGGGGCTTTGAACATTTAACTCCTTAGTCGATTCCTGTAAATAGCGTTATTTACCTTTCACACGACGTTATGATATGACGCCACTCTTCAGGTGATGACTTAATGATGAAACCCCTGCCTGGCGCCCTCTGGCGGACGCGGAGCTCCACTGCAGAGCGCAGCGCCACCCGATGGCTGAGGGGTGGCACTACATCCCCACGGTGCGAGCACCAAACGCCTCTCCACCGGGAACAGTGGAGCTGAAGTGGGGGAAGCGCGGGGAAGCGACATCTCGGTCACCCTCCGCATCAGATCCACGTACAGCCCTTAGTCCAGGTGATAGAGGCGGGAGGGGGGGGGTGGGGCGGAGCAGAGATGAGCCAGAGCTGCTCCTCCTCCTCACCAGAGTACACAAACCTATAAGAATTTCTCTTAGTTTTTCCTTTTTGGATTATTTCTGTGAGGTTTTTTTAATACTTATAAAAAGCCTTCACCAAACCAAAGCATGTGCTCCACTAAACCTCTGTTCCATCATGCAAATTGCTGTGGACTTTGACTTCCAAGTTCACCTGCTTCACCTTCCTGCCGCTCTCCCTCCACACATTAACATTCCGCACGGTGCAGTACCGGCTGTCCGCTGACCTCTCGGCTCTCCGGGGCAGCTCCACCTTGGTGTTCAGTGGATGCTCCTCTGGGGCTGCTTCCTGTTTCTGCCGTAGCTTCTGCCGTTTCCCAGTGAGAATGCAAAGCCCAGCCAGCAGAAGCAGCAGCAGCAGGGCAACAGCGGCAAACGCGCTCCCCAGGGAAGCACCTGTTTGGGAGAAGGAGGCTGCGACGGCAGCTTCCTCCCTCTCCAAGATCAGTGATTTCATGTTGGTGCCGTTCTTGATCTGGTCGCCTTCGTTGTCGTAGATCAAGGAGTCATCCAGCATTGGCCTCCCATCGGCACCAACCAGGTCCCTGCGGCCTCGTGGTCTCCAGTGGTGAGTGAGGGAGCGCTGGACACGAGGCCCTGCCATGCTCTCCGGGCCAATCACATAGATGACCTGAAGGTACCACTGGTGTCCAGCTTCCACCTTGAAGAAGGAGAAAACACATGCACACATGGTGCTTTATAGCTTTTGGATCAGGTGATTTTAAGTAAAGGCAGAGCCAGCTGCATCTTGCACCCTGCATCCTGTTCCTTAACAGCTCAGCATGGTTTTCTGAGCACCTGCCATAATGTTTATCACCAAGTGAGGTGTTAGTCTTGTCTCTGCCAATGGCAATAATTAATTCACAAACACCACCCCTGGCAGTGTTCAAGGCCAGGTTGGATGGGGCCTTGAGCAACCCGGCCTAGTGGAAGGCATCCCTGCCCTTGGCAGGGGGTTGGAACAAGATGATCTTAAAGTCCTTTCCAACCCAAACTATTCTATGATTAATATCTTTTTTAAAAGATTCTTTCCTGAGTGCTTTGGAAAAAAAAACAAATAGTCACAATAAATTCCTCGTTTTCAGTGCTGGAATTTGCATCTTCACTGCCCTACTGTTAATTTCTAGTCCAATCCTAGCAATTCCAAGAAGGCCCTTCAGCAAACAGGTCACTGAGTTACAAACTGGTAACTCAGGCCCAGATATCAGGGACTACAACTCACAAAGTATCTGGGAAAAGTTAGTTTTGGGCGGCTGCTATCATTTGGTACATACCTTGTACAGAGCATCCACCTTGAGAGTAAATCCATCAACTCCGGGCATGCTGCTTATCGAGTGAAACTCAGACAGTTCCGAAACAAAGTGGGCATCAAAAGGCACATCGTGAAAATACTTGTCTGTCACTTCAGGTTGGTTTCGGTCCTGAAATTAAGAGAGGCATCAGGAAGAGAACACTTGTCTTTCTTATGCAAGGGAGGCCACTAGCATTGAGTAACACCTGTGTAGTGCTGTAGGAATTGGTTCCAAGTGCCCAGCCTCCACACCTACACACAGGCACAGACATTTCTGTAAAGGCATAGGTTAATGTGCAGAAAATACTTAGGATTTGTAGAGGCTTCCTACTGTTTTACCACTGATCCATGTCAAAAACTAAGTTTGTAGAGCTGGAGATGGGGAGAAGAGGTTGAGCAGGCTGCTCATGTACGCATGCCAAGCTCACTCACACCATTGACACCACACTTGTCCAGTGAGGATGTTAGCAAATGTTAATTACGGAGCACATAGTGAGAGCTGAATGCATCTGGGAAGCTAATCATAGATTTATGCAATTTCTGTGTAACTGGTAAATAAATCTCCATTTATATGCTGCCAGTCTGCCAATTCCAAGCCGTAGTATAAACAGAGAAGGACAGGACATTTGTCCTTCCCATAAGTAGGAAGGGAATTTAGTCCCTAGCTCCATTAGGGGGCAGTGAGAGGCTGGGAGACCAGACACATCACACACAATGCTCACCAAAGCATGAAGAAACTTACCAAGAGGAGAAATCGGTGTTTGAGGTGCTTGTTGGGTTGAATACAGCCATACTGGGGCCCCTCATTGTAGACAGTGCCCGTTGGGTCAAAGAAAGGCACATAGCCATCCTTGCCAGTACACAGGTAGACCTTTTCCAACTGCAGTTTGTAAGCGGCGTTCAGGTTTTGCTCAGGGTGCCAGAGTACACGGCCATACAGGATTTGCCCTGAGGAGGTTGGAAGAAAACAAGGTCAGGTTGAATTCTCTGACTGAACAGGAGAACCACTGTTAGAGCCAAATGCACCAGATGACACATGGCTCTGGGTTTTGAACGGTTTAGACTGGGGTATGCAGATGGCAAAACACCATGCCACAGCACATGTGTCATGCCTTGTCATGTTGCTACAGGGCTGTAACATGCTCAAAATACCATTTGTTGCTGCAAAGGAGGTAAAGCCAAACCTTTCTTCAGAGGAACAGAAATTTTGAAGTCAGAAATATTTTACAAGGGCACGTAGTGACAGGAGAAGGGGGAATGGTTTTAAACTAACAGGGGAGACTCAGACATTAGGAAGAAGTTCTTCCCTGTGAGGGTGGTGAGACACTGGCACAGTTGTCCAGAGAAGCTGTGGCTGCCCCATCCCTGGCAGTATTCAGGGCTGGGTTGTATGGGACTTGGAGCAACCTGGTCTAGTGGAAGGTGTCCCTGCCTGTGGCAGGGGGCTGGAACTGGATGAGCTTTAAGGTTCCTTCCAACCCAAATCATCTCATGATACTATCATCAAATACAAGCAGAACGGGAAAGAGAAAGATAATAAATCTTACCTTTTGAAAAAGCTCCTTTGTAATCCATTTCTGCCAGAGACATTTCAAATTTGGTGGGGTCCATCAGAAACACCTTCTCATTATTACAAAGTTGGAATTCCGTGTTCAGGGAGTAGACAACGGGGACTGGGCGGTTTGTCTGCTGAAAGGCAATCGGGATCAAAAATCTAAAATTGAGACAGGAAGAGAGAAAGGAGAGGTTTAATCTGAACACATCTGAAGGTCATGCTGGTGACCTACAGTCAGCTTCCTTTCTTCTCTCCTGCTTTACTATTTGTAGTCTATCAGCCATACAAGGGTGGTAACAGCAGCAGCAATGGTGTAGGGCTCTGCATGGCCAGCTGAAGCCTTCTCCCAGCAAGTCTGATTTTCTTTCTTTGTGGGGACAACCAAAGGCTACATAGGTTTGGAGGCTGAAAACCTCTGTGATGGTGCAATCTTTCATTGCCCTGAGTGAGGATGGTCTCAGTTGCAGGGGAACTCCTGAGCCAAAGGGGAGGAGCTTCTACCCCTCCCCTGTTCCTTTCCTGCTGCTGTGGTAGGGTGCCACACACCTGCTGTGACCACCCAAACAACCCCAATGGGCTGAAACTGTCCCAGTGGGTGATGGTAGGTACTCGTTACCGCTCAGGAGCGTGAGCTGTACAGGGCAGGGGCTTGTCTCCAGGCTCTGTCCATGGCTGCGTGGGCTGCACAGTGCAGGGGATTAAGAAGATTGTGTACTCTCCAGAGTAGTCCTTCCTGGGAACAGACAGGAGACATTGTGGTCACCAAATTGGATTCCAGGCTGTTCACCCAGCTGATGTGTTTGCCCAACATCCATCTTTTTCTAAAAAGCATAAGCAGGCAAGACAAAATTCGTAGCAGGACCCCTCCCTCACCCCAGGATGTTAATCTACTCCAGCAGATGCAGGAGGACAAATCTGACCTGTGGTGTTTAATTTGACCCCCCGTGCAAGGAGCACAGGCTGTAAAAATAAATAGTCACAGACTGGAGAGGGGCTTTTGACAAAGGCAGGTAGTGACAGGACAAGGGGGAATGGCTTTAAACTGACAAGAGCAAGGATTTAGATTAGACATTAGGAAGAAGTTCTTCCCTGTGAGGCTGGCGAGACACTGGCACAGGTTGCCCACAGAAGCCGTGGCTGCCCCACACCTGGCAGTGTTCAAGGCCAGGTGGGCTAGCAAAATGGATTTGCAGGGAGATTTAACTGAGTTTTCCCTCTACAATGAGCAGAAGAGCATTTTCAGCCCAGGCAGCAGCACCCTGCATGCTGGAGCTCAGTCCTTGGGTGAGGCTGGCTCCTGACCACTCCACACAACTGAAAGGGCAACAGGGACTGCTTACTCTGGCCTGGTTTGAAACTGTTCCACTGCTGCTCTTAACTGCATGCACGTTGACCGCTTAAGAACACTGCGCTGTGGGAAGCTGCTGGAGGTGGTTGAACCCACAACTCTCACCTGTTATAGGAGCTGGTTGCTCTCCAGAGCTGGTAGGGAGAGTCGAAAGTCTGAGCACTCCACAGCAGCTGCAGGTCAAACTCGATCCCTCCCAGGTGGTCTGGAGTCATTAAGGAAGATTTGACATCTGGCAGGCTGTGGTGCTCCATGACAAAGAGCCCTGGGGTGAGGATACAGTGGTGACAGATAAGGCAGAGTATGGGGAGAGCCCTCGCTGCATACCCTGGCACAGGGAGGGACTCCTCGTGGGAAGAGGGACTGATTCTACTCCCTGTTTTCAGAACAGATCTGTATTTGTATGGTGGTTTCTTCCTCTATCAGGAGTAACACTCTCACCTCTGAACTTGGCCTGTGTTTTGAACTCGATGACCAGCCGGCCATCCTCCCGGATGTAGATCCTGATTATCTGCAGCCGGGCTGAGAGAACACTGTCCGTCTGAATGCCTGCATGGTGCAGCAAGAACAAAGTCACCAAGGAGACCACACAGCACAGTCAGTCCTCAGGTGGGCTCTGTCAGCCCTACGTAACTCCAGAAGCATTTGAGAGCGCTCCAAAAGGTATGGTTTCAGTTGGATCATCCTCCAATCTCACTCAAGCATAAAGGAAGTAAGTATACTGAGTTCCCCACCATGATTAGCTTGTGAATGTAACTTATTGTACATACTAAGTTATAGGTAACTGTTTCTGGGTACTCCTGGCCTCAACTCCTGAGTAGCCCTCCATGAACTGAGCTCTGCAAGTCCCTCCTCTAAATACTGAAGTGTCACTGCTGGCAGAATATAATCCAATCCACTGTCACAATACTCCTCAAGGCTGAAGGCACGGGTTCACAGCACACACAGGCTCCAAATATTGTGGGAAAGATTAACAATCTTGAAAATAGAAGACTCACAAGCACAGGATAAACCGTGCATGGATGTAACCACCAGAAGAGGATTGGAATGAGTCAGGGCTCGCTGCTGGGGATACTGCTGATTTAAGAAACAAGGGGATACTATGGGAAAAGTCCATCTGTGAGAAACACAAGGTTGAGGAATATGACTGCAGCTCCCACACGAGAATCACTCCGAATACCTCACAGGGAGCAACCTCTGCCTGGCTGTGGAGGCTTGGATGAAGAGAGAATTCTTCTCTTGCAGCACTTTTCTAGCACTTTTCACTCTACTTCAGCAAGTGCTACCTATGCTCAGGACTGTGGTGGCAGTGCAGAAACTAAGAAAAAGGGGAAAAAAACCCAACTCAAGAACAAACCAATTCTCCTATACCCCTTCACACAGGTGGACCTACCTGTCCTCCAAAGAACAGTATCGTAGAAAAAGGAGAACTCCATCTCTGTGTGATGCTCAAGAGAAGCCCAACCTCTTGGCGCTGTCACATAAATATAGGACACATAGAGTGGGACATGGACTGTTAAAAAGGACTGAGCAGAGTCTCGTACCTGTCAATAAAACCCCAAAAAGGGTGGTTATGCACCTTCCACAGAAGAAACATTGACCCAGACAGTACCCACTGCATTCACATTTTATGCTGCAAATGCGGGAAAAAGCCAGAGTACCTGCAATGGAACAACTCTATTAGTTCTGGACCATGGATGTCCTCAACACAGGGAGGATAATGTGGGGATGAAATGTTTCTAAAGCAATATAATGTCATTGCTCCATGAAGACTGAGCATTACTGGCAATCAATTAGCTGATTTGCCAAAAAAGTTATTGCTGGGCTGCCATTTGAAAAATAATAATGAACTGCTGGGAAAAACATGCAAGCACAGAGTGCACTTCACATGCTACCGAACTCCTAAAATTAAGTCAGAGATGACTGTCTGACCTTTCTTTACCTTTACATGTAGGTACTTTAGACAAACTTGCATTTTAAATAAGGGCAAGTGCTAAAGCATGCTGGTGTGGTGGTACAAAAAGAGCTGTGGTCACAACTTCACCTCAAAATCTCTCCAGCTTCCAATTCTGTGAATTAAAAGTATGCAATTCTTCTTGCTCAGGACTAGCCCTATGAGTATCTGAAATACCAGAGCTCTACAGCTATATGTATATGCCATTTATTATCTGCAGGGCACACTGCTGTATTCTGCAAGCCCCTGAGATTGCCCAGAGAGACTTCCAGATGGGTTAGTGCCAGTCTCCACATACTAAATTCTGCAGCTGTTCAGGTCAAATAGTTTCTCTGGATTTGTGCAAATCATTGGAGGTATAAAAGGACCAGAGCAGCAGGAGTTAGAAGAGATGATGCTGGCCCTAACATTCTGACTGGGAATATAATACAAGAACAGAATGAAGATTCACTAGAGTGGGATGTACATGTATAATCAATCCATGAGAGGGCAGTGAGATACTTCAAGTAGTAAAAGTCACTGTTTTCTAGAGGAACATTTTGGGCTTTTCATACGCCAGTCAGTTAATTAAGAAATGACTTTAAAATTCCCATGACTTCGCTCCACTGCAGAGTATGAACTAATGTGCCTCTGCTCTGGTTCTTTGATCTTCTGGCTAAGAATATAGCCCAAATTGTAATAGAGTAGAGCACAGCTGAGAATGTTTTGTATTTCCAGTACATCCTTATACTTAAAAAAACATATTTTACTGGTACTCTGAAGATTAAAAGAATAAAACATACGTTACCCCAACAAAAGTAAATGACTTAAGTACATTTTGCAAAGCACCATTCTTTTCTAGGGAAAAGGGGGAAAAAGCCATGCTCTAGCTCTACAGAGCAGCAAATACACAAGAACACTAAGTGGCGCTTCACCTAAAAATTGAGCAGGATGTGGATTATGTGGAAGAATTTTGGATAAAGCATCTTACCTGGAAGTCAGCGGTGACAGAGCCTCCACAGACGTCAATTAATTCAGTCATGTCGTAATAAGCATCAAAAGTCCAGATGCAGCTCTTGAGATTGAGGTGCTTATAGAGCTGGATGGTCTTTGGCTCCCTCACCGTGGGGTCAAACTGGTAAGGGCGGTCATAGCCAGGCCCAAGAACAATGCTGTCATAGGTCACTTCATCCAGAAACCCTGCCTCTGGGATTAACAGACATTGGGACACTGATCACTTCAGACTTCAAAGAGGCTGAGGCCCATTTTCACTCTCAAATCACATTATTGACTTTTATTGTATTAGGGATTTAACAGGCTCCTCTTTCTTCATAATCCTAGAGGTCACACTAAACATACACAGGTCTTCACAGGGGAAAACGTTATAGGAATGGGACAAGACTCCTAAAACCCAAATTTATGAACCTATTAATTAAAGGCTGAAGTTAAACCTTAAGAAATGCAGAACTCAATTCAACTGAGTATGAACTGATAAGAATGAAGCACAACGACCCCCTGACCAGCACGGACCACATTGCCCTGAGTGTCAGAGACACTAACTGCCTTTTTTTCTTCATTTCTGGCATTTACTTCAGGAGTGAATTTGCTTTTGCTGCTTCTTTTTGCCATGTGGACGCCTCAGTGACACACACAGTGATCTACTTCCTCTGGATCTCTCTAACTGCATGAATATCACAAGATGGTTTTGTAAAGCAGAAAATCACCAGCACACTGTGAACCTACAGCCAGTGCAGCTTAACCCCATTATCTTTTAAACATTCCAGGCATCATATCTCATCTTCAGTGGGGCAACCCTGTTCCCTGCTGTTAGTTCAGGAAGATTAATTATGATTTACCCAATGTCAAGAGAGCCCAGGGGAAGACAAAACCTTCTTCTTATCTACATTTCTTTACTGGCTTCTTTGTAACTACCAACTTCAGAAAGCAAAGGCTGGCTTTAAGAATTACCTGAGATGCCTCTGAGGTCTCTGACAGTGACCAGATTTGAGCAGACATGCTGGTGCCTGTAGATAGACTCGGAGAGAAGGAAATGCAGATTGTGGAGTGGCAGAGTGGAGATGAGGGGCAGCATACCATCCTGATGGGGGATCTGCACCGAGATGTGGATTCTGGAACAAACAGTGGATGAGGCAGCAGAAAAAAAGCAGCAGAACAGCACAGACAAGGTGAGCCTGCTAGAAGTAGCCTGATACATAGTTTCATCTAGATTTCCCCAACTATATACATCTGCTCCTTAAGCTGTCCCACCAACTCCAAATTCCTGAGAGGAAGGGCACTCTCTCAGCAGGGTAGGGTTTGAGGAAGAAAGCAGGAGCACTACCCTGAGCACCTGAGCTGTTCAAGTGGGCACACTGCGTGGAGAGATGTGGTTTCAGACACACGTCCTCCTCTTGACCCAAGCTCTCCCCTTCTCCAGGCTCATACCTGTTGGGATGCTCCTTGTGCTTGACGTCCAAGTACTTCAGTGTGGCAATGAATGACTGTGCCTGGAAACCACGTGCTGTCCCTGCAACCACAGGAGTGTGACAAATGGCACTGTCTGTGCCTATGGTCACCACATTGCTTCTCAGGGGGGTCCCCACATGACCGGCTTTGTCCACAGCCTTGGCCACACAGCGCACATGGAATCGGCGACTGAAGTAAATGCTGTCCAGCACCTGCAGGGAACAAGAAGGGAGAAACATGCCTGTGGGTCAAGGACACCAGTATTGCAACATCCACTTGTGTAGCAAAATCACTCTGTCCTGGTGATCTAAGGCAACACAAAGGCAAGGTACACTCCAACTCAAGAGCACATACATGCCAATGTCTACTTGGCCACTTGGACATGCATCTTGTTACTATGCTGCAGCAGATGCTTGAGTATGTTGGATGCTTTACAACTTCCAAACTCTGCCCACAGAGTGAAGGAAGGGGAAGAAAGAGCCTAAGCTGTTAAGATCTGCCAGGCTCCATCCATCTCCTGCCACCAGGTATTTACTGAAGTGTCCAAGTGCTCACAGCCACCTCCCATGTCAACAGAAGTGGTTCTTTCAGCAAGCTTAGTGAAGAACAGTGCTAAATTTTCTGAAGCAGAAATTAAAAATAATCCCTAAAGAAGCATGCAGATGTCTCATGCCAATTCCCAAGTCTAAGGAGATTTTAGATTTTAACCTCTGTGTAACTAAAATGTGCACTACTAGCGAAAAGATGCCATGGGCTCTTGCAGCTTTGCCATGTCGGTACCTCCCACGTACCTTATGGTTGACGCTAGTGAATGGTGTGCTGTCAGTGATGGTTTCAAAAGGTGACCTGGCTCCGTTCCCATCTGTGGGGGTTGCTACTTCCCAGCTGAACAGTATTGAGGACTGGTTGATCCCAGCCTCACTGCAGCGTTCCCTCATGATGGCATACTTGGGGAAGCGAGGGTCACAAGGAGTGACACAAATGAGCGGGTAGCCCGGGGAAGGGGATTTCTTAGCACCATCCTTGGTCACTTCTTCCACCCGGTCGTAATCAGCCAGGGTGACGACCTGTACAGATGCAAGACAGCAGCATTCACTTGAGGCTGAGGGGAGAGGCAGAAGAGGCAATCCTTCCCACACACTCCAACCCTGCCACATCATTGCAGCTCTTAATTTTATTTCAGACACCCCACTGAGGTTTTCAGTCTGTACTCAAAGGTTACTAAATCACACCCACTGCAACAGGCAACTTACAACAGGAGATGCTGGTAGAATCAGGCTCCCTGCTGCCTCCTGGTCCAAAATAGTCACTATTGCAGTGCTGGTATCTCCAAGAACAGCTTCCACTGGATCATCTGGACCCAGCACCAGAGAAAAGGACTCATGCCACTCCCGGTCTTCATTGGACATGATCTCCACCTTAAACATGATGTGGTTCATGCCTGTGAGAGGAAATGCCAGGGAAGCAGAGGGAATTCCATTCATCATCAAATACTGCTCTGAAGTTCTCATAAAAAAGCTGCACAGCTGGTCTAGGCTATGACCACTGAAACTTTATGATAAAATATGCATTATAAATTTTATTTCCACTCATTGCTACTAATAATTTAGCCTTGTTCTCACAGGAGTCTACTCCATACATAAAACTCCAGCTATGACAACTGAGCCAATTGATGAGGTGATAGATTTACTAGCAGATGCCATCTAAGGATTAATAATGCCTGTCTTGCATTAGCTGTCTGTAGTAAAAATCTATGATCCAAAGTACATTCCCACCACTGCTGTAAGCATCTCTGCTGTATCTCACATCAGTATGCAGAACTGTTTGGTGAGGGCTTCTCAGTCAAGCAGCATGGTCTGAGCTGTTGCACTGGATCCTGAAAATTCTCTGCTAAGCCTTACATTCTCTGAGGACCACTTTACTCTCAGCAGCCAGATGCTAGTGCTTCTTCCTCTGTCCTGGTCACCTGTCATTTAACAGTTCAGCCTTTTTGCATAACAGAATTATAGCCACAGCAGAGTGTAAGGCTGCAGCCCAGAAGAGTCACGCTTTAGAAAAGACCACAGAGTAAGTCTCTGTAGTACATTTCAAATAAATAAAAAAAAAACCCAGAACAAAAACCTCAAACAAACCAAACTCCAGATCCTTCTCATCCAGTGGAACCTTGCAAAAGGATGAAATGTACACAAGAGAAAACACTGCAAGCTTTGGGATGGCCTTCCCATTTTTTCAAGTGACATTAATTCTAGGATGCAGAAAGTCTCAATAAAGCACTCATCACCTACAAGCTTTCATTCCCTCCTTCTTTTCATTGTTTGGGCAGCTTGGCACTTTGCTCATCAAGCAGAGAGGGCTGAAGCTTAGAACACCACTGTGTTTGAACCGAGAATGATCAGGCACCCAGAAGGGGAGAGAGGAAAGGACATGTCTAATGTAAGGAAAGGGGAAGTCTTGCGCCCCACCTGTAACACACTGAACAGGTGTCTCTTCCCACAGAGACTGTGATGAGCCCAAGATCAAACCCAAATCAAATCTAAATCCCGAAATCTAAGGGTATATTATGCCTTCTTACAGCTAATGCAGTTCACTGGGAGCAGTTAGATCTCTGCTGTGTTGCAAACCTCATGCAAGAAGTGGCTTTTTCCACATCTCCTGAATGTTTCCCTTCAATGCTCCTTTCTGATAGACACAAAATGGCACTGGTCATTGCCACCACCTCTGATCTTCCCTCCAAGAACCCTTTACCTGGGCTAAATTTGAGCATTCGACTCTTGGGATAGTAATCCACTCCGGCCTGAGCTGAGCCATCGCGGGTGCTGCAGCGGACTTTGGAAGTCCTGTTTTGATCCCCTCTCCGGACCACTTTGATATTTAGAACAGCAACACCCTCCGGGCCAGGCGGCTCCCGTACTTGGTACGAAGCTTCTTCGAACTCAATGGTGGGTGCTACAGAAACAGCAGTGAAGAAAAAGTCCTGTGTTGTTTGCATACCAGCTGACTGTTATGCTTGATGAAAGGCATTCAGCAACTGGAGTGAGCTAAGCTCAGCCCCTTTTAGACTCTTATCTACACATCAACTGAAAGAGGGTAGATTTAGATTAGACATTGGGAAGAAATTCTCCCCTGTGAGGGTGGTGACACACTGGCAGAGGTTGCAGAGAGATGTTGTGGCTGCCCCAACCCTGGCAGTGTTCAAGGCCAGGTTGGATGCGGCTCGAAGCAATCTGGTCTAGTGGAAGGTGTCCATGGCAGGTGGGGTGGAACTAGATGAGCTTTAATGTCCCTTCCAACCCAAACCAGTCTGTGATTCTATAATCTATCTTCAGATCAACAGGCTCTTTAAAGCAGAGGTCAATACTGCAGCTCTAAGGGTTGGATGTGAATTAGGGCAAGGAGTGGGGCGAAACCCAACACAGCTATTGGATGGCAAATGATTCTCCCATCCCCTGCCTCCTACTGAACCACACACCCTCAAATCCATGCCACACAATGGTGTTACAGCCCCCACTGGCAGTCACACCAGAGGGACCTGGCATCTCCCTTCTTCTCAGCAGATCTCTCCAGGCTGTGACACTGTGGAGGGAAGGCAACAGCACAGCAACTCCCTGTGAAAATGCACGGGAATAAGGAAAAGGACAAACGGTGGGTTCAAGCCACAGTTATTCCATCCCTCCCTTAAGACCAGTGCACAAAGCCACCACGCTGGTGACCTGCACACAGAGCTGTGGCCGTGTGACTGAAGGCATTCACGTGTGCTAAACTAAACTGCAAACTGTTGAGACTGTGCCAACTACCTTGGAACTGCATCCTACATAACAGCTACATCTTTGCTGAGCATCCTTGCTTACCATCTTCATCATTGGTGACAGTTACAGTTGCCATGTCCATCTTCCCAACCCTAGCTCCACTCCAATGGTTTCCAAGTGGGCTACCAAGATAGACATGGAACTGCTCTTCTGGCTCAAAGGCAGAGTCATCACTGATATAAACACTGCAGTTCTTCACCTAAACCCAAGCAAGCAGGAGAAAACAGCAAATATTCATAAATCCAATGAAGCCACTTAAAGGCCACACTGTGCTTAACTATCTAGGGTTTAATACCCAAGTACTGTCAATCCTGGAAGCTGCCACTTCAGTGTGGACAAAGGACACTGTTACATGATGAGACACAGCATGGAATACACCTACCTCCACAAACTGAGAGCTCTCTGCTAAAACAATCCAGAGTCCTACTGACACAGATGGTTTGCATTTCACATTTTAACCAGTTTTATCATGAAACAAACATCTTCAGAGTTATGTCGTATTTGTGACTTTAAGGATCTATGAAACCAGCATGGACAGCCTCTGTGAGCTCCCTCTGACAACACAGAGTTGAAGGGGAGATCTGAACCCCTCCCACCAATGGTTCTTCATTCCCCCTATAAGCCACGTTCAACTCACCTTCTCCCCTTTCAAGAAAGTGATGCGAGACTCCTCTGCATTTCTCCTCTCTGCAAAGTCCTCCATGACCTCTGCTGTCTGGCTCTGGGTGTAGCACCTGACGGAGGACTCATAGCTCAGGTCCCCGGTGCGGAAGATGGGGATGTGCAGAGTACCCTCCTTCTCCTTCACCATGTATGTATCCTTGGTGAACTGCATGCTTGGTACTGCAGGAGGTAATAAAAAGAGTCAAGCAGCATTGAAGCTCCACAGAGAGACAGGAACTAATCAAGGCACATACACCCTGGGAGAACTGCTGCATGGAGTGAGGAAGGGATTATATTGGAACTCAGTACTGGAATGGATGCTCTGCCTCAAAGCATTATCCTACTGTTTGTGGACAGACACAGAACAAGTATCTTGCAGCCAACAGGGCAGACCTCAACAAAAGATACAAAGAAATGATTACAGACTGCTACAAAGTTAGATTATACAGTGTGTGCTTTCCTTAGGCAGGCAAACATGAGAGACACTGAAATACAAGAAAAACTAAACAAGCAGTGAGACTTTCTCCCATAGTAAGGGGACTTTAGCTCACAGAAACCATGAAACAAGGACTGAGCTCTGAGCAGAGGAGGCAACACTGGAAGTGAGGGAATGCTACAGGGAAATTCATTCTGCGTTTCTGAAGACTCCAAGCTCCTGTGGGCAGTGAAGCACAGAAGAAAACAGAGCAGCCACATGGAATAAGAGGATCCCAGGAAAATAGGCTATTCTAGCCTATAAATAATGTAACTTGGACTAGCTTCCTGCTGCATGGAACTGTTAAGGAAGAGGCCAGGATGGGCTGGACAGAGCTGCCATGAATAACTCACCATCCTGGAAGATGTCATTAATGGCCACGATGGCTTGGAATGGCTTTGTCAGCTCAGCTCCATGGGGTGAGCTGAGATAAACCACGAATGTCTCCAGCCCTTCTATCACGGGGTACTGTGCATCATCCAGGATTGTCAGAATGCAGAACTAGAAGGAAAGCAGAGATGCAAAACTTTCATCTTTCCCAGCACTCACATTTGGGTGTCTAATATAAAGTTATTATGTCAGGCCCTTCCTGAATTCATTTATCACTGGAAACAATGTTCAAGATAAATCTGACATATCATTTTGGAGATTAGGCAGCCATCTTCATCCTGGGAGAGGTGGCCTGACTGTATCTTCTCTGTCTGAAGCACTGATCAGATGTGAGTCTGGGCCTAGCAGATTCATTAACAATCCTCAAGTGGCCCTGAGAGGATTTTCAAAACAGGCAAATGGCAGTGACGTAAACAAGAGAGAAGTGTCACCAGACAGAGCAGACTCATCAGGAATGGCTCTGGCTCCTCACCTCTTCTGTCTCGCCGGGCCTGAACTCTATTTTCCTGGAGCTGGGGACATAATCGATTCCTGGGCTGGCAGACGGAGGGTCTGACGCCCGAGTGGCACACCACACTGAGACAGGGTTTGAGAGATCAGGTCCCTGCCGGAGGACTGGAATCTCAATGTTTCCTGCATCACCAGTTACACACGAGAGAGAACCAAGATGAGAAAGCAGGCACATACCACAAACCCACTCCCTTCCCTTCAGCATGCCCTTCTCCCCTCACCACTGCTCCTGCACCCAGCACAGGCTATTGCAGAGAACAACCCCCAGCGGTCCCCACGAGTGCAGAGGGAAGAGCAGAAACCTTCAGCAGATCTTTCACAATTCTGCTGCTGTGCCCTAAATTGCTCCTTCTATCACGCTTCCTGAAAGCATGCTTTGATGGTAAGCAACCCAGTGAGCTTGTCTAGTAGCACTCTTCACCTGCAGCCTCGCTGACGGTGAAAGTAGCATTCCCCAGGGACACTGTGGAGGCATCATTGGGACCACTGATGAAGACAGTGGCTGAAGCCCGGCTGCCAACACGTGCATTATCTGAGGGCTCAGCCAACACAATCTCAAACTCCTCTTCTTCTTCATATTCACTGTCATCAATCAGCGTGATGTCACATGTCATGACAGTGACACCCGGACCGAAAACAATGCGGCTGTCATCTGCCATCCCTCGGGACTTGAAGTCAGAGCCAGATTCCAGCATATGAAGGCTGCTTCCCTTGGCTGATCTGGGGACAGTGTAGCACAGAGCAGACACTGTGCTGCTGGTATCCCCTAAGACGCAAAAGAAAAAAACCCGTAACTCTATGGAAATACTTTTACTCTATTTGGTGGACATACCATTCAAGTAAAGCAGCATTCAGATACGAGGGTGAGGAGTTAAGAATACCACCATCCCTGCTCCTAAACCGGCATAAAAGCTGGTTTAGGTCTGACTTCCAGGCATACTCCAAATCTGCACTCTGGTTACCATGATCAGGAACTGGGGGTGGCACTTACTTATTAAAGAATACAGAGAAGCGGCAAATAAATATAAGGGTTTTCTCCTGCTCATGCTGGGAGGAGAAATGAATCCAAAAGTAAGGAGCTTGAACTGCACTGGTAAATCTTACAGCAGAACTTGGAAAGAAAACCAAACCATCTGCTCCCTGTTGTTGCTTGTCATTTCAGTTGCACCATAAAGGTACTTCCAAAAAATCAAAGAATCAACCCAAAATCAAACAAACAAATCCCAAGGAAGACCTCTTGTTTGGGGGGTCACTGTTATTTGCCTGCCAACAGGAAACAGTTGTTTTCCTGAGCCTGGCAAAGGTACACACTGCAAAGACTCTTCAGCAGCTTTGCAGTAAAATCCCAGTCATGTGAGAAGAGACTGCAGGAGACAGGCACTGAACTGCTCCTGTGAAGTACAGAATTCAAGTCCAAGCTCTAGGCAGCCACATATACTTCACAGCCTGTCTGCACATGCTTGACCCACCTTTCCTTTCCACAGGAACAGAGAGAAACCCATCAGTCTCGCTGACATGGTACGTTTTCCTGTCAAACTGCAGGGTGGGCTCATCCTCTGTGTCCATGATAGTGACCGTGGCCCGGGTTATGTTCCCCAGCAGAGCATATGCTGGCATGCTGAGCTCCACAGCAAAGCTCTCCATGTTCTCAAAGACGTTATCATCATTAATGATGATGGTGCAGGCCTTGGTGTCCTCCCGCTCCTCAAACTGCACCTGGAAGGCAGCAAGTGGCCTGTTGTCTTTGGACTGGAGTCTGAAACTTGCTGTCCTTCCTCTCTCACCATTGCCTGAGCCACCGTCAGCATCAGACACTGACATTAAACATGGATAAATGGCTAGTGGAGGTCAAAGACAGCAGCAAATGTGGTGTATAGACCCCTACCCCTTCTGATCTCAGTCATAAATAGCCCTTTGCATGATCAGGAATGACATTCCTACTCAGGCAAGCCTGTAACATTTATGGCCTGTCAAAACATTCCTGCAAAGCATATATGCCAACTTGAAAACTGAAGAAATAAAGAGACCTCTTCAGAAAGCAAATAAACCACCCATTTTAGAAAGGAAATACAGTCTCCTTTGGGTTTTTATCAGTTCTTTCATCCAAGTTGAATGGCATGCATGGTCAGACCTCCCCATTCCTGGTGTCCCCAGCCTACCTGCCCCGTGTACTCCACATAGTCATGCTCTCCCAGCTTTGAACCGGAGCTGGATGTGGCCGTTCCCTGCTCCGTGTGGCACAAGACAATCGCATACTGGTTGAGGTTACCAGCCCGCCTCACAGTGACGCTGACAGAGCCTGCGTTCTCTCTGACACTGTACCTGGAAACACACCATTGAATCACAGATTGGTTTGGTTGGAAGGGACCTTAAAGCCCATCTAGTTCCAAACCCCTGCCATGGGCAGGGACACCTTCCAATGACAAGGTTGCCCAAAGCCCGTCCAACTTGGTCTTGAACACTACCAGGGATGGAGCAGCCACAGCTTCTCTGGGCAACCTGTGCCAGGGCCTCACCACCCTCACAGGGAATAATTTCCCAATATCTAATCTAAAACTCCCCTATCAGGTTAAAACCATTTCCCCTTGTCCTATCCCTACTTGGCCTTGTCAAAAGCCTTTCTCCAGATTTCTTGTTGCCCCCTTTAGGCACTGGAACTGCTCTAAGGTCTCCCTGGAGCCTTCTACTCTCCAGGGTGAACCAGCCCAGCTCCCTCAGCCTGTCTCCAGAGCAGAGATGCTCCAGCCTTTGATCATCTTCATGGCTCCTCTAGACTTGCTCAAGAAGGTCCACATCCTTCTTATGTTGCAGACCCCAGAGCTGGATGTAGGACTGCACAAGGGCTGTCACTGAAGTGGAGTAGAAGGGGAGAATCCCCTCCCTCGACCTGCTGGCCACACTCCTTTTGATGCAGCCCAGCATATCAAGCAGATACAAACAACAGGCTGGGGAGCAAGCCCTGTGTGTTTATGTTGCTACTGCATCACAGACTCAGGCTGGCTGTTGCCTCCATTAAAAATCCGAGGGGCACTAATCATGAGGGACTTGGGCAGACAGCAGCTATTCAGTGACCCTGCTCTACGGTTTAACACCCAGCAGGAGCTTCTCCTCTGACACACTGTGAAAAACACGCTGAGTTCCCACCTCCATACTGGAAGGTAGCTCACATATTACAGAGCTCAACCTGTCTCCCTCCAGATCAGACCTCATCCATCTGAAGAGTCCTGTAAACCCCAAACCATTTACCTGGTGTCTGTAAAGCTGAGGAGAGACCACTGGACATGGAAAATATTGCCACTGACCACATTGGGTTTGCTGTCCTTCACTAGGAACCGAAAGCTGTCCATGGTCTCCTGAACCTTCTCCTCATGCATCACATACCGAACGAGGCCCTGGTTCACCTCCTCTGTGGGAGGAGACATCCAATAAGCCAACCCAGAAATTCAACAGCAGTTTATAGATGAGCAGTGTGGAGACATTCATCCATGCAGCCATAGGAACTAGGTTCTCCAAATGTCCTTTATGCTGCAGGACCTTTTCTAACTTTCTTAGTCCTACCTGTGGTACAAGCCTCCCTACAAGATGTGACAAGACATTCCTTCCCTAGTCTTCACCCATAATGACTCACACTTAAAAATAAGGTAAATTTAAAGTAACTTTGATGAAATGCAAGAAACATGGGTGTGCTAGAGGACACAGGTTGGCATCTGTACGAAATGACAGGATTCCTGGAATGGAGAGCAAAGTTCAATTCTTATTTTTGACACACCTTTGAGATTTGCCCCTTGTCTTGCCCCCTACCACCTTATCCCTGCACCCTCCAGTCACAAGCTATCTTGACAAATTGAAGCATTTGAAGGAAAAAAAGCAAAGTATACACAGCCCAACTCCATACCCTGTGTAAAGGTGGTCACAGTTGTTCCTGGCTTCAGCTTGTTCTCCACATGACCATTTCTGGGACCAGCTGTTATCTCATAGATCAGCTGTTTGTCATCTGTGTCAGGATCTGTTGTCAGTAATTCCTTCTTAGTGATTAGATTGGTTGCCTGGATGAAAGCCAAAACAAGAGAGTAAAACTCAGGAGATCCACCAGTGCAAATCTAACTGACTGCTCATCCAAAAAGCCCAATCATACCTCTTTCAAACAGGGAAAAGCTAAGGGATGTAAAAACACAGAGCAGCCTTGAAGAGACAGATGCCCCATGAGGTGTTTGACAGCACAGGAAGGACTCAAATTCTGCCTCACATCCAGTGTGTTTAATAAAAAAACCACTGTGGCTCCAAGAAAAGCAAATTCAGAACAAGCTGCCCAGCCCTATCTAGCTGGTGCTAAAAGCTATGGCAAATCTTTTGCTTTCACCTGGAAACCACTGCTCCACAAACTGTGCCGATGTTCAGGGGAAGCGTGGCTTTACAAAAAACCATTTACAAACAGCCTCAAGCTGAAGGATTCACTCAGGACAACTCATGCTGCTTTAGTGACCCTCTTTCCAATGACCTCACATGGATGTGCCTCAGTTTCACCACATTTTGCTTTCTCTTTATAAAGAAAACACCTTTAACTGTAGGAGAAAAGAGAGACCTGAACTGCCTGAGGCTGTAGGAGTGCTTTTTCTGAAGTCAGGAATTCGAGCTGATACATTTCTTAATACAATTTCTTACTACAGCATCTTACAACTATTTTTCCTGGGAAAACCAGAAGTATTTCTTTGCAGTTAATGCTTGGTCCTCAAAAACAAGCACAAGGGAGAATTTCCTGGGGTTTTGTTTGGACTTCAGCAAAACAATGGCATGTCACAGCAAGAAATCCCTATACCGTATCTCTTTGAAAGCCATGTATCTCTACCATGGCTGCTGTGTCACATAATCAAGACTTCTCTGCCATCAGCAAAGATGAAAACATACCCTGGGGAGAAGAGACAAGAGGAGATGGATGTGTCTGCCCAGGAAGGTGGGCAGGAGCTGTACTGCACTGCACAGCTCGTGCAAGAGCCAAGAAGAGCCAGGCTTGATGGTCTGGCTGATGAAAGGGAAGGAGATGGTCCAAGAAGCAATTTAGTCCACTGGAGCCATGCTTCCTGGCTTAGCTGATGGAGCTGCAGTGCAGGCATCCCTGCACACCTCTGACTTTTCCAAGACACTTCCTGGGCACAGAGGGACACCTGTTGTCTAGCACAAAAATAAAAATGCTGAAGGATCAGGATGTTCTCCTAGGAATCTTCTTCACCTGAAACAGCCCAAGAAACAATCTAAGCTGACCCCACACAGGCAGTTACCTTGCCATCCACATACTCCAGCCACTGCAAACCCAGGTTGGTGATGACCCTGGGTGTCCCATCATCCACAGTCAGAACATCCACTTTGAAGCGCTGTGGTGATGCTGTAACAACCTGACAAAAGTTAGAGAGATGGCTGTTACTTTGGGAGCCAGAGCCTCATCCACCGTATTACCAGCTTTGCTCTTTTTAGCTCTGTTGGGATCAAGGTCCTGGGGTGAGTTTGCACACACAAAGGTTGGTAACCCAGGGAAGAAGTAAACGGCATCACACAACTGAGAATACTCAGCTTTCATTTTCAGTGGAGTGACAGCAGCTAAGTCTCCCCTGAGAGGAGGTAGCTTTCTACTAGTTACAGAAGGTATTCCTCCCATTCCTTCTCCTCCCCTTACCTGCCTCCCTCCATCCTTCATAATGAAAAAGGGATTGGTCCCATCAGACACAGTGAAAGTGAAGCGATCCTTCAGCGAGTTGCTACCATCATGACTGTAGCTGATGCGATTCTGGTAGATGTCATCCATCGTGAAGGTGGTGGCTTGGTGATAATGCTGCCCATTGCTAGTGCGTTCAATCAGGCCATGCCGGGGAGACTGCACGACTGTGAATGTAATTGACTCAGCCTGCAACAAGCAGACAGAGTGGCAAAGCTGATGACATGACCCCAGGGCCAGGACACGCACATCCTTACACATCCAACAGACAACTCCTTGAACACAAAAGCAGCCCCCCATGCTGCAGCAATTCTAAGCAACTTGCCCCATGTCACTTCTGCCGGGGCTGGAAGCAGTGATAACCTCTGGGGAAGGATCTTTGGTTCCCAGCAATAACAAGCAGCCAGGAGCTCTCTTGCTGCAGGGAACTGCAGTGAGGTAGAGCCAACAACAGACCACTTAGCCTTTGGCCAGATCCAGGAGGAGGAAAAGGAAATGTCATTTTCCTCTGTGCTAGGCATAAACTCGGTGTCAAGGCTAGCCATAAGCTTGGTTCAAATCCACAATGTTCACGGAGGAGGCAGTACAGGGCAAGGATCACCTCTGATCACAACTTCTAAATGTTCCCTGTGCAGGTTTGTTGCTTATGTGTTTGAGAGACATCCCAGATGTCTTGAGCCAGGGCTTTGCTTTACTTAAACACCAAACACTCATTCATCTATTTATATGCAAGCTGGACCTCCTACAAGCTGTTTCTTTGATGTTGTGATCAGACAGGGTATGATCACAGGGCGAGATGACACTCCCTATAATCTTCCTCTTTGAACACAAGCCCATTTTTCTGATAGCCCAGATGGGCAGCAGAAGAGGGGAGGGAGGAGGCAAAGGGGAGTCCCGCCTTACCTCTGTGTCAGCATCTGTTGCTTTAAGCTCAAACTCTGTGATGGTTTTTCTCAAACCTTCCTGAACTGTCATCCCAAGGCTTTGCACTATGGGTAAGGAGTCATCCACAGGGCTTATGGTGATGTCAAATGTCTGGCTTACCTGGAACAGAAGGAAAAGCTTCTCTTGACGAATTCAGTCTGCCAAGAGGGCAACTCCATTAAAACAGTAATGCTTTAAGGAGACCATGGTCATCCAGAGTTTGGGTCACATTGTTCCAGCCTTGTTTAGGGAGTGAATATGAGCTTCTAAGGTCAGCTCACATGAACATGACCTCTTCTACTCCTTCCCACTAAATCACTGCACTGGATCAAAGCAGAGCTCCAGGAGCAGTTGGTAAGCAGATGAAAACCAGACACTGAAATCTTGGTAAACCAATCTCATGAGGCTACATGCCCCTTACCTTCACAGGGCTTGCTTCCTTCCCTGTGAGATCTCTCATAGCCGGAGAAGTAAGAGCATCCAATGCTGCTGACTGACAAGCCCGTGTGTGGCTTGTTTCATTTCCCTTGTCATGCATAACTGTCACTCTCAAACATGCAAGAGGAAAACTGAGTCCTATCACATTGTACAGAATCACTACCCTGCTCTGACTCAGGTTAAGAAACATGCCGGACTTACCTCATTTGTTCCATCAGACACAGAAAAGGTGAATGCATCTGTATGCTTTTCAGTGTCACTGGTGTGGACATACCGGATGCTGCGAGAGGCCAAGTCTGCCTGGCTGAAGGAAATAATTCTTGTCCCTAGAAAAAAAACAGTAGGGGAAAACATGCGATACAGAGAGAAGCAAGGGGAAATATAGGGTGCTGGACATATCTAGCCATAAGCACTCAGTCTTGGCTTGTTCTGCTCCAATTCAGGCTGTACCAACAACAATAAAAACCCTGACAAAAAGTTTTTCACTACTTTATGATGTTAAATAGCTACTGATGAGTACGGGCCATGCTACAAAAGGCACCAGGATCTGATATACATAAATGAGCCAAAACTGGATGATTAGCCAAGGTTTCCTCAGAGCTCATTAGCTTTAAAGGTCTGTGTTTTTGAATACTCCAGTACTCTCTCCTTAGGTTTAGGTCATTTAAATCATGAGAACAACCCTATCACAGTGTGTAACTGTATTTTTCTTAGTCCATCACCAACATGAAAAAGCACAGAAATCAGAATCATCACATTTTAAATAACAGGAGGAATAAAATCCTTAATCCAGCTCCTTAAGGTCTCTGAAGTACAAGATCCACTGTTTAGTTGGCAATTTAGCAAAAATATTGCAAGTTTTCAATTTTCTGTCAGCAGGGCATTACTTATTATAATTCCCATTCATTATTCCTACCCTTACAACGTGTTTGCCAGAGGACATCTTACACTGTGAGAAGATGAGGCAAATCACATACTAAAACCGAGTTCTACAAGGACTGTCTGCATCTTGAAAATACACAGCAGGTATTTCCACTTTAATCTCACATTAATGAGAAACACAATTCTAAAAAGAAATATAATATTAGATTATTACAATCTAAACCAGAAGAGCATATTATATGACAGAAATGCATACTAATACATCTGAGAGGGGCAGGACACTCATACTGTCAGTGGGCATAGAAGGCAACTCTAAAATTCAGATCACATTCGTAAGTAATTATTTTCTGAGTTTCTCAGGATTGATCAACCCCCCCTCCCTGAACTACCAGAACTCATTATCCACATATCCATCACACCACAATGTAGCTTCCTTTTTAACTCAGAGGTTAGTTCCCTTCCTCTCTCCAAAGCATAGCTGGGAAAAGAGGCTGGTGTTTGGGGATCAAGGGACATACAGGCCAAGAGGCGACAAAGCAAGTTGTCTGTCCTCCAAGATGAACTCTATTACTATGGACATTAGGGGATGAATTCTTTTGGGCATTGTACTATATCTGGTCACAGAAAAGGCTGAAGGTTTGCTTGTCATGCAGATGCAGCAACAGGTCCTGAAAGAGGAGATCCACACCGCAGCAAGCTCAACTCATCTGTGGAGTCCCCTAGGTAAGGTTAGCATTGGGCATAAACTGACCCAGGGGCTGAATAAACCTTCACGTGTGATCATCAGGATGCCTTGCCTCCACTCACCCTACTCTTCAACTCTGGGCTAATGACCATTTGATTTCTATCAGGAAAGGTAATTCTGTGCTGCTGCCTCTAGGCACATTTTTCCTGCAGTGAATCTTTAGGACTCTTAACTCCAGTGCTTTGCTACTCAGAGTACATAGTGAGCAAAATACTGCCTTCCTAACCTGGGGAGGCCACATGCTCCAGGTGCCCCAGCTGAGGCTGCTTGGTGAGCTTGTACTGGAGCTGTCTTGGCTCACTGTCCTGGTCCGTGGCAGAGAGCTGGAGGGTGGTGATCGTCTTAGCTGAGTTCTCATCCAAGACCAGCCCCTTGTTAGCGATGATAGAGGGGGGAAATCTGTCCTCTGAAAGGTTAAATACAAAACTGAGTTAGGAGACTGTCTTTTTCTTGGTGTTAATTCAAAATGCTCAAGCAAAAACAACATACACACAAACACTTCCCAGACTGGTTAATTCCAAAACAGGTACTTTGGGCCTTGGCATTAATCAACAGAACAGTAACACTGTAATGCATTAAAGACAATCCAGACAGTATGAAGATATGAAAGGGAATTTTTCTGCCTTTATCAGTGAGCCTATTAGAAGCCAAAGGACTAATCCTTACATCTGCAAACTCTCCCCATGCCCCAAACTTGAATTAATAACAAATAAAACCTCAAGAATTACATCTTAACTTGCAGTACATGTGGGATGGGAATCTTTGAAAGCCTGAGCTCTGCAGCAAAGAAAACATGACTTCAGCACGATCTTTACCTAATACACTAATATAAAAGACCTGGTCTGTCAGACTGTTGCCGTCTGCATCAATTACATCAAAGGTGAAGGCAAAATTTCCACCAGGATCCCCTTTCTTGTGACTGTACACCACTTGCCCTGGAGAGAAGGACAGGAGAAAAGAGGTGTTTATTACAGGCTGCATCGTTTAATTCTTAGGTTGGAACCATGCTGGCACATAAGCTGAGGGACTTGGAACTTGACAGAGATCCTGGATTTGGGTTTCACTGCTTCTGAGCTTTATTTTTTTTTTTTTTTCCTGCTGAGAGACACTTCTTAACACTTGTTTAATGATACATGTTTCTGCTCTAACACAACCACCTTACCTCTCCCATCCCTGCTTCAGGTCATCCTCCCCCTCACATAAAGATCAGAGAATCACAGAATATCTCAAGTTGAAAGGGACCCATGGGGATCATCGAGTCCAACTCCCTGCTCCTCACAGGACTATCTAAATCAGACACATATCACTTGCTGATTACCTAAAACCAAGTGCTCTCACCTTTATTTATATCAGCTTGGGTGAAACTTTTGACAGGTCCTTTCACAGAGATCTGGACTGGATTATCAGTTTTGGTCAGCTGCAGATGGCCCATGCTGGGATCCCGCTTCATGACAAATCTAATCATTGTGTCATCTAAATAAATAGCTGCTGCTTTCAAGTGCTGATCTGTGAGGCGTGCTGCAGAGCCTGGACCACAGAAAAAAGTCCAAAACCAGTTTCAGCTAATCCAGCTAAGAAACTGGTTTAGACTGGACCATACAGCAATACCAAGCAACATCATTCTCCTCCCTTTCCCCATACCAGCTGGGAGCTGCAGGTTCCTGTTGACAGCTAACGTGGGTGGCTGCTTCTTCGGCAGCTCCATGGAGAACTCCAGCCTCCCCATCTGTGTGTAGAGACCATCCGTGATGGAGAAGCCAAACTCATCTGTTTGTGCTGCTGCTCCACTCTGAGTATAAACGATCAGCTCATCCAAAATGTCCTGGTAGGTGAAGGAGGAGCCCATGGACAGCACGTGTCCGTGCTCCGGGTGCTCCACAGCAGTCTGCCTCCTGCGAAGGTTACCTGACAAACAATAGATGGATGAAGGTTATGGGGAGTAGACATCCTGCTGGGGACTCAGTGCCAGCTCGCAATGGGATGTACAGAATTGGACACAGCCTTACCAGAAAAACTGAAGGAAATTACCCGCTTATTGCTAAAACCTGTAAGAAGTTGGCTACACGCGTGAGATCTGAAAAAGGGTACAGCCCTCGCTAGTTGAACATGACACCAGCCTTCACTTGACACCCTGCCTTGCTTTGTCACTGCAGATAGATGCTGGTTGCCCAGGTCTTTGGAACTGAACCCCACAGAAGGAAATGGAGTAATAGAAAAGGGAACTTTCTAGGGAAATGCAGTCCCCCTTTCTCTTCTACAAAGAGTGAGGGACAAGTCTCAAAGAACAGGCCTGTTCTGAAGCATAATCTTTCTGTGGTTGCTGGTCCAAACACAGACTAAATGCGCTTTATGCAAATACATCAGGCTCCTTTCTCATATCAAGGCCAGGTTGGAAGGTCTTGGAGCAACCTGGTCTAGTGGAAGGTGTCCCTGCCCACAGCAGGGGGTTGCAACAATGAGCTTTAAGGTCCCTTCCAAGCCAAACCATTCTAGGATTCTATCACACACAAACATACAGACACTGATGCACAAAGACATACTCCCTCTCACACTGCCAGCTTGTCAGGACTTACCATGTTCAGGACTTCTGCTAACCATGATGACAAGCTCACTGTTCTGGGTGTCCAAGTCCTGCAGGTTGAGGGAGGCGTTGGTAATCACAACTGAGCCTTTGTCCACTCTGACAGGCTCCAGGACCATCTTTGGGGGTTCATCGTTCTGCCTCTGCATGTATCCCAGTCATAAAAGGGAATTAGTCAAGGGAAAAGACTGCTGCCCATCTGAATGAAGTACAAGCTTCCAAACTACAGTACTGGTACTGATATCCATTGCTGAGCTACACCAGTCTCTCCAAATTTATCCAGCATTATGGCTGCTTCTAAGAGGGAGGAGACACCAGAGAAATAAGCCCTGAGGAAGAGGCTGCAATGCACAACTACTGTCTCTCATCACAGGCAAATTAAGTGCCTGTACTAGGGCAAGGAAACTGAGAGGAGGATGGAAATCCCTTTTAATCCTCTCACCATGTATTACAAAGGTGTGAGCATGTAGTTTAAAAGCCATGTGTCTATGCAAAAGGAGAGGGCTCTGGAAGCCAGAGAGCAAAGGTGTACCTGAATTGTGATGTTCATGCTCTGCACCTCAGACTGGCTGAAGCCATCGCTTACATAAAAGCTGAAAACATCACTTGTTGGCTCAATGCTTTCATGGACACTCTGGAAGTAGTAAATGCTGTTCTCCAGAACATCCTGAAGGGAAAAGGATGCGTCTGTAGTCACAGCAGACTCACCCTGCGGGCCAAAATTCTCACCTGCAAATCAGAACACCAGTAGAGAAAGAATGTTCAATTCACTGATAAATTAAATGAAGCAGGATTAGGAGAAGAATGACACATTATGAAGGGTGCAGAAGGATGTTCATTCCTGTAACACGGCTTTCACACATCTTGTAACCTTTGTAGAAAGCAGCATCTACTGCATTAGTGTAGTCATTAGGGAAGCTGAAGTTTTATGAATAGTACAAGCAAGCCCACATCCCTGAATTACTCAGGCTTTTTTGAGAGATGAGGCAACAGGCAATGTGCCATTGGCCTCACCACAACCTCTACATCGAGCTTCACCTTGCAAAACTAAGTCTCATACCCAAGAAAATCAGCCAGCTTTTGCATGTTCAAGGAGAGAGGCTCACCATAACCACAATGGCACAAACTGGAGTTCATTCACAGGACACTATCAGGAGGGATGATGTCTAATGGTTAGCAACCCATGCTCTCCAGAAGAAAGGTAATTGTTGTTATAACAAGCCACTGTGCTGGCCGTATGGTGATATTTTACAAGGGCAGGTTATGATTTAAGTAAAATGATACATTCCATTCCTGTTAGGACCACATACAGGATTAAGCGGACAAGTCTTCTGAATGAACATCTTCGGACAACATAGTATAAATCCTACCTTTTCTTGGTAATACAATGAGATAAAAGAATGTTACCAGCCATGCTCTGCCACAGCTCTCACAGCCTTAAAGCTTGCTGGACATTTAGAGGAATTCAGCAAAGTTTGCTCTGTGCAACAAGGACAGCCAAATACATAAACAAATGTATTTTCATTTGAGAAGAGCCTTGAAAAGGCTCTTAATTTCCCAGTCTCATAGCATAGACCAGTCTTCAACAAATGAGAATTAGGAGGAAATGCTCCCCAGAGACAGTTTATCTTGTAATGCTGACCTTATGAGCTGCGAGGTGACAACCAGCTCTACAATGAGGAACTGCTGTGAGACAGAATAACACGTGCTTCAGCATGCTTCAGCATAGCAATGCCTATGTTCCCTTTAGTCAGCCAGAAGGAAGAAGAGACAGCCAAGTAGTTTACCTGTCTTAGTGTTTTCAATGTAGCCATACATAGGCAGAGTGATAACTTTGACCCTCAGGTCTTCCTTGGCAGCAGTATCATAATCAGCAGCTAAGTGTTGATGAGCCAGCAGTGGGACTCTGCCTCCCTCATCCACCTGGAAGGCAAAAGAATATAAAAACTACTTCCACACAACACATTGTGTTGTGTTGCAGGCAACACACAGCAATCCATGAGCAGAATAAGCCTGCCTCTATGGAACAGCCTTGCCCAGTCTTTGAAGTCCTGTCCTGCCCTCCCCTAGGTCTGTTAAGCATCAAACCAACTAGGAGGTAAGGTGGGATGTTAAGAACAAAGCCAGCCTGCCCCCCTCTGAGTGCTTTATCAGGGCAAGAAGAGAAGTGGCAGAGTCATGCTGACCTCCTGGAAGGTGAGATCTGCATTTCTTGTTGAGGAAAGCCTTTTGAAGGCAAGGGAAGGGGAATGCAAAGCTGAAAAAGAGGGAGATGACTTCAAAAGGCTTTGATAAGGAGCATGAAATGCTGTGTACCAGTCCAAAGCACCAGATGTTTTCAAGACTTGTCTTCTGCTCATCTTTTACACACAAGCTGGTAAAATAAGGGATGAAATATTAAACAGGACTAGGTCAGACTTGTTGCACTGATACCCACAAGACACTCTAGGGAGAGTCCAGCTCCTGACTAGAACAGATGTACGCAGCTGAGGTTCAGGGATGAAAGCATATTGTCAGCCTCCTCTGGCCTCCAAGGAATTTATTAGCCCTTTGCACTCAGGATTGAATGGGCAACACCATGTTTCTTCAGTCATTTCCCCTCAGGCCAGGTACACTGGTCAATTCCTCACATTCTAAGACATTCTTGTCACTGTTTCTAGTACCCTGGGTAGCCACTTACCGTGATATGGTCAGCAAAAGCAATGAGTGATGGCATTGTCGGGGCAGATGTGATTGTGATGGTGAACATCTGTCTATCAAGCTGGTTGTTATCAGCATCAAAAACAACAAAGTGGAAGATGTCTGTAACTGGCTGATTGCTGGTCTCAAATGTGGTGGAGTAGCTGTGAAAGTCAGAGCACAATGTGGGTCAGGAAGTCTCACTGACAGTCAGGCAAATACATCTCATCCCTGCATTCAGAGGTGAATGCACACCTAACCTAATTCTGCATGCAGGAAATGCTTTCATTCATAATCTGATAGGATGCAAGAGCAAAGAAAAAACAAAAAAGTTATTTGATACACTAACATAATACAGCCAAGAAATCCCTATGGAAAGTCCACCAAGCTTTTAAACACATGGCTTGAAGGAGAAATGCTCTTTGATACCTGATCCTATGGTTGTTGATGTCTTCCATGGTGAAATTATAAACCTTGGAAAGCTCCTCATCATGAGAGCCTGACATGCGTAAGAGAGTGCCATATGCAGGCAGAGATATTAACTGGATTCTGATCTCTGAGTCAGGAGAATTGTTGTCCTAAACGTAAAGAAACAAACCAAATCAAAATGAGACAAGATGAACTTTTGTTTCCCACCACTAAAAATGCAAAGAGGGATAAAATGTTTTACAGAGGAATGTATCAAGCTAGCTGGGTCAGACCCACAGCTGGTGAATATTAAATGAAGCTCTATAGGTGAGAAAAGTCAACTGGGTTGACATGTTTAGAATCTACCACAAAATGTATTTTCATTTTCTCTCAGCTCAGAGAAATTTCTTTCTGTCTTTGGAGCACATCAACACAATCTCACAGACATTAACCTGATGATTTTGTTTTCAAATTACTTTACAATCCTAGTGGACTGGACCAATTATGTAATGTTATCCAGATACAGTGAGCCAAATTTTAGCTGATAGCTGGCACAGGGAGTAACCGTTGCTCACCATTGCCTCAGACAGAAACACAGAGCTAAGTTCAGTTCTAGTGAAGCTTAGTGTGGAGCAATGCTGCAAAAGCCAGATTTATGTTGAACTAAAAGCTGATTTTGACTCTTCTTAACTACATCAGGCACAACCATCTCTATGATACCCCAACTCAGATGTCATCTTTCTTCTGTAAGTTCTTGTTGGCTGCTTGAAAGATAAGACCCAAAAGCAGAAGTCATCTATATGTTCAGCATATGGGTCAGGACTGACATCTTTCCCCTGGTTGTTTTCTTACTCAGATTAAGCCTGAACAGCTCCCTTGTCAGCCCTCCATCTTAAGAGGAGAACAGGACTGATCCCTTAGAAAAAAACATTCATCTTACCCTACCTTACCCCCTGCAGTTCCCTAATCATCTCTGACAGCCACTACTGTAGGTCTCTCCAGCCTGCACTGCAATCTCTCCTCCCTAAGGGGAGCATATCTGCATATCTGAAATCCACTGCTCATGCATTTGCTGCTAAGTCATCTGCAAGGAGTAAAACACCTTTCTTCTGAATTTCACCAGTCAGATCAACTCCTGTATAACACGTAACTCCTGGAACCAACTCCAAGCTACCAAGGAGTGCAGCATCTTGGGTTCCTGAAACCTCCCACCTTCAAATTCATCCAGAAAAAGAACAAGGCAATTTCAGAAGGGGAATGTGGGAGATGAAATTTTCAAGGGATTATCGCTTAGCAAATCCATGAGCTTTATCAGCAAGTCTGACTGATACAAAAATCTGGGATTAACTCAGTTCTCATGGTTAGCATGGCAGTTCACCTCTGTTCCAGTCAAACACAGATAGCCTTAAAACCCTGGATGAAAGAGTCTATTATCTCCTTTTTTGGCAGCAGTAGTCAGGACACAGTCAAAACTCGAGCTCTCTACCAAGAATCCACACTGATGGCAGAGTTGTGTGTGATGAAGGCTCCTTGCGAGGAGAAAGAAAGAGATAAGGGCTGGCAGCATTCACTAGGTTTAGAAATAGAGGAAAGCTTACAATATAAGCAAGGTGCAATCGAGAGAGAGTCACGGAGCTTTTACTAGCCACGGTGACTGCCAACAAGCAGCCTGGAGCCAGCTGTGGACCGTTGGTATCCAGCAGGGACACTTCCACCCTCAGCACTGTGGTCACTGTGGTGACACCATCCGTGACAGAGATCTCCATGCTGTCCTCTGTTGCTGATGAACCATCATGCACGTACTGCAGAGCATTTCGAGTGACATCCTCATAGGTGAAGGTGTCACCTTCCCAAAAGAAAAATGCACAAGTCAGAAAGGCTCTCTTCAGAACACCTATTTCAAATGACCTAGGGGCTCCAATTTAGCAAAGGACTTAATAATGTACTAAACTAGCAATTAATACTGTCCTTACAGGGATGTGAGTTATGAAGGCATTTATTAGTGGGCTCATGTACATGCAGGGCAGAGGAAAAGCTGGAACCTTCAGAGTTTCACAGATTCCCTTCAAAATTCCCAGGGAGTGCACAGCTCCTCCTCTCTTCCCAGCTGCTTTGTAAGCTCATGCCTGTCATAGCTAGATAAGGCTTCCCTCTCCACATCTTCTGTTTGCACTACTCTCCTACATCTAACATTGGTTCATCTGATCACGCACTGGATATAGCTGCCACCAAAATCAACATTAAAACTCTACAGGAGCTTTCGACTGCTGAATGACAACAGATTTACATGGACTTCTGTAGAAATGTTCACTAGATTACTTCAATTAATTACTTCATATATGGCTTACCATGTAAAACAAAAAAGCCTTTTGATTAGCAGCTGGTTACAGGCAGAGGATTCACACACTTACGGATGCAGCCCTATCTGCCAGAAGCATCTGTCCTGTCCTGGTCAACTAAAGCAGCTATGTGGACAGGCACACGCTGACCCCTCTCTGGTGCTGACAAAGACTTCTGCTCAACTCACCTGCTCCCATGTGCTCCTGCATGTCTGCACTGTACTTTAGCACAATGCCATGACGGGGAGGTTTTACCAGCTCAAAGAAAAGACCCTCGGGAGCTGTATCCGTGTCACTCACAGCTAGCTGTATCCCTGTGTTGGAGAAGAGAGTGCAATTTCAGCATCCTCAGGCACTACACTGGGAATATCCCTTAGGTTTTGTGATGTGCTCTTATGAATGGAAGGAAAAAACTGTAATTCAGTCAGTATGTGCAAATCAGAATAATTCTGGAGCTGCTCTAACCCAAGACCTTTCTGGTTTCATGGAAATAATTAGTCCCCTGATGATGCTCAGATCAGATGTATTGGAGAACTTACTGTTAGCATGGTTCATGAATGACAGCTATGCAAAACCTTGGCTTATGAGACAGAAGTGCACAGTTTTCTCAGTGGTTGCTGCTACACCTGTACAAGCATGTCCTTAGCTACAACAGACAGAGGTGAGTGAGACCAAAACTCCACTCTGTTCCATTCATGTGGCCTCCTGGCAATAAACACTGTGCCTCAGGCTGAGCTCTGCACCCCATCCCTTGTGCCCTACTCACCAATGGTGGCTCTGCCCCCCTGGCTGACCTCCAGGAATGGAGCTGTGATCTGGAACACTGGAGGCTGCTGTTCCGTAGAGAGCAAATGAATGACAAACACCATCTCCGGGGTTGTGTGCTCTCCATCAGACACTAGACACAGACAAAACCCACACCTGAATGTAGGGATATGTTTTCAGGCGCTCACCTGGAAAATTCACCCTTCTGTACAAAACCACCATCTTGACTTCTCTCCCACCTTCACTACACCTCTAAGGACATAAACACACAGTTCACGCCTGACAAGAGTATTTATCTTTGCCCCTAACTTGACTCCTGGCAGGACAAATGTAGCTTCTACAAGTCTATGTCTGTACATACTGTCTTCCACATATCTGATTTATGAGTGCATCAGATGCACTCATAAATCAGAACACGGACTTCTCCTTGCCAGTAGAACATTTTGCATACCTATGCTAGAAAACACATAGAAAGGGAATGATGTGTTAAACAGCCAAGCAAATTATCAGTAGTAATTTAATTGTGGAAATGTTTCCAATACTATATTAAAAAAAAAAAAATAGTGTAAAACTCTGATGTTCTTGTTCACACTGGGAGAAATCAGGCTTTTAGGACAGATTCCAGGCAACTACTGGAAAAAGATGTCTCTACTGAGCTGCAGCTTAGCTTCTATAAAACACTGCTGGGACACAGATGAATTCATATTCCCCAGGCGTGTGCATTTCCAGAAATTCCTACTGAGCACCCATAGGTGTGCTTGCAGCAGAAGAAAAGCCAAGGAATAGCAGGCAGCATGAAGGGTACAAGGATAAAACCTGCTTTGCCCCAGAAAGAGCAAATGGTTCACGTACCTGTGAATCGGAAGTTCACTGACTCTGGGAGACCTGAGGGGACAAACACCAGCACAGAGTAATTGTGGTCAGGCAGGAAAGCACATACTGATGTAGACTGGAACAACTTTTGGAGGGAACAAGTGCCTTTGCTTCAGGTAATGAGAGATAACATGCTACCCCTTCTTCCAAACTGTGAAATGCCTCCTGACGTCCTGACGTTAGTGAAGTGCATGGTGATACATAGAACTGCATCTACCATGTACTGTCACTTCATTGCACAATCCTGTGCAAATATGCTTGAAGTTTGTCCTATTTTTGCCCTTCTACCTCCTGCTCCAGACGTTATTCCTCTGATGATAGGAATCTTTTAACATCTTGGTTAAACTGAGTCAGCTCATACTCATCAATTCTAGTCTCAATCTCAAGGGCTAAACTGCCAGCGCATCAAAGATCCCAAGCATGGGAAGGGCTACAGCTCCTAATCCCACAGCAGATCAGCAGTTTGCCCAGCACAGCACCTAGTATCAGCATCAGCAATTCTAAATGCTGCAGTGAATGCTGCCACATCCCTATAATTCACTAAACATTGCTTATCAAACCACAGATTTCTGCTTCCTTTCTGTCATTCAAGCCTCATGCTCTCACAAGTACAGACATAACCATTAAGTCATTCCAGGACTGGAGGAAGACAGAAGTCCAGCTACCTCTACCAGTCTGGCAAGGCACTACAAAGAACATCCAGTTCCTTACCCGCAAAGGAGAACGCAATGATCTCTCTCAAGTGAGGAGCTGCAGTTGGCGGACGATAAGCAATCTTGCCATGGTTTATATCTGCTTGGGTGAAATACCTGACTGCGGAGAGAGGCCTGTCTCTGTGCTCCACAATACCTATAGAGGTAGAGAGCTCAGTATTAACAGCAGGAATTCATCTTATTTTTAAAACAAGATACCAAAGGCCACAGCTTCTTTTTCTTTCCCCAGGTGCTTCTTTTTACATCTTCAGTGGTTCCTGAATCAGCAAGATGGCTGTAACTTCTTGGAATATGAGAAATTAAGAGATTCCTCACTTTGTCATTCCTTCAAATACCTCTCACTAGAGAGTCGGAAAGCAGAAAGCCATTCAATATATTCCAGACAATAGTAAGAAAACTGCCAGAGCAGTATGGCTAGCTCCTAAACAAGCCAAAGAATGATACTCTAAGGGAAAATGATGTGATCAGAAAGCACAGTAATTAATTCAGCATCAAGCTGCCATGCTCCCAATAGGTACACTTGCCTTGGCCAGGAAGGAGAGGGACGGTCACGTTGAACAGGATTTTCTCACTGGGAGTCTCCGGGTCTACAAAGGAGAGGTGATGGGGCTCAATCACTGTCACACGGTCCTCCAGCACCTCAATAAATACATACGAGCATCAAGGCCAGAGAAATGGGAAAATTCACCCCAAAATGCACTGAAATAGGATTTGCTTTGCTGTTCTTAAATATAATAAACATAAAAGTGTCTTATATATAATAAACATAAAACTGACAAGGGATGGATGGGCTGAACCTTAATCAAGTCTCTCTTCTTTTTTGACCTACAGCAACTAAGAAGAGATTCAGGAGAATCTAATTTGATCAAAACCTCCCTGAATGAAGATCTAATTAATTGCCTATGTAGTTTTCTGGTGTAGTCTGATATGGTTAGACTGGATTTGTGTTTGAAAGAAATCCTGGAAACAACTCAGCCATTTCCATTGGAATATAGAGGAATCAAAGCTTTCCCTTTGTTTTAAATCCCTCTAAAAATGTTCTAATCATTCCATTACAATCACATCATTAGCTAAAGGCTGGCAGTGTGTTAGTGGAATTACAGTGCTGAATGAACAGACTTAAGTGCATAAAAGCAGTTAACTTGCATGCGTTCATGAACCTTAATCCTGTGGAATTAATAGCTATGAGAAGTCACAGAATTAAACAGTTCAGCTGGGTATGAAAAGCATCCAGCTCATTTCATAATCATGAACAAAATATGGAGAGAACAAACTAAACTGAAAACACAGGCAATTAATTCATCTGCTTTGGAACATGAAATGATCAGGTTCAGCAACACGTTACAGGTTTTCACTTGGAAACACTTAACATTTTGTGCTTTCTCTTCAGCCAAGAAGACAGACTAATTTTGAAGGAGTCTGAAGACGAATGAACAGAACTCAGTCACGCTAAGGCAAGGAAGTGCAATTTTATAATGGAAAGATTTAAGGTTATGGTTGCTTCATAGTTGCCTCCAAGGCCTATTTGTCTCTCCCAAAGGAAGGACTTGCAGGTTTTAAGGGGCCCCTCAGTAAAACGTATTTTATGGCACTATTGGATTTTGCAGTGTGTAATTAGCTATAAAATCCAGCAGTGCATGGCTCAGCCAGATATCTCTCCCATCAATTTTATCAATAATAACAACAACAGAAAGTCAAGAGCAGAAAGATACATTGCTGGCTATTGCTCCAAGTAGCAGTCTGAGCATATTTTATTATTGCCTGGGAAAGGTCACCACTATTTTAAACCCTGACAAGGCTGTTGTGTCATGAAATTTTCACTAATCCCTCTCCCACCTCTTCCTTTGGCTTTTCCTGGTCCCACACCTGGCAGGCTGTACTGGTTTAGGAGCCCTTCACCTGTCCTTATGTGGCTCCTCCCTGAGACCCATTGCCCCTGGGAGGTCTGCCACACCTACCCTCCTGCACTGCCTCTCAGGGTGCTTTTGTCTGTCAGAGAGTGCCCAAAGGCACAGGATTTCTGTTTGATAATGCTGAGTGTATGGCTGGCACCTCACATTCTCTAAATAAATCATCAGGAATGAGTAACACCAAAGATGACTGCATGCTGTCTTCAAGTTCGTAGACCCAGCTCTCCCTCTCCCTGCATGCAGCTTCTGCCTGCTATTTCCATGTTTCTTGTAAGTCCTCATCTCTGCTTTCTCAACACAACAAAGCTATGAGGCAAGGATGATGTCTAAATCAAACTCTGCCTCTGGGGTCCTGGCTCTCTGTGCATCCCAATGGGTGACCTGGGCGCTGAGCCCTGAAGCTCGCCTCTAGCCCATTCACTTGGGATCCCTCCCTGCAGAATCAAAAAACAGCAGACAAGCAAGAGAAGAAGAATGCTGGAATTCACCCACGTGTGAACGTGTGATGGGGACATGGAAAAGGCATGCACCAAAGTCTGAGAGCTCACAAAACCAACTTTAAACTTCCAAGTCATCTTTCCAATCAACACACTCAGGAAAATAATTACATTAGGAGACCACTCTTATCAAAATGTTCACTCCCAGAGTTGATGATGGAATAAAAGGTTCAGTTCCATGGATGCAGTGCTTGTCTGAATGTTTTCCACATACATTATAATCTATGTTTCTGATGTCAGAATGATGAATGAAAACCTCCTAATGTGGGTGGTCTACAGTTCTGATAGTTTACTGTGGTATTATTGGCAAGATCTATTCACTACAGTCTCTCTAACCCACAGTTTTTCACTCCGGCCGTTCCTAATGCTTCTCAGGAAAGGGTAAGAATTCCATAAAAAGATGTTAAACACCTTAACATCCCTCTCCTTTCCAATCTATACATTCAGAACTTATAATATTGAGATTTCCAACTGTTCATGGCTATTTTCTCCCCTGTCTTTACTCTTCTAACCTGTCTTTTTTTCCATTTCTACTTCAGCCACCTATCTGGTGCACATACCCTGTTTCATAGATCTAATTTGATATTTGAATCAAACACAGTAGCACGGGTAATAGCAAGTAGAAGAATGAACACTCAGTGGCAACTGCTTTATGTGGGCTCTGGTCACTGTGCAGTGCTGCAAGACGAGTGGGAACACAGAAACCATCAACCAGTGGCGTTGGTTCATACTTACAGCCATGTGCAAAGAGGAGCCGAGGGAAAGCTGAGGAGCTCTGGGTGTCTGTGGGAGAACTGCAACATTGAAGACATGGCTTTGCAAGCTGGACTGTGGACTGGTAGAGCTAGATACCTGGGAAGAAAAGATTAGATGAATGGATACCTGGCAGAGGACACCACTGCATTTCTAGACCAGTTTCATACGCTCCCTCTGCTCTTCCCCTGATCTGGGAAGGCAATGACACACCTTTCCAGTAGATACCAACCCAAAGCATACATGAATGGTAGTGAATGGGAATTAAGGCCTTTAAATACTAACCATTACCTGCTTGCACAATCTAGAAATGGTTGATTTCTTTATTAACATTTAGAAAGGTATCTATTTGTCAGTTCCCTACCTGCTGTTCATTCCTGCTTCCCCCAGTCACTGCCATAGTTTTACTGAATTTTACTTCAACTGTCTGTACACCTTAATGGAACTTTTCATCACAGGAATGACAAAAAAAAAAAAAAAAGGTTTTTTAAACCTTTTTCCCACCTTAAAATGACCACTGGTTGTGCTGACAAGGTGAAAATAACTGGTCTTTTAATAAAAAGCACTGCACTGGCAGTGACTCCCTGTGATCCCAATATCTTCCCAGACAAACTGTGCTTGTGTTTCAGAGACACATAAATATTTTCCATATCCCACTAAAACACCAAGGTTAAGTCAACAGAATCTAAATCAAAATGGCAAACCTGCAGTAATGATATTAAATTTGTAAAAAATCAAAGAAAATTTTACAAACCATCCCTAGAGATAAGCCTGCAAATGTTCACAGCAATCCTGAGATAAGGCAAGCACCCTTTGTAAAGCACCCTTTACACCCTCTTTCTTTGTTGGACACAGTCACAGCTTTATCTTTCAGTAGGGATTGAAGTCCATGCTTCAAACCAATAGAGCATTTTGTAAACAAGAATGGACTTTAGCCCAAACTTAATTTCAAGAAAATGCATTAAAAATGCATAAAAATGCATGCTCTGCTGAAGTGAATGAAATTATTTTAGCCATTTGCTGGCCCTGTTTTCAGTTGATGCCATCTGCCTGGTAATTGCCAAAATATTGATGAAAAGGTGTCAACACTTTCTGAGATGCCCCAACGGACAGTTCAAGACTTGGACAGATGTATTCTCATCTCCGATGTGACCAAGGCCATCACCACTTTCTTTCTCAGTAGGGCTCTCCATACAGTTATTGCTGCTGCTCCAAGATAGGAAACCCAAACATTTAGCTTATGCAAAATGCATACTCTATACGAGGAATGTAGCAATTAAGCTAAAGATTAGCTTGTTCAACATTGACGCTCACAAATTCCTCATTATCACTTATGTTAATTACTTTAGAAATTACCTTAATTGCTGTTCTGGTGCTACAGTAATAGCTTCTGACTTGTAAACCAGATGTAACAAATACCATGCGCAAGTGTTCACACAGGCTTAGCATTAGGGGAGGCTGTTAAACTTTCCAAGCAAACAGCAAGGACCTATCTAAGGAATTTTACAACCTGTAGGGAGATGGAATTTATTGTAGTGTTACATCTGCTGGGGAGTATTTGCACCTTTTTGTCTGTTTGCAAGAAGAAATACTCTAGCAAAAATTGAATTATTAGCTTAGAGACTGCAGAAAGTAGGAGGGTTGCTTGGTTTTGGGGGTTGCAAAACAATCTACAAACAGGCATTCAGAAGACTTTGTGCTTGGAGTACATATCACAGGGTTTATGACAGGGCGATGTAGTCGCCATGCAAGATCGAGGGGTTGAACCTCCTGAACTGCAAATGGTGCATCAGAACAGCCAGGATATGAGATGCAGTAACACACCTCGCACAGGGAAGCCCTTTCACAGATGTCTGGATCACAGGGATACTAGGGGACCTCTGTAAGGGTCTCCCCATGAAGATCCAGCACTCGGAGGATTATCTAGGACAGCCAACATGCTGCCATCCTGTCATACTGATGGGCTGTTACAAGCCTACTGGTTTCATCTTTTGGAAGTTGTAAGTGCAGATCTGCTTGCCTGTTAACTCTGGGGACTCTTGATCTCAGAGAGCTTTCCTGCTCAGACAAGCTAGAAGGCACTAGGACAACATCCTTTCTTTTTACAAAACCCCGTTCCTCCCTGAGCTGGAATTGCACAGAAAAACAGGCCAGCTATTAACAGCTTAAACGTTAGATGCTACTTGACAAGACAAATTTTTTCAGATTTGCAATATGGCCTGTGATTTGACACCCAGAAGGTTAATGCCCTTGCACATGGCTCAACAGTATGGGTAGCTGGCTGGCTTCACTGCCACAGATTAAAGCCTAGGGGTCCACATGCAGCAAAAGCTCTCTTGTGCATGAGTAAGAGACTCCCATGAATACAACGATGGGCTGCATCCATCCTGACATATAAGCACATTCATCTACAGGCAAGCAGCATGCACCCATACACACATAAGTCTGTATGTGAATACAAATATATATTTACACACCTATTTGTGTGTGCATGTATGTGTACATGTATGTGTATCTATTAAAGCTTTGGGTCACAATGTACAGGGAACAGCAGACAGTAATCTCAGATAAAAACGCCAGAAGAACTGCTGTGTGACTCTCCCCATGAATATGATGAGGAGTACCTGGAATTGAAAGGAGTCACTTTCTATTTCAGATCCAGAGTGCCTGTACCACACAATGCCTTCGTTGATGTCCTCCTGGGTAAAAGAAGATGTAGGGGAGGCTGCTCTTCCACCAGGCAAAAGCTGCCATGAGTTTGCTGGGCCATCTGCTGGCATTGGAACCAGAAGCACCACTTCACCTGGGAAAAGCAAAGATGAACAGCCAGGGCACAACTTGCGAGAAAACACAGAGGAACACATGCTTTTTCATCAACTAATGAGTTGACAAGAATGAGGCGCAATCAAGGTTAAATAGCATTGCAGCAGACTATCCATCTTCCCCTCAAGGGTACAGCTTCAGTATCAGAATACAGTATGCTGATTTTTTCAAGGTCAGCTCTTTGCTAGCTCTTTTCAGGACTTATTATACCAAAAAGTATACTCAGCCAACTTTTCTGAACAGAAATCTTAGAGTTCTTGAACAGATAAAGGACCTGGTTTGTAGATCTTACTCCAAAAGTATGTAGCTTTTATATCTCTAACATCCAGCTTATTTTTGCATTAGATTCTCAGCAGAACTGAAATATCAGTGCCTTTACTGCAGATATGACAGAGAACAGCACAGCAGGATGGGGGCATGTCCCACTCATTATCAGCTTTCCTCACAGATGCCTGCAAGGATTGGATTTTGATGTCACTACTAATGTTCTATTTATAAAATTACTCAAAGAGCCACGTGCTACTCACCAACAAAAGGGTATCAACATTTGGTCATCAATTTCATTGATGTGAACATTTTTCCTAACACACATAAAGGAAATTAAAATCTGACAAAGAGCTACAGTATTGAAACAAATGGCATATTTTTCTATTTTACAATGTAATTTACTTGACTTGGAGTTAACATACAATCTGTGAAAAAATTATACCCTCTTTCCCCTATCTGTACTATTCTTGACTATATAAAATTTATCTGCTCTTTAAATTACTTATTAGTTGTATATTGTGCTTTTCCACCAGTCTTCGAACATATCCCTCATGGCTACTAATTTAGAAGCCACATATATTATAAATCACTTCAACTCTCTTTACAGCATTAATCATTCTGTTATGCAAAATATTCATCTTAAGCTCTCCCATTTCATTTCCAAACACACCCTCAAACAGTTCGAGCAATAAAAATATAATTCAGCAAGATGAAATATACTTCCATTTTATCATCAAACTCTATGCTAATATTCCCTTATCGGTGCCCTAATTACATTCCTAAACTTACGCTTTTGCTCATGGGAGTTCACCACTTTAATCTTTTGTGTGATTTTGAAAGATGCTAATCACATACCCAAAGGAGTTAGGGCCTGCAAGTTGTTTACCCCTCCCAAAGTATAAGAAGAAACAATCAGAACATAATAGCTTTTTAAAGCAAGATGCAGGTGTATGTGTCTTCTTATAAATTAATATTTAACATTATTAGAAGGAACAACTCTGTAATGTTTACTTATATAGTTTATGATTACCATTTCATTTGAAACATTTATTTTTTTTAAAGTAGAAAAGCACCTGTTCATAGGTTACACACATGAACATGAAATTTGTGCACGTCAGGAGGAGGGGATCTGGACAGAGATCTTCCTTCCCTAATTATACCCCTTTTGTTTGGTTTCAGAGTCTTGAAGTAAAGAGCAAGAAGCATTCTTTGTCCACACACCCTGTAGCTACACATACAGGAATGCAGTAGCTAATTCTAAAGTGGTTTTCCTTTTTTCCTTTCTATCTAAAAATCAAATTATATATTTTCTACAGGCAAGAATATCTTTTTCCTTAGTCAAATCCTAAGATAGGCAGATAAGCCCTCATTTATTCAGGAACCATTTTCTACATTGCTCTGTCTTATTTTTTCCCTCCCTTTCTGTGAAATGGCATTTTAGATAAAATTTTGAAGATCATTGATTTTTACTGCTTATTCCTCACCTGCAGCTACAAACCCATTTGTGTTATTGCAATTAATTACAGTAGAGCTAATTATGGTGATACAAATACAGGTTTATAAATTTCAGTTACGGTTAGGCAGCAGGAGACAAGCTCCTCAGGGAAAAATTCTTGTTTTCATATAAATGCTTATTAAAAATGAGAAGTCAGTCCTTCATCTGCAGAAAACTAGAGGGGAAATACAAATTAATTACTTCTCTTCTGAACTGCAAAAATAACATAATCAATGTTTCCATCAAGTACTGGCAGCTGTTACGGAAACCAGACTATCCTTACAGCAAAAGGCAAAAAAACAGCACTGAGGTTGCTAATGGGATCTTCTAATTTTATGCAGCTCAGCAAATTAAAAGCAATGATATAATTTCACGGAAGTGCAAAATGTATTATTAAAAGACATGGTTCTAGTGGAGAAAATGGTGATGCTGAGCAGGAAAACATCATTTTTCTGTCTACATTAACCTTCCATACACATATGACATCTCTCTTGTCCACCCACTTTCTCCCAGTTTGTATCTCAGCCACAAATCCCAGTACCTTCCACGCACCTCCCTTGCCTAGGTCCAGAAGATACTCTGCAGAAGATAAGCAGCAGTTCTATGCATGGGGCTGCTCGTGGAAGCCATTATTGTGACAGATGAGATCAGAGCCTCTCAGAAGAATTTGGAGACAAGAATTATATGTAGATGTCACCAATTTCTGCCTGACTCAATAACCCCTTTCATTAACAAAAGTTAAATCAAGTGTCATGGAATTTACAAAGCTCTCCAGCTCCCCACAGTAAACTTTTGCTCAGCAGTTTCTAGGGCTAGCTATTACCCTATGCTCCTCTTAAACCAGACATTCACTGTAGAATGTTATCTTTTGGCAGTAAGAATCTGCTCTCACAAGGCTATAAAACCACCAGAATTTCACTACCGCTAGAGAAACACAGTTGCAGATGACTAGGCAGGACAATAGCGCTTCATTCCTCTGCATGCCCATTTGAACTGGAAAAAGATGAGGTTAGCAGCACTTACTCGGCATATTATTACAAGGAAATATCCCCTCAAATGCCATTTGTTGTAGGAAAAATACAATGGAAAAGCCACATTCACATGGGCCTGTGAAGAACACCCTCTTCCCCAGAAGTAACTAGAACTCTGCACTTTTATTTAGCCCATGGACATCTTCGTGCATGTGGGGTGAAAGGCAACACCCTACAGGTGCTTTGTCACAACACTCCAGAGGTATTTACCATGTCTTGGCTGGTCCTTGATGATGGTATAGGTTATCTCAGAGTCACGGACACCGGGCAGCTCAGCATGCAGAATGGTCTTGGAGATCTGTAGCATGCCTCCCTGGGGAACCCACACCAGGGAATTTGTCACCAGCCGAGGGCTTCTGTCACTCTGCATTTAGGCAGAAAGCAGAAAAAAAGGCTTAACTGAGTGTCAACAATGCTGCACTCATGGAAACAGATTTTCAAGTGAAAAGGATCAAGCAGAATATTTTGGAATTTGTTATGCATTCAACCCCGGTTGTCTGCTCCAAGAAACAACTGTGCATTCTTCACCTATCCACAGTCGAAAATTCACTACTATCAACATCTGAAAACAAATTATCCAGTCTACTACACCAGTTTGATGGGATTCACATGTTCTCTTACATCTCCCCATTTGAATTCTAAAAACATACACCTTTCAAGGGCACTTACAGAACAACAGCTTCTTACCCATTCAAAAGTGTCTCTGTATGGCACCTCCACTATCTTTACACGATCTGCAACTGTTACCACCTTTCCATGAGCAAACCCAGGCTCCAGACCAACCCTATGCTTGTCTACAAGATGGGGGAAAATTGAATTTAATTCACATTTCACTCATTAACTACTGCATCAAACACACATCACTTTTTTTGCTAAGTTAGAACATACTTGCAGGAAGACTTTTAGATCAAGTTTCCTCTCTCGTGGTGGGACTTAAACCCATGGTGAAGCCATGTCTTAAATCACTTTTGTGAAACTGAAGACTGCCTGAACATACACCAAAGTCTTTTGCTATGTGATGGGTTTTCAAACCTTCAAATTACTCCTGTGGCTTTTTTTTTCCCAAATAAATATTTATCATATTAAGTCAAGCTTCTTAACATGTGGACATGAGGACTGGATGCAGTAGTGGCTTCACTATCATTTTCATGTACTTCAGTAACACTACTTTGGCATTCAAGGATTTTACTATCCCTTTTTAGCTCTAAATTAACTTTGTTAGATTATGCTCTGTTGGACAGGCAACCAAAATCCCCGTGACCTCTTCTGTGTTCTGGTTCTTTCTTATAAGTCCAACTGCTGTAAATGTGACTTCTTTTCTTGATTTCTGCACATTCACCTTGAAACTGGCTGTGGTGAACTGCAAAGTCAGTCAAAGTCCTGACTGCTCCATAGAATTGATCATCCTCATTTACTACTGCACATAATCGTGTGTCACTCCAAAACTGATAAATGCCTTATTACTATGTTCTTCTGAATCTGCAGCAGACAGTAGAGAGGGCTATAAAGATGTTTCTGAACAAGAATCCCATTAAAGGATGATTTCCCATCTCCATTTTGACGCCTGTTGTGCACCTTTCACCCATGTAGTTTGTATTTCACCTATTTTGCACAGTGTTTATTCTTATATGCCATTTATATGCCACCTATATGATCTCAGACTGTGTCAGGTCAAGAGTTTCTGAGCACAAAGGTCAATTATTTTTATAATGAACAGTTAAGAAGAAAACCAGACCCTCTGCCAGATGGCATGAGAACCCTGACAGTATATGTAACTTCCCTCTGGCAAATTCCCTCTGACCTTATTGATCTGAAAACACCATGACATATTCAGGCCTAAGAGAGCATAACTCTGTGTCCTGGGTTCAGCAGTAGCAGTCATGTTTCTCCTCCTTGGTAGCTGGTGCAGTGCAGTGTTTTGACTTTCGGCTCGGGAACAGAGCTGATAGAGATGTTTTGGTTTGGCCAAGGACTTTGTGAGCCTCATGCTCTGCCAGGGAGGAGGGGAAGCTGGGAGGAAGCAGAGACAGGACACCTGACCCAAACTGACCAAAGAGCTATTCCATACCACAGCACGTCATGCCCAGGATGTAACTGGGAGTTAGCCGGAAGGGCTGGGAGACTGCAGGGTTGGAGGAGGTATTGGTCGGAGCTTGGTCGGGCTTGGGGGGCGAGTTATCGGTCAGCGGGTGGTGAGGTGTTGTATTCTCTTCCCTTGTTATTTCCTTTATCATTATTATCATTGGTGGTAGCAGTAGTGATTTGTGTTATACCTTAGTTACTAAACTGTTCTTATCTCAACCCGTGGGAGTTGCATTCTTTTGATTCTCCTCTCCGTCCCTCTGAGAGCAGGGGGCGGGCAAGAAATGGGGGGAAGTGAGCGAACGAACTACCTGACTGGGTTTAAACCATGACACTCTGGAACAGGAAACAAACTCAGCAGGTCAGGAAGGTCCTTGGATTTCTTGTATGAGGAGAGAAAATAAAGACCAGCCACACTTCCAAAGAAGGACAAGCAAAATGCACTGCTTAGAGTGGTTTGGACCACTCGGTCGATAAAGAACTGGCTGGATGGCCACACGCAAAGAGTTGTGGTCAATGGCTCAATGTCCAGCTGGAGACCAGTAACGAGTGGTGTCCCTCAGGGATTGGTGTTGGGACCTGTCTTGTTCAACATCTTTGTCGCTGACACGGACAGTGGGATTGAGTGCGCCCCCAGCAAGTTTGCCGATGACACCAAGCTGTGTGGTTCGGTTGATACGCTGGAGGGAAGGAATGCCATCCAGAGGGACCTTGACACGCTTGTGAGGTGGGCTGATGCCAACCTCATGAAGTTTAACCATGACAAGTGCAAGGTCCTACACCTGGGTCAGAGCAATCCCAGGCACAGCTACAGGTTGGGCAGAGAAGAGATTCAGAGCAGCCCTGCAGAGAAGGACTTGGGGGTGTTGGCTGATGAGAAAATGAACATGAGCCGGCTTCAGTGTGTGCTCACAGCCCAGAAAGCCAACCGTATCCTGGGCTGCATCAAAAGGAGCGTGACCAGCAGGTCGAAGGAGGTGATCCTGCCCCTCTACTCTGTTCTTATAAGACCTCACCTGGAGTATTGTGTGCAGTTCTGGCATCCTCAACATAAAAAGGACATGGAACTGTTGGAACAAGTCCAGAGAAGGGCCACGAGGATGATCAGGGGACTGGAGCACCTCCTGTATGAAGACAGGCTGAGAAAGTTGGGGCTATTCAGCCTGGAGAAGAGAAGGCTGTGTGGAGACCTCATAGCAGCCTTCCAGTATCTGAAGGGGGCCTATAGGGATGCTGGGGAGGGACTCTTCATTAGGGACTGTAGTGATTGGACAAGGCTTAACAGGTTAAAACTAAAACAGAGGAAGTTTACATTGGATATAAGGAGGAAATTCTTTCCTGTTAGGGTCGTGAGGCACTGGAATGGGTTGCTAAGGAAGGTTGTGAATGCTCCATCCCTGGCAGTGCTCAAGACCAGGCTGGACGAGGCTTTGGGTGATATGGTTTAGTGTGAGGTGTCCCTGCCCATGGCAAGGTGGTTGGAACTTGGTGATCTTAAGGTCCTTTCCAACCTTAACTATTCTATGATTCTATAAGAGAAAATATTTCTAAGTGAATGTTCACAGAATCATAGAATGGTTTGATTAAAGAAACACAGAATAAAGAACTCTCACAGTAAAGAATTTCTTTGCTACATCCAACCTAAATCTCCCGTTTAATTTTGAACCCATTGCCCCTTATCCTATCACTGTCCTTACAGGCCCCCTTCAGATACTGGAAGGCTGCTATGAGGTCTCCACCCAGCCTTCCCTCCAGGCTGAACAGCCCCAACTTTCTCAACCTGTCTTCATACAGGAGGTGCTCCAGCCCCTGATCACCCTTGTGGTATCCTCTGGACTTGCTCCAACAGCTCCGTGCCCTTGTTACACTGGGAACACCAGAACTGTTCAGAGTGCTCCAATGTTAACGGGTGATGAAATTCTTTGCAAGAATCCTGGAGACCTCCCTCATCTGGATCTCCTCTAGAGGTCCAACACAGCCCTAAAATAAACATCTTGAGTCTCTTCCTTGTATTCTCCCAGCCTCTCAGGAAAGAAAGGCTTCCACATCCCATCAGCAATGAGCAAATCACATGTGGTTACACCTGACCTTCTCTGACTTACAGTATGTAGGCCTGTTGATCAATTTTCTAGATCACGGGCTTCTAATTCCCCATTGGAGCACCACTGGTGGTGCTCTGCCAAAAAATGAAGCACCAGCAGTTCTCAAATTCATTTCACAGAAGCTGTAATTGTTCAAGAATGTCAACAAAGATAAACAGCAGTGCAAATCTTTATGAAGAGCTCTCAAAATAGAGGCCAGCTGTTCAGACTGCAGTAGATCAAACGAAGAGTTTGGATGGTAGAAGCAGGCTGTTAGGAACCAAAGGGGCTACAAAAAGCACCTTGCAGAAAACAAGGCACAACTGTTGTGAAGAAGCAAGCCCTTCTAATTCATAATATTTGGAATGTTGTTGTCCTTTATGTTTTTACACTTTCACCACAGTGCTCCTACAGATTAATGCCTGAGCTCATTAAATAGGAATCATAAAAAGGTCCTTTCACACCAAGACTTACTATATAGAACCATCCAGCAGCACATCACAACAAGATAAGGAATGTGGTTAAAAAAACCCACACCCTGAGCTTCCACACCTACACCCAGGGTCCTATTGGGCTCTTGAGCATCCTTTGATGAAAAACAAGGGGAAAAAAAACAAATGCCTTGACATGTGTGTGCTTCAACAGCACCTTTTCAGAACCAGACCCTGCATGCATTCCAGCTCCCAAAGCTATTCCACAAAGATGGCAATTAGGATGAGACGGGAGCTGGGTATCTGCCAGCTCTACCCTCATACTAAAAGCTGCTCCACTCTCACCTCTGTCACCACTTTTATTCTTCTCTGTAGCCAAGGACTGCACAGAGAGACTTAGAAAGATAATGAGAGACACGGGAGCACAAAATCAGCTAATAAAAGAAACTAGACATAGCAATTCACCCTCACTGGCATTTACGAGAACCTGCTTAATCAACAGCAAAAAAGAAAAGACGTGTTATGAACAACACAGAGCCTGTCCAAGCTTTTTTACAGTCCTTCTGATCTGATACAGGCTCCTTAGGGAGTGATGTGGGTGAAGACAGCACAGGCAGGGCCGCTCTTATTCCAGGAATCTAGTAAATCAGCACCAGCCTTGAAAGCAGCTTCTTTTTCATTCTGAGACTGATGGGTGAGTCATGTCTCTAATGAGCATTAATTACTAGAGCAGCTTCAGGAGCACCTCAGGGTCCAAACGGGATCAGGTCCCCCTTGCGCTAAATACCCAGACCCATGTAGTGGTTGTAAATCTTATCTAGAATGTTCACGCCCAAGTTGCTGTGAAAGACGTCTAATATGGCAGAGAAAAGGTCAAAAGGGTAATGCATCCTGATTCCTTTTCATTGAGTGAAAGCACTCCAAGATGGTGTAATTCTCAGATTCACACATAAAAACACTGAAAACAGTGGATCAACAGCTCTGTTTTTCATCACTCTTCCCCATTAACTAAAGGATAAGGGAATTTTCAGCTTTCTTTTTTCCTTCTATTTTATTACAATATTAAAATTAAATGAAATGCCTATGAGTACTTTAGCAACTTTATTTTTGTCAAGGTTCCACACCACATAATGTATGTTTTTCACACCTTGTTTGGCTGGGGTTTGTTTAATAAACAAATGGAAAGCATTAAAAGCACCACTGCCTTTAATTTGACTTCTGTAATCTCTATAAAAGTTAATATCAAGTGCCACTTGAAAATTCAAAAAGCTGCTCCCTGTCTGTATTTGGACAGAAGAGACAAACCACCACTGTATAATTATGAACTGCAATAAAAGCAGGAAATAAAAAATAAAGTACTCCTGAATAATTTCTGAATTTAGGTATCTGTTCCTTGTCCTTAGGGAAGCTATCAGGCACAAAGATGCAACAAGTGAAAGATTTCAGCGGAGCAGAACTCCTGACCTTGGAAGACACCACCACCACCAAAGTACCAGTGATTGACCTTAATAGTCAAGTTGTTTCAGTTCATGCATGGACCTTTTGTTTCCCATCACACACACTTCAGTCTGAGAGATTTGCCTATCTCATCAGCCCTCCCTCCTTGCCATCCACTCCATTTGTTCTCTTATTTATTGCCCTCACCAGTACAAAACTCACCTGCAACTCCAGAAAATCTTTTTTTTATCAAGTAACTATGGATTTTGCATTGTCAAAGTGGCAAAACTGGAGCTGAACCATTCCTGTCGCAAACCAAAAATTCACGTGAACTCCAAAACTCAATCAATCCACTGCTTTCTCCTGCCTCTGACCAGAGCCTGTCAGTAATGCAGGATTAGTGACACCTCAGGGACATGATGATACTTCTCCAGATATCTAATTTGCCTGCCACTGCTAGGCTTTGCTCTTCTTTGAAGACAGGCTGAGAGAGCTGGGCTTGTTCAGCCTGGAGAAGAGAAGGCTCCTGGGAGATGTTAGAGCAGCTTCCAGTGCCTAAAGGGGCTGACAAGAAATCTGGAGAGGGGCTTTAGACAGGGGCAGGTAGGGACAGGACAAGGGAGAGTGGCTTTAAACTGAGAGAGGGGAGATTTAGATTAGCTATTAGGAAGAAGTTCTTCCCTGTGAAGGTGGTGAGGTCCTGGCACAGGTTGCCCAGAGAAGCCATGGCTGACCCATCCCTGGCAGTGTTCAAGGCCAGGCTGGATGGGGCTTGGAGCAGCCTGGTCTAGTGGAAGGTGTCCCTGGCTGTGGCAAAGGGTTAAAACTGGATGTTCGTTAAGGTCCCTTCCAACCCAAACCAGCCTATGATTCTATGTCACAGCACATACCTTGGGAACAATCTTAATGTGGAACAGGATGTTCTGGAAGTGGTACCCATCACTGATTTGCAAAATAACGGCATCATCCCGGGTGTCAGAACCATCATGAGCATAACTCAGCAATCCACTGGCAAGGTCATCCAGGTGGAACATATTGACTGCAGAAGCCAAGTTCCCAGGAGCTCTGATCAGCTGCCCATGACGTGGAGGCTCTAGAACCATCAGCACAACATCCTGAGGATTGTCGCTGTCTCTCACAGAAAGCAACTGCTCTGTTACAGTTCCAATTTCCCCTCTGTTGATAAGGAGAGCCTCGTTCCTGAACACATATGGGGCCTGAAACACAAAAGCAGCTCTTAGGTGTTTGCTAAACCATATAAATTTGATCACGATCAAAGTCTGGAATGAAAAATGTGGCGTTAAGAAAATATGCTCACTTCATCCCTGAAAACCTCCTGTTTCTAAGCAGCAGAGAATCACTCTTCACACCTTCCCCCCCCAGCGGGCAGATCTAGCAATTTAGACTGATTTAGCTACATTAAAAGAAGATTCTCCTAACAGCAAGGTTAGGAAAGATTCAAAAAAAACAAAAGGACATTTATATAGAAAGCAGTTCGGTTATCAGCTAGTCTATATTGCCTTTGCCCTCTGCACAGGTAACAGGTAAAGGATACAGCTTCGCGTTACTACCATCCATGGAAATTCAAATGGAAACCCGGATCCCAACTATTTTGGGAGGTCTACACATTACATGGATGTCCACAGGCTCAACTGGAATGCAGGCACCTCAAATGCTGCAGATTCATGCCTGTAAATAATCATTTCGGGGGGGGGGGGGGGGTGGGGATGGAGACACACCACATTCTTCCTGTGTATAACCTAGAACTTTGGTAACTTAGAAATTCTTCAGAGCACTGATGGGGAAATAAGACCCCACACATCTTGCGTAAAATAAGTTGCAGAGAGAGAAAAAAAGGAAGCAAGGAAGAATGCCATGAGACGGAGAATAACCTACACAGGATGATAACAGCAGTGAATCAAGCTGAGAGGCAGAATCTTGCATTAACACTTCTAAGTCAATCAGCTAACACTGAAGGATGTGTTTTGCTTGCCTTCAACTGATAAAGTTCATTTCGAAGACAGCAAAACTAGGTGTCATCAGCATCGTTACTTACTTATTTTCAAGGACTCCACAGCCTTATTCAACCCAGAACGAAGATCAGTCAGAGTCCAAATTTCTGCTGGTTTAAATCAGTTCTCTAGTTCTTTGTTGTCAAGAAAGTTTAAATCTGCAGTCTCTATTGATCCTAATAAACAGCATTTGCCATCAGTAATACCTTGACTCAGGAGGCAGGTGAACCCTGGGAACATTTATCAGAGACCTAACTGCTGCCATCCCACCTGTGTACAACTTATCAGGGTTATTAAGGATCAGCAGGCAAAATTCCTATCATTAAACCTCAGTTATGTATTCTGGGGCAGTGACTGGAGCTCTTACTTAGGTGAATATCCCACTGTGGTAAACAAGCGATTAGCCTCAGCAAAGATTTCAGCACCAGCAAGAATCAATATACACACAACAGGATCCATATCCACAGTTTGCCTTACACTATAGGGCAAACTAGAACACTTTCACTTTCTGGAAGTTATGGAATGACTAATATGGAATATAATGATTAAAAGCAACAAAGTGCAATGAAGCACAGAACAGCATCAGCAGCTTCAGACAAACCCATTCACTGCTGCAATGATTAAAAGAAATGCATTTCTTAAGTTACTCATTGTGAGGATGGCTGCTGAGTTAGGCTTGTAGGCAGGAAGGAGTCAGTGCTAGGAGAGAAAGGCTGATCACCAGATTTCCAGTTAGTTTTATCAATTTACTTAATGCCCCTCTGAGGATGTAAATGGGCCTTAAGAGTAGCAGACTCTCATCTGCACTTTAAAGTTTCTTTGTGCTGCTAGAATACGCCAAGTAGCCACAACAGCTTCAGCTGAAGCAAAGCTATCTGTCATGGTTTAATCCCACCCAGCAACTAAGTACCACACAGCTGCTATAGTAGGATGCGGAGGAGAACTGGAAAAAGGTAAAACCTATGGGGTAAGATAAGAACAGTTTAATACTGAAATAAAGCAAAATGTAGTAATAATAATGATGATAAAAAGAGAGATAATGATGATGAAAAGCTCAGTGCACACTGCAAAGCCCCCTTGGAAACCTGGACCCCATTACAATGAGTCCATGGCGAACTCGTTGGCAGCAGGACCAGCAGCAAGCATGAAGCAGGGCCAGGAATTTCCAGCACATCCACTGCCCTTGCAAGTCTTGTAGCTTGAGTGGGAATCAAAGCCTGTCCAGAGGGATGGTAGGCTGAGCTGACACTCACAGCTAGTCTGGGCTTGAACAACTCCTCCTTTCTGTAATTCTGTGCCCCCTCCCTTAATGTGTATCTTGCACATCTCTTCATACCTTGCCTTTTAGAGAGCCTTAGAGAAGGAGTCACAAATGTACTGTCTGTACACCATCTCTTAGGTGAGGCGTCGCCACAGTATCATGCTACAGACTTTAAATGACATTAACATTAAGGACATGGACACTTGACAATACCATCAACTTGCCTAGAAATGGTGAGCAGTTTAAGAGACACACTTTAAATAGCTCATGCTGATTTAATTCCCAACTGTTCTAGAAGAGAGCATTTAAGTAAGTGCTCTTGGTTGTCAAAGCATCCCTGCCACAGGAATCAATCATGATTCAATTGCCCTGCAGTAAGAGACTGAACTAGACCATCCACAGATCCAAAGAGTAATTTGAACAGCAGGGACTCCTTAGCCCTCACTGATAATTGCTCTACAATTGCACAGCTACAATTCCCAGTACAAGCAAAATGACAAGGGCCAGCTTCTTGAGCCACTTACCCCAAGCCCAGTTCTTCCACATGACTCTTGGCTGATTCTCAACTAAGTGAAATGTGAGTCTAATTTGCCTGACCTGAACTTCAGTTCAGGTTCTGCCCAGCTCCTTTGTTATCACTGCAAGAAATCAGGGCTCCAAATGGTACAAAATCTGTATTTTTTTTCCAAGCTTGTTGCATTACCTGTGTTGAAAATGCTTGAACATTGACCACCTCAGGATGGGAGAAGAACTGTTGATCACTGACTTTCAAGGAAAACTGTCCTTTCCTAAACAACAAGCCAAAATACAGGATAATATGAATTAATGAAGTGCTCTTGAAGGACTCAATAATGATAAAAATATATATTTAGTAAAAATTACTAGCTTAGTGACAGAACATTTAAAGGGTTTTTTTCCTTTTTCAATTATGTTTTTATAGTTTTTTTGTTTGGCTTTTTTTTTTCCCGGAAGATTCACAACAGTAGCAACATGTAACAAAATACCTTTAGCTATGCAATAATATACCTTCATTTCCCTTTAACTAATGTTACCCACACAGGATGGTATCTCCAAGATAAACCATCAATTCTAAATGTCAGCTATTTGCTGCTAAAGAAAAATGTCACTTATCTGGCTTTGGAACAGAAGCTCCCACTTCTCACCATTCTGGCTTCCTATTCACTTTTCAATAATGTCACCCAATAACCTTGACCATAAAATAGCTATGTTTGACAAGACAAGATCCTGACATTTCATTGTGACTACTGGACAGAAAAAAAACCTCAAAGGCATGTTACACAAACACATGCCTTAAGTCTAGTGAACATAAGCCGACCTTTGGCATCGACACCCTGAAAGTCTTACTGAAAACAGCGGATCAAAGAACACCCTAATATATACAGGCAGAAATGTAGAACAATTCCACTAGCATCAGTCTAGTCCCAAGGCTTTATGGTGATGTAAATTAAGTGTGAAATTTGGCAGGATGACTGGCTTATTGCCTGGCAGCAGGAAAAATCTGCTTCCTTGCAACATGCCTGCAATGTTAAGCAAAGCCAGCTACTAATCACACTAATTATCACAGGACACTAATAGACCTCATATTGTAAGCAAAGGAATGACGGTTGAATGCAGACTGTGCTGCAGAGCACAGCAGTGACATCATTTGAGCATATTCCTTACAGGATGAAGAAACTATTGTAACAACCAGACTAATATGTCAGTTTAAAATCTACAGCAGAAAAGTTTTGCACCATCATTTATACTGTGGTACAGTATAAGTACATTGGTACTTTACTTAACAACAGTGAGGAGTATGTTTCACTGCAAAAATGTTTCCAAGGAGCAAGGAAATACCTGTTCTCAACATAAGTGATTATTTTTTTAAGGCAAGAGCTCTGAAAAAAGTTTCAACAGAGTCACCTGGATTTCTCTTTGCTGTGCACGAAGCGAACTCTCTTCTCCTTCACATCCTTGCAGCTGAAGTGGTCACCTTCGCTCAGCTGCACTGCTGCCCCCCTCATCATGATCACCAGCCTGCCGTTGGAAGGACTGCTGTTGATATGGAACAAGAGCTGTCCTGTGTCACCATCCACATCACAGACACCCAGCAAGGACAGGTCTAGGGGCTTTACCCCACCAATTCCTACTTTGAGGGTACTGTTCACATGGAAGCTCAAGGGATGCTTGCTGGCTAAAAACAAAGAAGGGAAAAGCATTAGTGAATGAATAACAGCCATGGACTGTAGTAGCATCTTGCCTGTCACTACCATCTTTTGGATAACAGACCAGAGCCTTATAATGCTCTATCCATTACTGATAACCACAATCTCCCAAAGAACTGTAGTCCATCTGAATCCCCACTATGGTTTTGAGAGGCTTGGGCAAATCGTTTCCCATCTTGAGTTCCCCACTAGTCTCTGCAGAAGGACTAGTAGATCTTCATTTAGAACAAAGAGAAGTAAGTACTACAGTTGATTTAGTGAGGGATTCCCTCAAAGGTATTTTTTCATTTGTTTTATGTTGATGATGAATGATGCTTGATTGGATGCCTCTCTTCTAATGAGGTAACTTCACTTAGGAAACCATGTACATGCAACCATTTATGAAAAAAGTTGGAGGAAAACAGCTGCCAATATTCAACAGTCACCATGGAACTGCACAAAACTGAATTCCAAAAATACCACTGAATAGACACTATTTCTGGCCTCATAATCTGCTGGAAGCCTGCCAGCTCGGTTGCTTTATTGTGAGACACTCACCTTCTTCACATTCTCTTGTCCACGTATTGCCATAGAAACCCTGGCCACAGGCAGAAACACAGATCTTATTCTTCAGAAATGTGGTGCTGTCACAGAGGTGGCACAGGCTGTCACTGTCACACTCCAAGCATCCCTGAGGACAAGCTGAATGGGATGGAAAGCACAACTGAGACATTGACAAAAACAATGCAGCTACTGGAATGCAGAGCTGTCTCCAGGGATCAGAAGAGAAACACCACTGCTATTTGTGTCTTACCTACCTGACAAAAGTGATCAAAAAGAAGGGGCAAAGAGAGAAAAGAGTTGTAAGAAATTCCTTCCTCATTTAGACCACTGTTTCCCACTAACTACAGAGGACCTGAGATGATCTTCCAAATGGAAGAAATGTATTTTTAAGTAACTGTTAATACACTATTAATACTCCAGATACATACTCCAGTCCTTCACAACATTTTAACCCAGAAATACAACTGAAACCTTACTAAAAATGTTGGGCTAATACCTGGGGCTTTTTTTATATAGTATGTGCACACATACAAACATCAGCAGTCATCTACACTGAACCTCATTCCTCTGGAATTAGGCACATTTAAATGCAGATACAGCCTGTTATTGAATTCTGCATGACCTTAACAGCAAGTTTAACACAGCACCTAAGCACTTCCTCTTCACCTCAGCCTTGCAGAGAAAAAGCAGTTTATAAAACACAGACTGCAGGCCTGGTCCCTCTCTACCACAACATGCTGACCGTGCTTACCTGTGCACTTGTGCTGTGCAGGGTCTGGATAATACCGCTTCCCACATTTGGGAACACAGTGAGTGTCCAAGAGGAAGAATGGGGCTTCACAAAGACTGCACTCATCTGCTTGGTGACACTGGAGGCAGTGCTGATCACACCCTAGAAGTCACACGGAAAGAGTTCAGCTTAACACCACTTCCAGCTGCTTCCTGCACTATGCTGTAACACCCTGCAGGAACTACAGCAATACTGTGTGTATGTGAGGAGGTTGGAAGTTAGAGCATGCCCTCTGAATGTCAGATGTGCACAAACTAGAGACAAGCAGGGAAAAACGTTGGCAGCAGCAAACAGAAGTAACGTTCAAGAACTCACTCTGGCATGTCTCTGACTCCTTGTAGAAAGCTGCTGGACACTGGTCCACACAAGCTCCTTCATGGAGAACGTACCCCTCCATACACTGCAGGCAGTCAGTCCTCTGGGGACCTTTACAGGCATTACAGCTCCAGTCACACTCTGGAAGAAAACAGAAGTCAGTTCAGGGCAGATCTTTCTTGGGTGCTTGCCCTACGCAAGTGCTTAGTGCTTGGGGTCTACCACCTATGGGAATATAAGTCCTAGGAGCAAAGAGCACAGTAAAAACTGTTAAAAAAAAAAAAAAAAGTATGATTTGTACTGAGTGACTTAATACAACTCAAGATATGGTTGGGTTTTTCTTCCCCTCATTGACTTACCATGTTCTAACTACATCATATTTGAGCAGGCTTGGCTCTTGTTCAGCATCCAGACCTGCTAACACCAGCACAGTTTTGTTGTCCATAAAGCCTGACTTTATCCTGTAAGTAGCAATGCTCCTTTTCTGCCAACACTGAGTTTGCTGCTCCTTAGCAACTATCCACCCCATCAAGTCTCATGCTTTCAAATTACTCTAACCAGAAGAAAATGAAATTGTTGCCCCTCACAGGCCAAATGTCTCTGGAAAGTCCACTGGTGAGAAACACCCTGGATTCAGCTGGGAATCAGATTTGCCTTCATATGTCCTTGTACTATCTCCCCTCCAGTCTTCAGCAGAGTCCCAGCCATGCATATGTACTCCAGGACTACTCAGGCTGCCAACAATATTCTTTGCTCTTGGTGGCACTCAAGAGGGTCTATATCAGCAATTAATGACAGACACACTTGGCTGATGAGAGATAAATGGGCAAGAGCAAGAGGGGGAAAGAAGGACTCACTGAGGTGAGGTGAACTACTCTACTTCATGCAGCATGTCCAAGCCAGAGCCAGGACGAGAGTCCTGCCTCTTTCAACACCCTAAATACCAGACCACGGCACCTCTCTGAAGAACCACAAAGTTAAGATGACAGGTGCCACTCAGTTAAATTAGGTTCAGGTACTAAGAAAGCCAGTGAGAAATGACCACTGAGCAACAAGTAATCTGTATTATACCCTGGTCTTAGCAGTGTTAGCTGCAATAAAGGCACCTTATCCTCACTTATTTCCATTATGGAACACTTCTCCTTGAGAGTTCTGGAAATCTTTCAAGTCATGTGTCTTTTAAAAAGTTCCAAACTGTTGTTTCGGCATACATTCAGGGATGCAGAATTTAATAAGTCAGAAAGAAGCAGGTAAACACACAAGGCCCTATAAGCACTCTGAAAAAGCCAGCCTGGTAAGCCCACTCATTATTCAGCTGACCCATGACTAAATGAATTGCTGGATTTGACCCTTGAAAAGTTTGCTGGCTCACTTACTAAATCATTTACAAGAGATGGATTTGCAATAATCTGGTTGCACTGAAACGCTGAAGTATGTGACAGCACTCTGCCAGAGAAGAGAAAAAACAGTAAAAACCCGGCAATTAAGCCTGTCACTGAACAACTCCGCCCCTCATGCTCACTTTTTAAAGCAGGCCACCTGCACAGATCATGCTGCAATTTAATGGATTCTTAGCCAAGGTACTTGCAATTTATTTATCTTTTATTTTTCTTTTTCTTTAAACCAGCAATGTATTTTTCACCTCTGCAAGTCTTGCTGGAAAAATCCAGGTAATACTGCTGAGCACAACTCTCGTACTGGCATTCTCCAAACAACAGGACCTTGGTTGGATCCCTGCAAGATGTGCAGCTGGTGGCTGATTCACAGCTCAGGCACTGGCTGTTGCAAGCTGGGGAAAGACAAAGACAAAGAAAATAATTGTGATTACTGATGCACCAGCCAACAGTACCATGAAAAATGTTATTATCCTGTAGCCTCACTACTCCTCTTGTCCTCTCTGAGACACACCTGTGGAGACTTCAATTCCTATTCACAGCCTCCAAAATGTAAAAAGCCTCATTCCTTCTATCTGGAATAGACTTGCATCTCCTCGTGCTGCTTCTTACTCTCCTCTGAACAGGTCAGGGTAAAATCACAGAATCATAGAATGGTTTGGGTTGGGAAGGACCCCATCCAGTTCCAAACCTCTGTCATGGGCAGGAACACTTTCCACTAGACCAGGTTGCTCCAAGCCCCATCTGACCTGGGCTTGAACACTGCCAGGGATGGGGCAGCCACACCTTCTCTGGGCAACCTGTTCCTGTGCCTCACCACCCTCACAGGGAAGAACTTCTTCCTAATATCTAATCTAAATCTATACTCTTCCACTTTAAAGCTACTCCCTCTTGTCCTGTCACTACATGCCCTTGTAAGAAGTCCCTCTCCAGCTTTCTAGGCCCCTTTAGGTATTGGAAGACTGTTATAAGATCTCCCCTGAGCCAGGAAGAAGAAAACTTGAATTCAACACTGACCTTGAATTCAAACCCCCCAATAACAGCTTTCCCTGTCTCTATTTTAATTCTTTTCTTTAAGAAACCTGTGTTTCATGTGATTCCAGGCTTAATCCATAAACACACAGATTTGGAGACTGTAGCAGATTGCTGCAGTACAGCTAGTTAGCAAACCTTGGTGGGACCAATGGCCTGTTTAATTTCACTTGATGTTTCCGCCTTTTGATTTGCTGACAGTGTAAAATTTTGGAGCTGTCTGGAGCAAATAAAGATGCCAAGAAAAAATAATTCAGGGATTTACTGAATCTAGGATCAAAGTCCAGAGGTTCACAATATTTCACCTCTCTGATGTCCAGGGTCTAAACTTCTTGGGAGACTTTACTACCAGCCAAGTGTACTTGATGCTGTTGGCATGTCAGGGCTGTTGGCTCATTAACAGAAGACTTAATAGCAATGTGCTATGAAAGACTGAAAAATACTCCCCTTTGCCTATGCACTGAAAAGCTCACCCTGATTCTGGTGAAATGAGACTTTGCAAAAGTAATGTGCAGGAAACTCACATGGGGTTTATGTCTGCTTTACACAAACAACTCTAACTGCCTTGTCTGCAAGTACAATGATGGTGTATGCAAAATGGACTACTAAATTCCTTGCCACCTACCTCTGAGAGTTGCTAAATCCATATGGAGTCAGACTCTTTGTCCAAGCTCAATTCTGTACTTCTGATAAATCAGAAAAGCTCTGAAAATGCAGCCCTGAGTGTTTAACCTAAAGAATAAAGCATAGCTGGCCACTTTTAATGACAAAACCATTAAAAGCTCTCATAGGATTTCACTCAACTACATTCTGTTGCTAAATACTGACATGTTACATGCAGTAACATGTCAGAGATGTGATAATTATGGACCACTATTTTAGCGATATGCTAATTGTGGAAATCCACTTCAATTTGCTTTTAATTTAAGACAGAGTTTTGTAACCACAAAACCTCAGAATACCAAAGTAAATGTGAAAATACCTGCACTGTTCTCATTGAAGCAAGGACCCAGTGCCCTTCAAAACAGTTACTTTTTTTAGCTCATCTAAAACATGTCACAGAAGGCTGTATTTTATTGAGGTGCAAAAGGTTTCTAACAAAATATTTATCTAAAGAATCTACCAGCTCTTTTTAGGTGCTCTGGTGCTGGTCTGATTTCACTTAAGAATGATATATGGAAAAATTACTATTTATAAGTGCTGCAAAAAGCCAACTTTTAAAAGAATGGTACAACATTCCATATGAGAGCTACATCTACAGAAATTAGGTTACCCATGGAGGCATGCCAGAACAGTAAGCAAAAAGTGTATTTGAAAGCAATCCTGTCTGTTTGTTTTATCAGCCTGACTCCATATCTGCATTTTTAAACCCATGAAGAACCTGTTAAGCTTTGCAATGTTCCTCAGACAAGGTGTCACTGAGTTTAAAAATATCTCTGAGAGTCCATACGTGCATTCAGCCTCACCCTGAGCTTCATCCAAACCAGAGTTCCTCAAAAGTGCAACGAGACTAAAATAAACCTTGAAGAGAGACCAAATTTTCTCAGCCTAACAGCCAACCTCTGTTTAAACAATTTTCATTACCTCCGAGTGGTAGTTTCCCAGCACTTGATATATATAGGGACAGTTTATATCTACATGGCTTATCAGCAGTACTTCATATGAAAAGGCACAAGTGATACTTGGAATGACAAAAATCCAGCTCACCAACACACTTTGCCTTGAGCCTCCTGCTACAAGGATTACACACACTTGTTCAAAAGCCTTTTGCAATAGGGAGATTAGAGCAGTTGAATTGGCTTGCAAAAGTTTATTTGTATTTGAGCTACTGAACCACATTTGGGAAGGGTACAGTCCTTAGGAACATTCCACTTCTACCATGAGGTCCTAAGGGAAGAGCTAACAATAGGAAATTGTTCATTACTAAAGGGCATTTTAATTAGGAACAGAGGTATGCTGCTACAGGTAGCAATAAAAGAATCCATACTGCAGGAGTGAACAGTAAATACCTTGTAGAGCTTGTAGGAAACTCGCCAGGACAGTGAAAATCCCATGATTCCTTTTTTTTTAATTACTTTACTTTTTTCATTATTATTGAAAAGCCTTTTTTTTCCTGTCAGTGAAAGAATGTATGGTACAAACTTTTCCACCTATTTCCCTGAAGTTATGCAAGGTATCTCCAGCTCTGCAGCTAAGATGGAAATAGTAGTTTCAGGAGATCCATATATTCCAACAAAAGGCAGGTAAAGCTGACAACCACATCAGTTTCTTCCTATAGGACCTCATCAATAAAGAAATTGGATCTAGATAGGATGACACACATACCTACACTCAGCGCAGCGCAACAGATAAATCCATAAATCATAAATCCATAAATCCAGGTAATTCAAATCAGGGTAACGTAGGACTCAACAAATCTGAGTGTTCAGGTTCACAGCAATCCAGCTACTTAAGCACACCTTCATTTTTAGGTGTATATATTACAGTGGGTCAATTCAAGCAGGGTATTTTCCTCCTTTTTACGTCTCTGGGCCACGTAATTTTGCATTTCAGAATATCAAGCCCAATAATTATGTGAGGAATAACCCAGCTGGCATCAGGGCCAGAGTGAACACAGAGAACTAAAGAGATGCCCTGAGAGATTCACAAGGAATAGCAGGAGTGGGATAAAACATTACTGGACTTTAACATCAGATCAGTTACATCAAATCATTAGGAGGTAAAAATATCACAGCTCAATTGGGGTTGTGCCTGCCAAGCTGCATCTTCTTTCTACTGAGGTTTCATATGTGGAAAAATGTAGTGTAAATTCTACAGTCTTAATACAGCTTCCATGGCAGGTACTGGCAGGTAGTGGGAAAGCAGTTTCCCTTGGTAAGAACTGATTAAAACTGATCCAAAACTGTCAAGTTTTCACAAGGCTCAGAATCCACCTATACTTTTGGCCCCTTCTCTATGTACCACCTAAGCAACTTAACAAGGAAGCCTACACAAACTCTCCTGCAGATTTTTCCTAGGGGACCCAAAGCCTCTTGTCTTTGAAGTTGATAACAAAACTGTGACTGTGTTCAAATTTAAACCACGCTGTAGGCTCTGTTTCTAAGGCAGCTAATCACCTCTGTCAACTCATATCTTTCTTTTCCTGGCAAGAGGAACAGTAAGCAGAGGAACAAGACAAGACATGTCAGTGAATACACTGTGGAAAGGAGAGACTGGTTGGAGAGAGACACTCACGTCTGCAGGTCTGCTTGGCATCCCTGTAGTATCCCTGGGAGCAGACTGGCACACACATGCCAGTGTGGGAGAGAACCAGGCTGGTGTTGCAGGAAGAGCAGGCGAATGGACCCCCACCGGTGCAGGTTTTACAGAAGGGGTGACACCCTGAAGGACAGCAAGAACATGTGTTTCTGCACAAGGAAAAGTAGATCTTTGAGCAAGTTTCAAAAGCTTCTGCAGACCACTCTCAGCGTGGTGATGATACTGAGTACCACAAATTCCTACTAAGTTCCTCTTACTGGTGCACAGCACTCAGGAGCAGAAACACAACCCACCCACCTTGTGGCAGCAGGATTAAATGGCTTTATTTGTGCCATGCACATTAGCTCTCTTCCCTCCTTTCCCTTCCATTTTTACTCATTCCTCTTCCCTTCAACCTTCCCTTCTCCTGAAGAACAATCCTATAGGATCTGGCCAAGACTTGTCTACCAGGAAAGAGTAAAAAAAAGGCAAGTACGTATCAGTACCTTCGTCTCAAGCCTTCTCTCAACTAGTTTCAGATCAGATCCTCCCCAGCCTAATGTGCTTTATCTGTTAGGAACCATTCAGTGCTTTCCTGACTGCTCCACACCTCCCTGGAGATTTATATTCATCCCTTCTTCAGGAGCTGCACAGTTGCTACCTATTCCAAGAAGCAACACTGACAGGGAACAGTCCATCTCTATGTGTCTTCTCTCCATTTCTCTCGTAGTCTGATTGAAAAGATTTAAAATACCACAGTGGACCACACCAATGTATCCTCTTAATAGCTCCAAAGTGGGGGTACAGACTCACAAAATTATTAGTCTGTTGTATTTTTTGATAGGCCTTTACCTAAAAATTGATGCCATCATCACACCTGTCAGGCCAAACAAATCATGAGTGGAAGCAGGCAAAGAAATCAGAGAACTGCTTATGCTGCACTAGAGATCTTAAAAGCCAGCACAAAATGTAATGGGTGCCCTGACACAGTCTGAATAATGCAGAACTTCTTTGAAATGAAACCTTTATACCAAAGGGAATAAATATCATCCCTAGGTTTAAATTTCCAGGAAGACAAAATATCTCTCTCAGGTGTCTTTCCAATTAAATGACACACAGATTTCATTTGTCAGAAACAGGTAAATAAACACACAGCTCCCCGAGTGCTTGAGAGAAGCTTTGAAACATTAATTACCAGTTGTTAGACTGGATTAGGAAATTCCTGCAAATGGAGCATCTCCATCTTAATTGTAATGTGCAGGATTTCTTGTCTTGACTTCTTTCTCTTAAAATAAACTGCAATACCCTTTGCTCAGCATAAGACATATAGGGCTCAAACATGTCTCTGTCAGCCACGTAACAAGAAAAGCAACCTTCTTTCTTCTGACAGTCCCAGAAATATAAAGCAGCTCAGACAATAATCAGAATATGAAACCACATTAACAGTAAACACTGGATAGGTGAAGGCACAGAAGGCTGGAGAATAAAATGTGCTATTAGTGCAGCTTCATCCATGCACCTGGAGTGCTGCTAAGCCTAAAAGGCTGAATGAAATTAGCTTTTTGGCCTGGAAATTGGCCTGCTATGAACGATCACCTTTTGGACAGTTACTATAGCAAGACAAATCTCAGTGAGAGACCTTAGCTGGGATGATATTCCATTTTATGCTGCAGAACATCCTGAGAAGGTGCTCCTAGAAACAGTTCTGCCTCCTGTGAGCAGAAGTTGTAGAGCCTTTGAAAGCACATATCCAGAAAATATTTTTAAATGTCAGCATCCCAGAACTGTGCTGGGACCGCGAAAGTTGGAGACTTGGTGATGGACACCAGAAAAGTTATCCTTTATTGTGCTTAAGAAGCCAATCTCTTCCTAGGAGTGACCTCAGGGTAGCTAATTAGAATACGAGAAATGGGATTTACAAGAGAGAAAAGAGAAAAACTCATCTTCAGCTCCTCCTTTTAAGCATACTGCTGTCTGATACTCATCACACTTGTAAGAGTGGGCTCGGTCCCAGTAGCTGCAGCATGTACAGACAGTACAGTACCCTCTGCCTCAAAGACCTCATAGTCTGAAAGTGGAGAGAGGGGAGCAAGGAAAGAGTGCTCCCAGCCCTGAGTTAATAGCCAGGAAGGACATCTCTAGCTCCCAGTGTCCTGCCAGCTGGATAAAGCTTCTTTACTAAATAGGAACCATTTAATGGAACATCTCACAAGGATCCAGATGGTCCCTTGCAGTTGCTTGAGGCATCTGTAGGGACTACTCACTTTTGCAGGCACCATTCTTCACATAGTACCCCATTGGACAGTCAGGAACGCAGTGATCCCCCAGGAGTAAGAGACGGGCGTTCTGGCACTTCAGACAGATGCTGCCAGTATCTCGCAGGTTGGCCACACACTGGCGGCACAAAGGGTGGCAATCTAAAGGAAGCAGGGAATAACAGACACTGTCATGACACAGGGACAAAACAGCATGGCTAGGGGGAAACATAGTGCTGGGAATTCAAGGAAGACAGGGATGTAACTTTCAGAGCTCCTTCCTGCTATCTGGTGCACAACGGCTGGGATAAGGTGCTTAATTCTCCACTTCCAGATACCTGCAGGCTCTCTCTGAAGCAAGGACTAACAGAAGTGGGGTGTTTTCCTTATCCAAGAGAGATGACTATAAATTATCACATTCAAGGAACATTTCTTTCCTCTTGCCCTCATCCCCACTTTTCCTCAACAACCATATTCTCTGCATCTCTCATGCCCACTCAAGCATCGTCTTTCCCATCCCACAGAGAGCTTGGGGAACTTTGTACAAAGCCGGTTCAAAGCTCTTCACTTTCCCCAAACCTTTCTCTGATTTTAGGTGCTTCTACCTACAGGTTTGTCTTTGACAAACTATGCTGCAGGCATTCACCTTCCTCTGCTGCCACTGCTGAAAAACAAAGACCACAACCTGTACAGGCTATAGTTCTTCCTGTCCAGACTTTCGCACACAAACGAGACATCCATACCCTGAAGAGGCCACTGAAGACCTCAAAGCCAAGCCAAACCAAAAGAGGCATTTACAGTTTCATGAGAGTGCCTCAAAACCTTTTCCTTTTTTCATTTTTCCCCAGCTTGTGTCTCCTGACCTCTGCCTGAACTTAAGTGCTTCAAAAGGTTTTACAACAAGCCTTTTGTATGCACAACAGTGCAATGTAAGGCACCCTGGAAGCCAAATTAATCCTCATTATGATAATTCAGAAAATTATAAAGGAAATGACTACTGTCTTGAAAGAAATGGAATTATGAGGCTTGATTTGAGTACCCAGCTTCTTGTCAGATTTCGAGTGAAGGTTCAACTTTCTGCCTTTTGTCTCTTGTGACAGCATTACTACAGATTGTCAGGCAATCTTATTTTACAAGCTGAAGACAGCCTCACATCAGAGTCCGAGGGAATTCTGCATCCATACCTGCAAGAACATATTAGCCTGACTTCTGTGCATCACACATAGATGATTCTTACCAAACACTGGTGGAAAAGCATGGATGCAGTTCAGAAATAAATGCAATTGTGACTGCATGCAGGGATTCAAGGTCATTAAAACAGCAGCCTCCTTCACCTCCTGACTTTACAGGGTATATAATCTCTTCTAGTTTCTGTCCCATACTCTCAACCTTGGAGATGGAAAATCAACAGCCAGAGGAGGGGTAAAGGTGTGCGAGAAGAAATATTCTGCTTAAGATAGTGACCCTGTAGGTTCTCAATTCACCACTATCAGGACAGTGGTAAGAAAAGCAAAGCAGCACGAGCTCATGCTCCCAAACTCAGTGACAAAGCTCAAAACCTCCTTAGAGGGGTAACTGTAAGGCAGAGTCTGACTGCACAGGAGAAGAATTCAATACCCAAGGCATCATCCAATCAATCTTTATAGCCAAAGATCCCAAACCTGTACTGACATCAGAGTGGAAAGTCCTGCCATCTATCCGTGGCCTCACAGAAGCCAGAAAGTATCACCCAGCTCAGGGTAGAGAGCAAGAACCAAGATTTCACCCAAAAGGCCCTGAGCACCATATGTAATTTGTATGCACAGGGCTGGAGGGGGGATGAAGAGCTCTATGCACTTGCAGTCAATAAATTAACATAAATCCAATTAGTTTCTCATGCTTCCATATTTACCTGGTGATATAGACTCCCCTGATTGTTAAAATGGTAATACTCCAGTTTAATCTCCTGCCAGAGCCACTGGCCTCTAACAGAGAGCTTTGGATAGATATAAGTAACCAAACTCACTGAGTATGGTCAATAGGTTCCATAGACAGAGCATAAAAACAAGACAGAGAAAACTCAAGGGTATCCAAATAACCAGTATCTACTGTAAATAACCAGATTCTCCCAAAGTAAAGTTTAAAAAGCTAAGTATCTACAAAACTAGGTGCTGTTGCAGTACAGTTTTTCTCTGTGTTTGAAGAGCTTTCTCAGCCCCATCACTCTCTTGCTCCTTTGCAAGCCTGTAGAGAAAATATCATTGTAAAGTATAATATAATCACTTACACAGATTTTCATTTCCAGAGTTACTTTACTTCCATACCCACTTTAGCTTTCTCTTAGCAAAGAAATATGGCCCTTAATATATGAAAAGTATTTGTTATATATTGTTCCCTTGCCTGTCAAGACAAAAGTGGCTGAGGAGACAAAAATCATCTCTGAAATACTTGTGATTGTTCATAAAGGAAACCAGAAGCATTTCTACCTCTCAGTTCCACCATTTGCTAAGCAATCAAGCAGTTGTGTTGTTTAAATACACTTTCCCTCTTAAGGGCTCTTTAGAAAAAAAAAATCCTGATGCATTTTTTGTATTATATTCTAAGGTATTAGGTTTAACACAGAGCATTACTTGAAATCAGTACTTAAAACATCACGCAGTTACAGGCATGTCAGCATGCAAACATCCCCTAGGTCTTTACAATAAATTCAGATCTGTGTGATTGACTCAAAAGGGTATTTTGCACTGACCAGGATTTTTTGTTTGATTTGGTGTTTGGAAGGAGCTTTTTGTCTCTCTTTTAAAAAACACAAAAGGGAATTTGTCACACAGGCAAGGGAAGTGAACTCTGGATGTGTAACCATGTTTCAGGGATCTGCCTGAATCTTCTGAAAAAGGTGGGAGTTTCTCTAGGCAGCTTAAGGGAGGAAATCCTGGCACAAATAAGCCTAGACCAAAGCAGGGAAATGATGTTCCATTTTCCTCTTCTTGCAGCTCAGCTGTTAACTTCTGTAGGAGGTTGCATCCAGCAACTAAGTGGAGCCAAGCCTCCAGTTTCCCTCTTGCTATGCTCAGGGAATCTCCAGCTCTTTGTGATGATATCAGTGTCTCTTTAATTTAAAAAGTATGGCAGTAGCTCATTAATTTTACAAGGAGCTGAATGTATTTCTTGTTGTCAGACTGTTCCTTCTGGAATTTTAAAAGCAAGGCAGAAAGGCTTGTTATAGGGACCCTCCTGAGTGAGCTCTTCTGGTTAATCTTTGAGCATTTTCACAACAGCTTAAGCAAAGGCCCAAGGAGCTGAACAGGAGGACTGGGAGTTCTCTTTCAAGGAAGATGCAGCTGGAAGTTAAGATAGGACCTTGGGGATGCTTTGAGTTTCATTTCACTCCAGCTGCCCATGCTTCTAATTCTGGTAGGTGGTCCTTTGCATCCTGCATCCACGAAAAGATCAACAAGAAAGCCTCAAGATCAATGAGAAAGCCTCAAGACAGGCATATGATTTGTTCAAATCAGAAAGGCCGGGAGTTTATGAGCAAGGCAACAGTTCTAGTGACGGTGCTATTTTTTTGACCGGTGATTGCAACGTTTCTTGAAGCTAAAGCTTGTCTTGGACAAGCAGGAGAGGGAAATCAATGAGTATTTTCAAACTGGGCAAACAAAAAAAGCAGAAGCCCCAATATTCAAAGGAGGATAGCTAAAGCCATACACACATTCCTGCATGTACGCTTCAGCTATGAAATAAAATTAATCAATTGCTTGCTCTTGAAGAAGATAGGCACAAATTCAGTGTGCCCAAATCAGACTTGTAGAAACTCATTAATCTTTAGAATCTTGAAACCATTTTGTCTTTCTTCTGCTTACATCTGAAACGCTTCTTTGATAAACTGCTGAAAACAAGATTTTTATTTTTTTTTTTTTCTATTAACAAGGCAAATGTTCCAATCCTTATTCAGGTAACATGTACAATAACAGCATTAATTCACAGGCAATGGTTTCAAGTGACACTTGGTTTTCTCCACCCTGTATGAAAGATTTTCCCCTGAAGGTCCATAAAATATGACAGATGGCTGTAATGCACAGCAGTCCCTATAAGTCATAACACAGTTTTGCCTGGAGAGTCAGGAATTAGAGATAAATGGGAAGATAATTGTAAAAATACATCGCTTTGGGAAGCAAAGGAAGAAGCTTTGTTAGACTCTGATGCAAATCATATATTATGCAAGTGTCAGGGGTTTTAATGTTCTCTTTTACAGGACAGCTGCTCTTTAACTGGTAATTAATAACTTGCAAGGGCAAATTTAGCATTTCAATCAGGACTGACTGAGAAGAATGAGTGAAATTTAACAACCTGGATGTGGAGCTCTTTAGCAGAACTGGCAACACATAACCTTCGCTTAAACATCGGACATAAATTTGTCACAAAAAGCAGCAAACCTCAGACTGCAGCTCTGAGACCAAAGCACAACTTTTTTTAAAGACAACAAATAACTATGAAAAAATTCTTCCCTGTGAGGGTGATGAGACACTGGCACAGAAAAGCTTTGTTGCTGGTTGTCCAGAGAAGCTGTGGCTGCCCCATCCCCGGCAGTGCTCAAGGCCAGGTTGGATGGGGCTTGGAGCAACCCAGTCTAGTGGAAGGAGTCCCTGCCCATGGCAGGGGGTTGGAACTGGATGAACTTTAAGGTCCCTTCCCACCCAAAGCATTCTAGGATTCTATATTCCTCTATGACTTCAGTTAGACCAAGAAACATTAATGCATCTATATGCAAGACCACGTGAACATTAGGGGTTCCTATCTGACAAAAGAATATCTGTACTAGCCTCCTGAGGGCAGGACTTGCTCGACTGAATTACATAGCAAAACTAAGGTCAGAGCTGGAAGGACGAAAGGTGTCTCTTTATGTTCTTACTATGTTGCACCTGGGAAGCCTTCTCTCCTGTTCTGGGAACATAGATCCAAACACTCAATATTGACACTCGGTGATGTCAGGCACTGTGAGCCAAGCCTTGAAAATAATGTTTCTACTTTGAGAAGTCTCCAAACAGTGGACTGTGTTCATCCCCTACAGGTCTCCAAAAAAAAGCTCGTTAGTTTGCAAGGAAAGGATGCATCACCAGCCTGCAATTGCTTTGGAGCTCAGAAAGCCAGGAAAGGTTCTTTGCAGACAATTCATCTCTGTCAGTGCCACATATGTGCAGGTCAAACCTTGCCCTCCACGTTGCCCGAGCAAGCCCATTTGCAGTTTCACCTCCTCATTATTCCCAGGCACTGTGACATCTAGCTAATCCCCTGGGACTTGGGGAGCAAGCATACTGCTCCATGACACCATGCCAAACTTAGAGGAAACAGCAGTCTAAAAGGGATAATTAAAGCACATAGCATGCAGCAAGCAATAGAGTAAACCCTCAGAGTAAACCCGAAATAATCCTGGTTTATGATGAATGGCAATAAGTTTTTCCAGCGAAATTTACAGCTGGAAGATACATTTCCACAGGCCTTTTTTTCATGGGAAGCATAATGCAAAGTAATGGGAAAATAAGGTGGGAGAAGCAAAGTGCATACAGCTATGATGTGACAGGACACTAACAAATACCATTGTAGCCCCAGAAATTTTACAGGGCAGAGACAGCTCTTTACACTAAAATGCTGAATTATTTCCATACTGCAATTACTTGACTGTATGAAACATTTTTGTTCCTCAACCTGATTTCCCGTGTACACACAGAGCTGTAGAATACTTTTAGGACATTTTCCTACTCCTCATATACTTTTTTTCCTACCTCTCTTTGTCTCTGTGGACAAAACAATAACTGTTGTTTAACAGGAAGATGAAGAAATGGTTCACAAAATCAATTTGTAGGGAGCAAAGAAACAAGTCTTTCCTAGAAAAACCTCAACACATATAAACAAAAAGAAGTCTCTGTGAAGGGGAATAATTTATTTTAAATTGAGAACAACGGCCTCTCAATGGGTGTATTTATTATGCCGAATGCATTTCTCCCTTTTCTTAGGATTACTTATCTCACTTGGAACTGTTCAGCCTAGATTAAGCCTCACAAACCATATCTCTTTTTGATAAAGAAAAAAATGGCTTGATAAAGCTCAGAAATTGTTGGAGCAGTTCCCAGGATATGTTTATACGTGTCTGCGTGATGGATTAAAAGGAATTTTTCTCTTTAGACAGACAAATGCAATCAGTGGCTTCTTATGATAGGCTTAAGTGTATGCACCGAGCACCCACAAAGTATAACCCCTATACAGAAATCCTATTACCTCCCAAGAATGCACACAGCAATGCTAACTGTGCCATTTTTTATTTAAGGCCCTAAAAGAAAACTTCTCTGAATCATAAATGTTTCTTTAACTCACTTTACTGAAGTTCTGTGCAGGAGCTAAGCAACTTCCCTGGCTCTGGGTCCCCCAGGACTGGCCCAGAAAGATCATCACACCGTATGACCCATGCCATCTCCTGTTACTTACCCACACAATATCCCACCAGGTTGAGATACTGCTCTTCCTTGCAGCTAGTCCAGCACTTTCCGCTGGCTAGAGTCGCGTGGGGATGGCAGGTTAAGCACGCCAGATCAGAAGGGCCATGGCATGTCTTGCAGGATGGATGACAAGCTGGATAAGACAATCAACACTTGTTGTGAATGCTCTTGGTATAGTCCACCTTACACTCTCCCTCCTCAAAAAGCCAATCCCTATAACAATCATCTACAAAACACAGACATAAAATAATCTCATAGCACCAGTGACTGTAGAGTTGTGGCTTGGAAGGCTCTTACAACCTCATTTTGAATAAACAAGATGAGAAATGAGTTGCCAATTTAAAACATGATCTGTTCTCTGCATTAATCAAGGTATAGATCTATACAAAACAAAATATAAAGAGATTAGCCCTTTTATTTCTCTCTCTACCACATGCTTGTGCACATAAGAAAGAGAGTGGGATGCACAAGGGAGATCAATACCTTGGGATTGTATCAACATTATAGTGGCATAAGTTTGGTATTCACAAGTACATTCTAAGAACGATTTCTGCTTGAAGTCCTCCCAAACCAAAGCCTATGAAACCTGAATGCCAGGCCAGCTCATTAGCTACCCTGCCTGCTAAAAGCTCAACAAAAGGATTGCAGGTAAAGTGGTTAAGACTGCTCAAAAATATTTCACTCAGACTGCTTTTGTATCCCTATCCCTTTAAAGACAGATGCCACATTTCCATGCTGCAGATCTGAGGGATACACAAATACTGCAGCTAACGATCTGTAAAAAAAAACAACAACCCAAACCTTAAAACTGCTTTTAAAGCTCTGTTTTGAATAAAAGCACACAACTTAAAAAATCTCCCACCTCAGGACTCTCCCAGGCTACATACAATTGCCCACTCCCCACATGGAAGCTGGGTGGGGGACACCAAACGTGTCATGTCCCACCACCTTTCTCAGAAATCATCTGTATTAACTGAGCATTGCTGCTCAAAACCCGCAGGAAATCTATGCTGGCAGCAGACAGGAAGATGCCTTTTTCCTGACACTGACATTTTGTTTCTAAGACATTTACATAAGCCTGAAACCACCTAATGCAACATGCAGCAGCTACCTCAGCTCTAAGGTGGCAGTGCACAGCCTCAAACTTGATGAATCTTTACAATGGCTTGCCAAATAAACTTATTTATGGAGTTGCTCCTTGGACAAATAAATTGAGTAATGGACTTTAGAAGAGGTTTCTCTCCCTAAATTTGAGGACTTCCAGGGAAGCAACCAGTAAATTTCTCCCTCTGCCAGAACAGATATATGTATGCCTGACCCAATGAATTGATTATAAAATAGGAGACAACTTTCAGTTGACCTTGAAGGGACTAATCATATTTCAAATGCCTGCTTCTCCTCACCCATCATACTCAGCAGCTCATAATGAACAGCATACCCCAAAAGCCACCATTTTTTCAAGAGGCAGACAGGATTTAATCGTTGCAGTCACTCAGAAGGTCAGTAATCACATTCATTTGTGTAGATGAGCTCAAACAAGCTGAAGGAAGGCCACTTGCTGACTGGTGGGCAAAGCTGAGGCATGAATAAATAACACTGTCCCCACTATGGATCAGGCATTCATAGATGCAATGGCTTTTCTCCTCTATCTGCAGAATTCCCTCCTTCTAAATCCAGCCCTATAGCCAGGAGTGGCCATAAAATACAGGTACTTTATATGGACAATATGCTTATCTAGCCTAACAAAAGCAAACCATTTTTCAGTGTTGTCTGGTAAAGGCTTTTTCTACAGTGCACTGGCTAAGAACATCATCTAAGCCTACTGAAGTGAAACGCAAAATATCATCAGGGAAACAGTCCAGAGGAACAAATTGATTATAATTTACAATTCAATGTGTACACCTCTCTCCCATTAGGAGGAGATTCCGTTTCCTGAAATTGGACTATCCTATTCTCCCCTGAAAATACTTAAATAGCCTCATATAAATCTGACAGCATCTCTAATTACTTTGAGAAATGCACTACAAAACGTGCATGCAATGAAATCCAGCAGTATAAGCTGCAGGTGCCTGCACTATGCACTCACAGTAGCAGTGATCTTTGTGGCTGAACAGCCCCTCTGGGCACTCAGAGAGGCATCTGCCTTCAAGCAGGACGTGGGAAGACAGACAAGCTGTGCAGTCCTGGGAAGTGTTCCCCACGCAGGATGCACAGGAGGGGTGGCACTCTGCAGGGAAGGGAAAAAAAACCAAGATGACAGGTAAATTATTTCCAGCTTATTTTGGTTGTTACTGTCCTAAAGTATGGCTAGATTGCTTTCTCCTCAGTGAAGGTATTTCTGTTAGAGGATTCTCTGCTTCTGAAAGGGTGAAAGGGCAGGAGTACAAAGGTTGTATAGCACACTTCTTCAAGATAAGGAGCAAGCAGAGAAAGCTGCACATTCAATCTTCCTTTGCACCCACACAATTCATTACTGAAGCTGTGCTGAGATGCACAATGCTGTGAAATCCCATTCTCCCTAGAAGAACTGTGGGGGTCTGCAAACTTACCAGATTCTGAAATCATCTTTCACTATCACCCTACAGTTACTCTGGGAAGGAGTTTCTATCCAGCATCACTGCATGGTTATCATCAGCCATTCTGGAGCAGGAAGGGCAAACATACGTAGAGGTGGACTGCCCATGTTACAGCTAGTGAAGTGAACACTCATTACAAGGGTGATTCAGCAAGAATGAACAGTGCAATTAAAAAGTTAGACTTCACCTTTACTTGTACTGACCTATCCAAGCCATCTTAAACTAAATAAACTGATTAACTGAATAAACTCATTAGTTAAAAACCTTATTTATTAGAGTAGTGACTCGAGGCACATGTTCTTGGTGCGAGTCTTCACTCAACACAAAGAGACTTCCTGCCCTCTAGGGAGACATGACAGATACAAGGCTGGAGAGGAGAAAAGAAATGGAATGAAATGATTTACACAAGTACACTTAGCTGTCTGCAAGAGAGCCAGGGAGAAAAGCTGGGGACCTTTATCACAAATGCAACATCTCCAGGACTCTCTTTGGCTCAAGTGACTCAAATCATGTAAGAAACTTCTTATGGTTTCATCAGGGAAATTTCAAGCATGAGAGAAATAAGAAATTATTTCTGTTGTTTGGTCAGAAATTCCCAACCACACATGTAAAACCTTCAAATCCAGCTCCTGTTCAATGCAGGTAGTGCAGGCATAGTATACATCTGTTGTGGGTTTACTTTTTCAAAAAGGTGCAACTACAAGCTTTACATGAGCATTCTACAGGGGTAGCTCAAAGTTTGCAATCTTGAATCTTCATACCCTTCTGCAATAAATCAAACTGTTATTGTAACGCCATTACTATGATGGCAGAGCTAATAACACATGGGGCTGTGCCGGCATTCTTGCCCATTGACATAATTCAGCACTGCCACTGAACTCTGCTCAAGCCTGTTTGTACAGGTCTGTTCACACACCTAAGGCAGTGTTATATGGATTTCTTCACTCTGTTTCTGTAACCTGGACTCACCCAAGAAAACCCATTAGATGCCAAGGAACAGCCACTGAATGGATTGGAGGCTCTACACTAATGCCTTCAGGTATTAATCCAAAGCATTATGGTCTGTGTAGGTCATTGCTAAAGACAGACTCATTCCACCCTCCCTCCCCCAAAAAAAGCCACCTCTTCCTCCCTTAAGATCTGTTAAGTCAAAAAAATGAGCTTGTACAGACTCTTTCCACCAAGTTGAGATGAAGACATAAAGTAAAAATAAACAGATTTGAAATTATGTCCAGTTGTACAAAATGTTTTTTCAACAGGAAAAAACAGCCATCCGTAACATTGTTGCTACTGTTACTACTATTACTTTGCTTCAGCACTGTAGAGTCACTCTCTCCATTCCTGAGCGAGTGCCTCCATCCTCTGATTTCTGCAAGGGGGTATCACTGCCATTTCTGAAAGTATTATATCTCCTTAAACTTAGGGTGGGCTGTGTTGGCACAAGATGTTCAGTCTAACCTCTCAACCTGCTTCTGTCTGCATTGTTTTCAGGATACTGCAGTGTATTTGTTGTAGAGATATTCACACTGGCTGCCACAAGCTCTGTACAGCCAGACTGGCTTCCTGATACACCCAGTAAATGTTCTTTCTGAAGTCCACCACAGTTTTCTCTCAGAGCAGTGATAAACCACGTATATGTCCCAAGTGTACACCGCTTTTGCCTCTTTTCCAAATTCTAGCCTTCATGGAAATGCTTCCTACTTGGTATTTCAGGAGCAGTGATGGCATATACGCTGCAGGGCATGTATCAGAAGAGCTTCTTCAAACAGAAAAGACTGCTGTGTAACGTCTTGACCCGCTCTAAGGACTAACAAGAAGAAAGCTCAGCCTTTTCTGAAAAGGATTTAATGACTGATCCTGCTTCAAAATACGTCAGTGATAAAAATCAAATAATCTCAGTGAAAAAAAAGCTAAGCTCAACTAAGCTGAGCTGTGCAGACTTGAACAGTCATTTAAAACAAAGAAAAAAACCTATATCCTTTAGTCATAAATTGTATGTAGAGTGTATTTTCCCTCAAAAGTACTGGTATATACATTGTCTGAAAGTTACTGAGTTTAAACACTCATGACTCTCACAAGGCAAACACAGCTCAAGTCACATAAGGATCAAACATCATAAAAATCACCCAGACCACCCAAACCCCAGTGCAACCCTGTGGCTTGGAACAGCCTCTGCTTACCTTTGCAGACTCCTGTGCTGTCCATGTAGAACTGGGCTTGGCAGTGAGAAAGGCAAAGCCCATGTAGTGCTCCTTCAATACGCTGGTGAGGCTGCAGCACGTCATCTGGTGCCCTGCATTGCTGGCAGTGAGAGCCCCCTGGACCAATGCAGGTGCGGCACGATGGGTGACAGCCTGTGCGCAGGTCAAGAGAGCAATGAGATGCACAACTCAGGGAAAAACACTGGTTTGGACCCTCTTTTTCTTTCCTCTTTCCAGTCCTGTGTTGCTGCAGACAGTCTGATACTCAAAGAGCTAGCAAATAGCATAAGCTTTGCAGCAACTCCCCAGCTAAGAAATCTGTTCCATAAACAAGATGGGGTGTTGTATTTTCTATAACAGAACAGGGTTTTTTAAAAAATTGTTTGACATCTTTCACCTCAGCCCCAAATAACAGTGCTTTCCTTGACTAAAGCTGATGAAGAAATAATGTTGGGAAAAACCTGCAGTACTGTACCACAGGCAGTCAACTTTCCTTTAATTTCTGAACTGCAATGGTGAATACAATCTCACTAGGAGAGACAGCAAGAAATGACAGGCTGAAGGGCTCACAGGAAGCATAAATTCATCTTCCCAATTTTCAGGTTTTCCACTGCTGCAAAAATTACCTCGGTCTTACTAAACCTAGTAGGTCCGTGTAGACTTTCATCCACCTCTTAGCTCATGTCAAAAAAACTTGGAAGAAATGCATGGTTATTTCAACAGAACAGGGAAAAAAAAGGAAGTCCCCAGGATAAATAAATTCTGAGGGGGTGAATGCAGAAAGTATTTGAGAAAATTTGTTGGTTTTTTTACTTACAGTAGAAAACTATCAGCAGGCAAACACAATGAGGAATTAGTCATTGCCCAGTTAAGCACAGGATAAAGGATCAGCATCACAGTACTCTTAGAACAGCCCTACAAAAGCCAATATAGGTACACTGGTTTACAGCAGCTGAAAAACTTACTCCAGGTATGTAGCTTACCCTTGCAGACATCATGATCTTGGTAAAAACCCTCTCCACAGCCTTGCAGGCACTGACCCCACTGCAACACCAGAGGAAAGGAACAGGAGGTGCACTGAGTGGCCAAAGGTCCCTCACATGTGGAGCATGTATCATGACAAGCTGACAAAGAAACAAAGTATGCAGAACTGAAACATCCCATTTTTTCTCTTGATTTTTTTTCTCCTTAAGATTTTTTTCTATTCCCCTTGGGTGTCACTGACTACAGCTCCTTCCAGCCAACAATGACAATTCCCAGCTGGCATGAGCTATGCAAATTAAAGAGAGCAGAAGTACACCTGTATTAATACCTAATAACTTTAATAACTCATTCACACAGTGTTTTGAATATATATCTCAGTGTGTCTTAATATGCTTCACAAGGCAAGGAGCTGAAAGCCTTCAAAACAGTCATGCAAATACATCTCTTACCTCTGCACCTTCCATTGCTACTCGGGAAATACCCAGCTGGGCACTCCGAAATGCACTTCCCATCATGTAAGAACTTATTTGAAGCACAGGTCAGACATCTGGGTTGGTCTGAGTAGCAGGTTTCACAGGACTGGTCACAAGCTGCCCAAAAGGATAGCTCATTAATGAAACGCACTCAGTGAGCAAAGAGCAACAGAGCCACCAACAAGGCCATGTAGATAAAATAAGCCAAACCATGCCTTGTCCTAAAGAAAGACATCTTTAAACATTGCTTTCCAGCACAAGTACCATTTCACACTTCCCTAGAATAAGTAATGGTATTCACAGAGGTAGATGTGAGTGCAGATAGGTTTCCACTGACCTGTATCCCATCTACAACTATGAGTAAGTATAAATACCAGGAATGGGTTTACACCAGCACTCCCTACCCTCCTGACACAACCCCTCCTGCTAAGGCAGTATGTTTTTTCTGCTCAGCAACAGTCTGTGAAGAGACAGCACCATTCCGAATGATGTCACATATGAAAACCATCTCATAACTCTTTGTACAACAAGTATCAGTTATCAGACTGTTCAGGAAGTAAAAAGCGGAGGAAAAGTGGGTTAAAAAAAACAGTAATTGCCCCCCCCCCTTTCTTCAAGTCAAAGTTTTAAGGTGAAAATGCATCTAAATGCAAGCATGATAAATTTTATCAATTCCTGCAGTCCGTATTCTCCCAGGCAGGCAGTTCCAAAGATAACAGACCTGCTGCCTAAGAGCTCTATGAAACTCTGGCTTCCCTAAGTCAGTAACACTTAGCAGCTGTATATTCAGAACAGCCAAGCACTTTACTTAAACCATTTGTGTTTCTTTTCACCAAACGGTCTCCCTTTAAAACAGCTTACACTTCTCCAGTTGGGCATCAAAATGCATGGTTTTGGTACCAGATGCAAGGCCTCAATCCTGGAAGCTGAGGAACAGCTACGCAGTTTTGAGGAAATCTCTGACAATACATCAAAACTATGGCCAAGCTGCATCTAAATTAAATTTCCTTTCAAGCTTAAAAGATTTTCAGCTACAGATGTAAGATTTCAAGCCTGGACACTTCCAGACACAGGTGAGTAACACTTACTGGTATAGACATCAAACCAAACTGAAGGGGAACCTGAAGTGAAATTAATCCAGAAGTGGTCAGAATAGCAGTAACTTTGTCAAGACCCTTCCAGGTCTGAAGCCCTCTATAGCTAGCTGTGGCTCAGGCCTGCATGAAGGCAGAAAACCCCTTTGTCATCTCTCCTGACTCTACTGAACAGCCCATCAAAGCAGCTGCAGGAGGTGTCTCTGCCAGCAAAACCCAGACTTGACCTGAATGGTCGTGGCAGATTTTACATTATTTATTTATTTGAGATTTTTCTCCCCCTTTCATGATCTGTTTGACTTAGGTCTTTTAATTCCCCCCAGCCATCTCTTCCCCTTTTCTCAGCAAACCTTCCCAGCTCCTCAGTCCAATCTGTTGTGCAGGTATTAGTTACTGTGATGCTGAATTATAATCAAATTTACAGAAACCTGCTGGCAAAAGCCATTTTTCTTCATGCAGACAAATGGATTTGTCAAGCCTCAGAAACAACTCAGTTAGGCTTTCAAGCTGTTCAGTGAGGGGGAAAAAACCTTAAACCTTTCAGCATCTGATTAACTTAAACGAATTAATAATCTCACAAACAGCAGCTTTCCTTATCCGATATTTATGCACAAGGTGCATCAGCCTTCTTAGACGTGAGCAAAACCACAGCTGCTGCACAGCTAAATGAAATATTGATTCCTTTTTGCAGAGCATTTCTCAAACTTCTTGCAACTGGAGGAAGAAAACAGGTATTTACCACTGCAGATTCCACCCTTCGTATAAAATCCCTGTCCACAGCTCACCACGCAGACCCCTGCTTTTAGCATTTGCGATGGGTCTTTGCAGGCCAAACAATTGTTCTCAGCAGCACCCCAGCATGAGGAACAGGACTCATGACAAGCTGCAAGGAAGAAAGATGCAGGATTAACAAACAATCACCTTCCAATCATCTCTTTAAAATTAAGAGTTTGCAGTAATTCATTTTTTTGTGCAGTTTTGTCTCTTAAATTCACAGGGATTCCCTGCTTCAAGGAGAACAAAAAAACATCATTAGAATCTTTTATCTCAGCCATCTCAGGGGTATGATTTACACCTTCTTTTTGTACGTGCAATATGACATGCAGTGTGATTACATGTAGCTGTAATCAGACTAGAAGAAGTGCTGCTAACACTGTTAAGTCCTGTTGTTCATCCTGGTGCTAGGGGCTGTACAAGTAAAAAGGGAAAAGGGAAAAGATCCCATCATATGCTGCTTAAAAAATGCAATCAAATCCTTGCAGTGATTACTGACATTACCCCAGCTTCATGCACAAACACAGAATTAGACTGCAGGCTGCAATCAAAATCCTGCTAAATTAAATCCAAGAGAGCCTGCTTTCAGAAACAACTTCCGCCCTTTCAGGACTCTGCACAGGAGCAGAAGAACTGATTTCTGGCTGCTGCTCTATCTGGTCAGGTAAGGCAGAAATCCTCATGTGATTAGACTGAGTAATTCCTTGGGAAAAGTGGGAACTGGGAAAGGTCTGGTACAGCAGGCACTGCCTATCTTTTCCCTGACATTGCCAGCAGAAGAAAAGGGGTATTCCCTCATTCAGTTGAGATACCAGCTACTTTTCTCTCTGGGTGAGCCATGGCTGGGAGCAGTAATATTTCGGGTATTCCTGAAGTAGATCACATTCCTGCAATGCAGGCAGGATAAATGCCCTCTCTGTGGCATCTGAGTATAAAAACAAAGAGGCAGAATAGAGTCACTCTCAAGCATGATCATATCATAGAATCACAGACTGGTTGTGGGGGAAGGGACCTTAAAGCTCATCCAGTTCTAATCCCTGCCATGGGCAGGGACACCTTCCACTAGACCAGGTTGCTCCAAGCCCCATTCAACCTGGCCTTGAACACTGCCAGCATCCCAGTGCTTCTCTGGCCAACCTGCGCCAGTGCCAAACCACCCTCACAGGGAAGAATTTCTTCCTAATGTCTAATCTAAATCTCCCCTCTGTCAGTTTAAAGCTGTATCCCTTTGCCCTGTCACTACAGACCCTTGTAGAAAGTCCCTCTCCAGATTTCTTGTCAGCCCTTTTAGGTACTGGAAGGCTGATTTACAATTAAGCTAGTAACTATATGGAGATCAATTCTGCCTCTCCAAACAGCTCTTGACCAAACCACCTTATTATCTTACTTGAAGTTGTACAAGTTCAGCTGTGAGGGAAATTCAGACCACTGTGGCTTCTGTTGATGAAATTCATGATGCAGACTCATGTTAAATCCTGTGCCACCAGTGATTGCAGGAACTGCAAATTGCAGTTCTTGTAGCTATTAGATTTTTTTCTCAATTACACTCAAATATGTTCCAAAGATGTTCTTACTTTATTATTTCCCAATAAGGCAGGTATCTGCTTGTGCTCCCAGACCAAGGCAGGTGGGAGAAAACAAAACTTTATGACATTTGCCCTTTATCCACAGACACATTGGAAGTTGCAGCCACCAAAGAAAAACTCATCTGATTAGTCTCAGCAGAAGAAAAATAGCAGCTCATCCACATAAGTAAGAGCATATTTATATATAGAACAATGACCTAAGCAAACACCTTCCTGCCAAAATAAACCCCCTAAGTGAGAGACGATTCATCCTCTCCCCAGTAAGAATGGAAATTGTTTGCCATAAGTAAGCTTACAGCAAACCAGTGATCACCACTACCTGCATCTCACTTCTGTTTTGCACGATTTCTATGCTGCTTCTGTCTGCTTCAGGCCACAGCTACTCTTGGATATGACATGAGATGGAGCACCTATGTTTTTGCTTACATGAGAGTTGCACTGCGCAACTTAACACAGACACCCCATTTTAGTGGATGTCACTGCTCCCCAAGGCAGCAAAGTGTTATCATCTCCACCACCTACATACAGAACTGAAATACAAAGATGGGACATGACATGCATGGGGTTAGAACAGGGAGCGTTCAGGGGGCATGACAAGGGACATTTGAGTTCATGCCCAGCGCATGGTCCTTTGACATTCTGGATGCTCCTTCTCCACACTTCCACCTCCCTTTATTTTCCCTTTTCTCATCTTCTTCTACTGCCTTGTAACTAGCTGTTTGCTTTCTCCCTTCTCACCTTGATGAATCTCCCCCCCCACCACCTTATTCCTGACCTCTCCAGAATGCTGTGGCTCTCCTAGTTCCTGAATAGTTCTATGTGAGGAGTGTCTCCTAAGGATGCTGGGCATCCTGTACCCAGAAGGATCTTCCCCCTGAATACCACAGCAAGTGCCATCACCCCTATCAAGCATGTCTAACTGTGGATGAATCACAATACAATGTTGTTTCCAAACACAGTGTACCAATTCCAAACATCCCATCTCGAAGTAAAGATTGTGCATACTTTTCTGCTCCAGTCAATAATACCCCTTGCTGATAAAAAGCTGCATCTCATTGCAGCTTGGATGATTCTCAGGGCAGGCCTACACTCAAAAGTTAACTGCAGAGTTCATGCTGTAGACTCTTAAGTACTGAAATGTCCTCACTTCACCTTCCAGATGTGAGCATTTTGCTCCTCCCTGAGCTCACTCTAACTTTCAACATCTTCTTGAAAGAGTGGATACCAGGACTCTGATCTTCTAATTATAGACTTCCTACTGCACAGCTCAACCCCCTTGCTGTTAACCTGCCTCAATATGTTGACACATCAACACACCCAGTTATGTGCAAAGTTCTCAACTCCTCTCTGGAGACGCTGCTCGTTTCCCAGAGACACTTTTCTCTCCTGGCAGCCTGGCCCCCAGGTTCTGTTTTTGAACAGTCAGCCTTGCATACAGCTGTATTAAAAATACTTTTGATGATAGCCAGGTCAGTTGGGCAAATGTGCTTCAGCTCCTGCCATGCACCGTTTGTTGTCTACACTAGACCAAGTACTCCCGAGCACTTCCTCACCTCAATTTCTTCTCTCAAGCAGCCGTCTCAAGCACACTTCCAGTGTCATACTTCTAGTGGAGAATATTGCAACAACCAGATTCCAACCAGGTAATGATACAAACCAGCACAGCCTGCAGGCTGGAGGCATTTAAGATCTTACTTCACTTCCTCTCTTCAGTTCCCAGTTGGCTCTTACCAGCCCTTGGCAAAGATCCTGCAAATCTGCTCCTGGGTATCACAGCAGCTTTCAAGTCTTGTAGTGAGGCAGCTGTCATGTTAAAATTGCATGTCTTCCTAAACGGGATGACTTGTGTGGTATCACAGCTATGGAAAGGATACAGTGAGATGAAGTACAACCCATCAGAGGTCATCAGACCTTCTGAGAAGCTGCAGTAAATTTGACAAACTGATACGGAACAGATCCTCTGGACTTCAAGCTACTAGACAGAGGCCAGGCCCAAGTGGCTTCTCTGGGACAGAAATGGATGAAATCCAAGTAGCAGACCTTGGAAGTAAAGAGAGAAAGGAGAAAGAAAGCAACCTGATTTTTAGCAAGAGAGACACATTTAGCATTTGGAAGCAGTGCAAAAGGCCCAAGGATCAGTAACAATTTCTGCAGGTGGGCCAACAAAAAGAAATGCTTGCAGCAAGAGACTCAGCTCTGATGCACTGCTCCAGTTACTAGCTCTGCTCTGCAAGCCCTCCCCCATGAAGAGTCTCCCTAGACTCATCCGACACAGCCATTTCCATATGCGAGGAGGCAAGTGCCTCCAGGAGTTATCAACTGCCAGTCTCCAGATGACAGACACGCACAGCCTGATTCATGCTCCTACAGATACAACCCTTCACTTCTCCTGCTTGCAGCGACACGTACCGGGCAATTTATTTTCAGATGTCTTGAGGACTTTTTTGTCACAAGTCCAGCAGCTACTAAATCCCAGCCAATATCTGCACTCTGCCATCAGATGGTACAACTGCAGCTGGACTTGTAAGCAATGGGTCCCCAGGACCTGGGTTCATGCAGCTAGAAGAGCAGCCTGCCCTGTGTTTATGCACGCTCATGCACACCCTGCCCACAGAAGTTTTGGCTCTTCTAGCACTGGATCACTGCCTGACTCAACAGCTGCTCCTTGCCCCAACAGTCACCAACTCCACCGAAAAAAAGCAAGCGAAGAAATGGAAGCATTCAACAAGCCACTGTCAGCTAAAACATCTTTGCCTACAGCAACTAAGCAGCTGTGTGAAAATAAATCAAAAGATGCGACTGCATCACCAGGGAACTGCTTTCACCCTTCCTGGCTGGTTTCAGTCCAGATTTGTAGGGGCTATTCTGCATTGCCTCCTCCCTTCAGTGCAGACACTGGACTTTTACATGCAAGGCCCTGTAGCTTAACCAGACACTGCTGCTGAAGGAAAGATGTTCAAGAGAACATAGCTGACCTTCCTGCTTGGATGAAAGGTCAACAGGGTTTGCCATTATTCTGCCTCTGCTGACATGATGGTATTCATTAAGCTGCAGTGACATGTCTTTCCAGAAAATCAATGCTGAACAGATGAAATTTCCAGGGTCCCACTTCTTGGGTAAAGCCAGAGCATTCCAGTGGCTTCCTGAATCAACAGGTCTTTTTCTCTCCTCTCTTACTTAAGGTGTAATGTAGGAGTCATAGAGAAGTGTCACAAGATCAGGCTTTTGAAAGATAAGAGGTCCTACAAAGCGATGTTTCTGTTCTTTCACAATTGACCAGAAACCACAGAATCAACTAAAGATCCACTCACCAAACTTGTGTGCTATCTGCATCAGTACAGGTGTAACATTCCCGGGTTTGATGACAGCAGGAGAGCTAACACAACTGGCATCCCACCAAGAACACAGGAAGAAGTCCATGCTTGGTTTTGGGAAAGCACAGATGGGGTCCAATTGCACTGTGCAACATGGTATCATTGAACACCTCTAACCCGCCCTCCTCACCATAAACTGGGCAGGCTCAGCTCAGTCATGTTAAACAGGGGAAGTTCAGGTTAGATATAAGAAAGAAGTTCTTTACTGTGAGGGTGGTGAGGCACTGGAATGGGTTGCCCAAGGAAGCTGCGATTGCTCCGTCCCTGGACGTGTTTAAAGCCAGGCTGGACAGAGCCTTGGGTGACACGGTTTAGTCCAAGGTGTCCCTGCCCACGGCAGGGGGGTTGAAACTAGATATCTTAAGGTCCTTCCCACCCCTAACTATTCTGTGTTCCCCATTTATCCTTGACACGAGCCCCAGCAGCCAGATACATCAGAGAAGACCAGGCTGTGAATAAAAATCCAAGCGCTTTGCTGCAGAGTGAGCTGGGTCTGTTAGTGTCAAGTTACGCATTTCAACGTTCACATTTGGGAGATCAAAGCAGAAACACTTGCGTTTTACCTAGGCTTTTGAATAATCTTTAAAACATAAATAATTAAGTTAGAAAAATGAGTGGGAGCACTGAACACTGCAAGTCCTTCAAGCACCTCTGTTATACCAGGCAGGCATCTTTTGGTTTTGCATCCCTTTGCCTTGCCTTTGGTGGGGGATTTCTTAACTGTTTCCACAGCTTATTTCTGACACCACTCTGCTCAAAGCCCGATACACACTGCTCCATGATTGTCAAATACACTGCTACGTAACTGAACCTATAACCTTTTATCCTCAACTTTATTTTCTCTTAATGGTTTTAATACTTTACAGAAGCAGGTGAAGGGACGAGAGCAGGAAACAACCCTGGCACAGAGACCAAACAACTGTATTCTGAAATTCAAAATAGATTGAATTAGACCAGATGTTATGAAACATGGGCAAAAAGAAAGACCAATTCACTGTACTTTGTTACAGTGCAGCCAACAGTGTTTCAACAATAGGAGGGAGTAAAAAGCCTGGTCTTACAAGTATTTTCATCTCCAAAGCAAACTCCTCAAGAGGGAATTTACTGGAGCTATAGCAATGAACACAGTCTAGTTCATTCTTTTTGTGCTTTTGGAACATGCTTATTGCAGGTGTTAAAGCCATTATGAGAAAAATATTTCTGAGCAGTCCAAGAGTCATTTGGGCAATCAGATTAGAGATTAGTAAAAATAAAGAGGATACAAAGAAAGAGTGAATGGCAATGAATTATAGACCATATCTGAAATGTTAAGACTTTCTCCACTGGTTTGACTTTATGCAGAAAATGCAGCCAGGCAGAACTAAAGCAAATTGGTTTAATTCCCTTGAGGAAAGAGGAGCAAATTTTCCCAGCAACTTTCAGCTACAAGCATGCGTGACTGCAAATTTGGATGGAATGTACGATCACTAATCTACACACCAGTAATAAAACAAAACATAAGCCTTTCCCTACTGCTTCAGCAGTACGTGGGCACTGCCAATTAAAACACTCGGAGCAGGTGGAAAGGAAATGGTAAAATAAAACCAAATTAAGTAGAAGATTATTTGATATTTAAGTCTATAAATTCTTTTGACTGGGTCTCTTTTCTATTTATACATGCACAATGGGGCCCCAGTCTATAGTCACTGCTGGGGGACAAAGGTTTTTCAGACTTCCAAAACCTGAAAGAAACAGTCAGCTCTTCAAAGAAAACCACTTCAGAAAAGGAAGCTAGACTTTCCAAAGTGCTTTCCCCTGAAATCTGCCAAAAGCCCTCAGCCTGTATTTAATTTTAAGCAGGAGGGGTAGTTCCAAAGAAATTAAAGCATTGGCTCAAGAAGTTAAGCATGTACTCCATGTAGTTCAGTTTGCTGAACTACAGCTGCAGAAATAACTAGAAGCCTTCTAAAAAAGGCCAACATCAAGAGCAAAAAAGTGTTAACTTTAGAGGAAACAAACTGTCATGATGAAAAAGCAGCTGCCTTACAGTGTGGGAAAAGTACAAGTATTTCAAAAGAGCAAGGGAAACTCATAAAAGCAATGTCATAGTTCCATCAAAGAGAAAACTGTAACTTCCCAATCTTACTCTCAGTCTTTCCAATTACTAAGATACAGGATTTAGACACATCTCAGCATTTTATAGTATCACTAATTTACTTTCTAAACATGCTTCTTGAGAACAGTCATCCTACCAACTTTCAGGACAAGTGCACCATATGAAAAAAACATTGCAAAACAAAGCAAAAACCTCCTAAAAAAGTATTTTCTGTGAGCTTTTCTGAGTCTCACCAAGCCCCAGTCCCTCCAGGACATTTTCTATGCCACTCAAAGTACCATCTCCTGAAAAGCCTGGCATTAGCTCCATTTTCTTTTCCTCAAAGAAATCTCCCACGGATCAGATTGCCCGGCATGGCTCAGAGGGTTACTTCCTTAGTAAAATTAGTGCATGCAGCTCGCTCTGTACCTTTAACACCACAAAACCCACAGTCACATTTCCAAAAGAGAATTCTGAATTGAAAGAGGACATTGGTAAAACCTGGCAGTGTTCAAAAGCAGAGTTTTAGACCAACAGCACTGATCCACTGAGGCATTTCAATGAGTATTTCCCCAACCAGTAATCAATTTTACACAGCATGATGTAGTTCCTCTGTTCACTCCTTCCTTTACTCTAGGGTGAACATTAACACCTATGTCAACAGCAGATCCCTCTGCAGAGAGTGTATCTAAAAGCCTGGGTATAGCTTTTGTCTGCTATTTTGCTATCAGAAAGCATTGCAGTCTTTTTTGCTTGGAGTTACCTGTGCAGAGGAGGTGATCCTGAAAGTATCCCTTTCCACATGAGGTCACACACTGCCTGTTCTTCATGAGTAGAGATGCCTGGCACGAGGAGCACTCAAATCCATTGGTACAGGCTGAGCATGTTTCACTGCAGGCTTCCAAGAGAAAGAAGAAAGATCATAGAATCATAAAACATAAAATGGTTTGGGTGGGAAGGGACATCAAAGCTAATCTAGTTCCAACCCCACTGCTACAGACAGGGATACACTGGACCACGTTGCTCAAAGCCCTATCAATGCACCCTGGCCTTGAACACAGCCCAAACATCTTGATGCAACAAGACTCCTCTGCTCTAATAAAAGGAAATAATTTTGCCTCATTTTGGCAAACAAGTTTGAGAATTTGCCTGAAACCTCAAGGCCATGGTTACTATTCAGTATGTGCCTGAATGCTTTTCCAAACAAAGCCTGGCAATCTTTTTATAAAAAGCCTGTGGGATCCTACAAACAAAAGCACAGCATGCAACAGAGAGCCATGTGACAGGATATAAGCCCTTGCAGAAATTACCTAAGCAAGCACCCCCATCCTGGTAGAAGCCCAATTCACAAATCTCCACACAGCGCCCATTCTGCAGCTTCTTCCTTGGGTCACGACAGGCATTACAGTGATCAAAGGACTGAGAGCAGGTCAAGCAGTCTGGGTGGCACTCAACTGGCACAAAGGAAAGATACAATGATAAAAACCACCAGCAATGTTTTCAATCAGGAAGGCACAAAACAATGCATAATCCAAAATCAAACTGAAATTCATTACTTATTTCTATTAGCAATTCAAGGTGTGTTAGCTTTGGAGTAGGTTTTTTTAACCATGATTACATAAAGTGGGCTAACTATTATATCGTCGTATTCCAGCATGGGAGAAGTTACTACACAGCTCACATTTTCTAGGCTATTGATAAACAGGATATTCATTGTTCACATGGTTTCTCAGCAGTAAAAATCGTAAGACATCAGGAATTAATGGTCTGAAACAACCTGAATTAGAGTTTCCTTCAGTCAAACCCTGCAATAAGTCAAGACTGTTTCCATGCCAGGTCAGAGTACAGGTGGCAGACCACTCCCCCTCCAAAAAAAGGCTTTGTGTCACAGTACCATAGCAAACATTTCATGGCCACAGGCACCTTCTCAAACGACACAGCTGCTATGTTTGCAGAGGCCAAGGAAGGACTTCTTTTGCTTTACTACTGAGCTACTTCAGCTTGCTGGAAGAAAAGCTGTCTGTTCCTTTCCAGCAAGTCAGCAAAAAAGGATCACAATGCTGAAAACTCCTTCAATTACACTAAATCACCTGCATGTTTTCAGGGAGGTACCTAAGGGAAGAATTTGGAATCAAAAGCTGCAGAAGACATAGAGTTGAAGATAACAATGAATCCAGAGTGATAAACAAGAGGACTATAGGAGTCTCTGTCTCTATTCATTTCTTCCCAATGACTTTCCAAATATATGTACAGCCCCATCCTTCCAGTCTGACAATGAAAGGTACAGAATGGGCAATTTTTCTCTAGATACAAGAAAAAATTCCCTCTGCTTCAACCCAAATATTCTCAGTGAGAGGGCATATTTGCTGGTTTTAACATAAATACAGCTGTGCTCAGGGCTATATGCTTTACACTGCCTGAGAATGAATGGGTTCTCTCTGTCTGCTTCCCCCAACACATCTGTGAGAAGCAGCAATAAATTTTTACTGGCTTTAACGAAGCAGATGCATTAGGGATTGATGCTCTGGGCTCACAGATTGAACTGCTACAGGGTGGATTTTGCATTTGTTTCTTATCCCCTGTGATGCAAACCAGAAAAAGAGCGGAAAATAGCAGGCTTCAGGAAAGGAAATTTCCATTTACCTTTTAGGACAAAAAAGTGCAAGTTTGGCTCTCTCTGTCCAACACCATGATTTCAAAGCCTGTGTTTTCCAAAATGCGACCATTATGGAAGCTAAACTAAGAGGCCAGGTTTTCAAAGGTAATCAGTATGCAGTGGCACTTCTTGATAAGAAGAACAGAGAGGTGCTGAGAGCACTTTATAATCTGTCCTCTCCTTAGGAGCCTGTGCAGGGGCTGTTCCCTTTTGTAAATCCACAACAATTTTATCTGAACCAGCCAAACCCCATTTTCCTCACTTTTCAATTTGTAGTGCTTTGCATTTGTATTAGCATGCAGTAAATAACAAGCTTTAAAGCCTTAATATGGCAGATGTGCTAAGGCACTCCTGCCAACGAAAGCATAATTAAACTGTGAAGCTATTTTCTTTTTACCGAGATAAAACATTAACCAGAGCACTCTGATAAAACTAAAGTTACATAAATGCAACAAGAAGAGCCACCAACGTGATAAGGTAGCAAACCATACCTAAAGCCTACCAACTATGAAATATAAGTCAAGGAGAATGACAAAATCCTTGAGAAAAATTAATTTATATGCAAAATTAACATATAAGCTATCCTAATCTTTCCAAACAATTATTAATTGGCAGCTATTCAGATTTGAGTAAGTTTGTGGCATAAAAATGGAAGTGGGCTTGTTACTTCCACTCCCAAGAATCAGGAGCCCATAAAGTTATGATTCAGAAAGGAGCAGTCCCCTGCTTTGTAAAACTCATGCTGAAGACAAAAGAAAAAGACTAAACATTTCCAAAACACCAAATACAAGGAGAAACTCTTTTGTCAAAAGAAAGCTGTCACATATATCAGGGGAAATCAGTGGGAGCTTTTGGATGAAGCCTGAACCTCGCTAAGAACCCTAATGATATGGACCTATGAACTCTAATGATACACACCCTAGATGACATGGAAACCAGTTAATTAGCAAGTGAAAACTGAAGACAAGTTGCAATTCAACGCAGGTCCTGGGGAAGTGAAGACCACGGGGATGCCAGAACAATCCCCATGCCAGAGGTGTATGTAACACACACTAACATGAGTGACAGTGAGGAATGACTGACCCTGGGTTTGTACCTGGCTTGCAGTTCAGGCAGCAGTCATCCTTCACCTCAACAGCTAGGCTGCCAGGCGGGCAGGGTGGGCAGGAATGCTGGAAGCAGGTCACCTCTGCGTCCCGACATTCACATTCTCTGCACGGCCCTTCTGCCCATTTCTCTCCATTCTGCATAAGAAAAGCACAACAGTCAGCATCAACAGGGAAGCAAAGCCTTTGCACAAAGTGTTTGTGCATGTATGGAACTCCCTGGGTGAATTGCAAGGCTACCAGTAGTAAATTAAACATTTCTGGGGCTGTTTCAGCACTGAGGCCTGCCAACATAGGACTGTGCTTCTGTGCTGTTAACTCTCCTGACCTCTTTGCCTTTCCAGAGTAAGGCAGCCCACAAAGTGCCTGCTGAGTCGTCCTTGGCCCATGAAAACATGAGCACATTCAACCTCAGCACTCCCCCTAAAGCATGGTGTTTTCCAGCTAGCACTATGTCCTTTCGTCTTCTTCACCTCCCTTAATTTTCACAGGATCACAGTCTGGTTTGGACTGGAAAGGACCTTAAAGCTCAGCCACTTCCAATCCCCTGCACTGGGCAGCGACACCTTCCACTAGAGCAGGTTGCTTCAAGCCCCGTCCAACCTGGCTTTGAACACTGCCAGGGGTGGGGCAGTCACAGCTTCTCTGGGCAACCTGTGTCAGGGCCTCATAATCCTCACAGCAAAGAACTTCTTTGTAATGCCTAGTATAAATCTCCCCTGAGTCAGTTTAAAGCCATTACCCTTTCTGCTGTCTCCATACCAGAGGTGCTCTAGCCCCTGGAGTATCTTCATGGCTTCCTCTGGACTCGTCCTTTCTAACCCTCAAAGCATTTTATTTTCTCTCCTCCTCCCTTCTGTTGCCCTGTTTTCTACCACTAAGGACTTGCCCACATATCACAGAGATGAAGATGTATCACCAGCTTGCTTCAAAACTATTCATTGCACCTAACATGTGTCTACTTTTACTACTCGTTGGAGAGAAGAGGCCTTCCACTTCCTATTCCCTCCTGTGATGTGCATCCCTGGGTTTGCTCAGAGGCCAACAAAGCTCAGTGGATGAGGCTCTGCTGGCACCACATGAAGAAGTCAAAAGGCAGAAAAGAGACAGCAAACATTTTTAAATGTCCGTGAAGCTTTTGTGCCAGTTCCTCTCTTAAAAGGGATAAAGCACAAACTGGAATAAACACCTTAATATGTTTTACCTCACTTGGGTCAGAGAAAGAGATCTGAGGAAAGAAAGGGAAGTATTAGCTTTAAAAAGGGAGTATTAAACTTCCCATTATCTCACATGTGTTGGCAAACAGCAGCTATGAGCTCCAGCCTTCACCTGTCCGAGCAATGAAAAGACCATTCCTAGTACATTTAAACCAAGATAACTAATGTTTTCTTTGTATTTAATTACAAAATGAAAGTTCTTTGACAATATTAATAAAGTACTGAGTAAAGTAAAAATTACGATCAGTGGGATACATAGCAGAAAGCTATGCATTGCCCCAGCTCTGCAGCCTCTAGTTTATAGGATTAAAGTCAGGTGTCTTTAACTCCATGAGATGTGCAAGAAACCTGCGAGTACATATATTAAATATTAAAGGGAAATGATTGATTATACTGCACAAAGGAAAGCAAGGCAAATTTAAACTCTGCAGCAGACACACACATTGTAAACAAGCATTTTCTGTAAATTGTAAAAGTAGTCTGCAGACAGTATTAATGAATTATTTTTCTGCTACACTTGCAAATAATACCCTTCTCAGAACTGAAAAGGGAGAGCAAAACTCACTATTACATGCTCCAAAGTACCAGGATACTCACAGCTTTGGTATGTTCTTTGTAAACACAGTAACTATTACTTGAAATACATTCAGGACAGCACTTCCCATCTAAGTGAATTAATTCTTCACCCTGTAAAGAGAAAGGTTGCAGCAATTCAAATGGAATCTACATTGCCAAAAATACTCTGGAATGCAGAGGCAGAGCAGCTCTTGCTCTGGAATGCAATCTTCAGTATCTAATTTCGCCTTATCTTCTCTCCAGCCTACTTCATCTCTGAAGGTACAGTTTGAAAAATGGGCCTGGTGAATACTTGCCCAACAAACCTCGGGAAAAGCCAGAGATTTCAGTGATAAGGCCATTACTTCATCCCTAAATTCAGCAGAGAATCACCCTTTTACTGTGGATCACTAGGATTTCACTGGACCACTGTCAAGATTTCAACGCACAGAAGCTTACCTTTGTTTTGAATGGTCTACTTCTTGTCCCCAAGAGAATTACTAAGCACATGCTCTACTTATCCCAGATGGAAAAAGTCTGTTCTTGGTTACAACTGTACAGCTCCACAGAAACCACTTAGCTAACTTCACTTGGAAGATAAGAATTTAGCAGCAGGAGGAAGCAATGAAGTGCCCTAATTCATCACAACTTTTTGTGTCTAAGTGTAAGCTGAATATTTAGAAAAGAGGGACACTGTCCTAGAGAACAAGGACACAGCCTGAAAGAAAAAGCTTCAGTTTCCTTAGGAGCTTTTCTGGACCAGGTTCTCATACACTGTTAACATAGGCAAGATAATACATACTCAACAGAAACTGCACAGATGTTGGTGGCACACTCACCAGTTTTTGCCTGTGAATTACTTTAGGCATAGGTAAGGCAGTAACAGCACCAGCCACCATTAGTTTTATCAAGGCAGAACAACTAAGCCAGGCCACACTCTGGCAACCCTCATACATTTCTGAGCATGATTAAGAGAGGAGAAACCGTGTGGTTCTTAGTCACTGAGGACCACACACAGCCTGTATCTCTGCCAGTTCGATGCATTTTGCTCTTCAATCATTACTTCAAAATACTATTGGCAGTGGTTGGATCTTGTGTTACTACTATGTACTGTAAACTCTCCCATCCCCAACCCTGCCCACTTCCCCACCCACATACATAAACACACTACAGAAAACCTGAGAACCAGGATTGTTCATTATATTCCAGGCTGAGAACATCGAAAGGCACTGATGGGCTGGGAGACAGAAGAGAGAAAAAAGATGTTCTGTGCAACCTCCTTCAAACACATACACACCTCAAACACATCTATAGGCATTACCCATAACTCTCAACTAGCTCCATTTCTTTCAAATACCAGAAACACATTTGCAACTCGCTGGCTGTCTGGTAGTCACGCAGCACCCTGCAAGCTCTGTCCTTCCCAGAGCTGGCAGGCTGGCAGCAGAAGTATTTCATCACTAGCCTACTCAGGTAGGCTGCAGCATCCTCTGCTAGCACCCATAACCCATCTTCCTCTGAACATCCTCAAGGGTGCGCTTACTCAGCTGGGGTGCTGGCAAGTGCTCCAGCAGGATTCTTTGATGCTCTGACAGTTTTGAGTGGATCTGGTTGAGTGCATCCACTTCAAGATCCAGGGCTAACCCAGCCTGCCACATTACTTGTACTCCCAGCTCATCAGTAAGCTGCTGAAAATGGCTTTTTGAAGATTAGTCAGAATCACCACAGACACTTTCATTTGGCAGCTGCTACACAGGTTTGTTTGAAAGGATTTATAAGCTAAACCTCTATGCTCAAGTAACGCTGCTCTACTATGTCGAGCTGTCTAGGATTTGCAGTTCATATTTGTGGCCTCATTACACTTTAAATAGGATGATGTGACCAGAAAATTAAGAGTGCCTTAATGAAGAGATGAATCCAAATGCTCCTAGCTTCACATCAGCTCTGATTTATTTATGAGGGTAAAACTCAGACCTACAACTCAAAAAGGAAAAAGCAAAGGAAAAAGGAAATATTTAATTTGCTTTTTGAGTAAATATTTTCTTGTAATTAATTAATTAATGTGCCCCTTGCATTACTAAGGTGAACTATGATTGGTCATGACTTGAAGAAGCAAGAGAAGCCATGCAGAATAATAAATCCTTGGGAAAATATCTTCTATCAGGTGGGACCGTAACTCTTGTCTACAACAAAGACACTGTCTTCCTCCTTCTTCCTCTGTTTCATTCAATTCAAAATTGCAGCGGTTCATTCTCTGACAAATAATATCACCTTTTTAGATGCTCAGGCTTTAAATGGGTGGTTTCCTTTGAGAACCTAGTTTGAAAAATTGCTGCACACCTCTCAACGCCCCCGACCCCCAGTTTTGAACCCTACATGTTAACATCTCCAGCTATTCTTCCGTAAAATATCCCTGACTTTCCTGAATAATGGATTCTTTGTCCGTACCTAAGATATAAGCATGAATATTAAATAATTCTCCCTACTGAGCCATGACAGCATGCCATCATCATTAGTGTAAATGATCCAATTTACAGCCATAAGCATGCAGGAAGCTGAGTGAAACAGATGCAAGTGCACAAGATTTTATGACAGCCACGACTTTCCACTCAGCAAAATCTCCCCAAGCAGTTTAAGGTCAGATGATTGTCAGCAGTACTACACCAGTGACAAGAGTTTGGGTCCCACACTCGGTGCGTTTTTGCTATTTAAAGGCACATTCTCAGATGTAGAAGGATACACTTTTATTCCCAGATACATTTTCTCTGTGTGATCATCATCTGGATGACCCCATGTGTGGATTCTCACTTTTTTGAATGCTCATTAAAACAATCTAGTCCAGTGAATCCACTATGTCCAGAGTTTGGCTGGACTTCAGACACAACACAAGGGTGTTGCTACTCAAGATTTAACATACAGGCAGAGTCACCAGCAAAGCATTAGACACTGAGAGGGAAAACTCAGGAGGCTACAATTCCTTCCCTTCTCTTCACTGACACTGTGGAGTAATAGGTGTAAAGCAGGTATTAGCCTACCAATTAAAACAGATGCAGTGACAAACAACACAATTCTTATCCCACTGCTAAAAGGCAATTCACAACATATTTATGTGTCTGTGTGAAGCATTCAACCCTATCTAACGCATTTTGCATATCCACTTTAGAGCAAATATAACCTAACCTGAGGGAGGCTGTGGGTGGTTAGTTTTGGAGTAAACAGCACTGGGAATAGAATAGCTTTGCTTCCTTCCATGCCAAGAATGGTATGGAAAAAATGGAGGAAAGTGGAACACTGACTTCCATATCCAGACACCTTACTGAAGCCCACTGTAGCATACAGAACGGAGAAAAAAGGAACATTTCTTGAGCTTTTAACTATCTCTGACCTCTATGTTTCTCCCCAGCTCCTGGTAAAGACAGCGGTCACTGAAACTTCTGGGTGTTTGACCCTCCATTATAGCAGGCAGGCAACAGTGGAGGAAGGAATCTAAGTTAAATTAGTCACTGATTTACACTGGCTTGCTTCACAAAACAAGCCTGCTATGAAGTCAGACTTGCAGAGGAAATACAAAGTTTCCTCTCCTTTCCCGAGAACCGTTTTCAAGGTAAATTGCACTAAACAAGCCCCAGAATGTCAGCTGAGAAAAAAGAAAAGAGGAAAGTAATCAAAAGACTTGAGAGATCCATCTTGAAACAAGAAAGCCTTTCTTACCTTGGCACACTCCACTTTGGCACACTCTGCTACCTGGCAAGTGACTTGCCCTGCATCACACACGCAGAAGTCGCAGTGAGTACTATTCCACATCTCACCATGGTACCTGGGAGTGTCCTCATACAAGCAGTTTCCCCTGGAAGGCACACACTCCTCACAGCACTTCCCAGGATGCTGCACCTTGTCTTCCCCCTGCAAAACATCAGCAAGCATTGAGCAGGACTGCCTGAACCTGTTGGCACAGGCACAGTGATATGTGCCAGCAGGGTATCAGATGTGAATGATTTTTAACTACCTTCTCACAGGTAACAGAGTCACAGGTCTTGCTCAGACATCTGACTTCCCCTCTGTGACAAGCACATGCAGTGCAGGCACTTTTTTCCCACTGTTCACCATGCTGTTCAAAAAGAACATATATGAAGTGTTAAGCACTTTTTCAATCATAGAATCATAGCCAAATTCTTTCCAGAAATCCATGCTCCTTGTGGAATATGATGGCTCCTTCTGCATGTCTGTATCAGATAATAAACTCTTCTTAAATGCTTAACTCTACATGATCAGCAAACAGGAAGAGGGAGATGTCCCTGTGATGTGTATTTCTCATCAACTTCAAGCTACTGACATTGGTGAGGCCTATTAAATCCTAATAATTACTATTATTAGCAAAAGATAATTACTAACAGAGTATCCCATAAACATAATCATTAAATAATGCATTAATTCCAGATGATACAATGAAAGCTATAAACACTTTGATCTTCACCAGTGCTTTCTGCTTTCCTCCTTCAAAAAAGTGTGAAAAGAAAGTGCCTAATCTGCTTCACCTTGCAAACTTCCTTTCTGCTTGCCAGCAAATTTTTATCTAGTCCTAATTTCTTTCAACTCTTCTGGCTTCCCAGGAAATAAAAAAGCAACGGTTGTACTAAGCTATCAGTGCTGGCAGAAAGTCAGATGCTGGGGGGAAGGGAAAGAGAGATGTGCCAGAACTTGTGAACAGCTGCCTTTTGGTGCGGTTTGTCAAGAGTTACCTGGTACACTCTTCCTGACACTGAGCAGGGCTTTGGAAGACATTCCGGGCAGCATTTTCCAGGAGGTGTAACCATAACTTCATCCTAAACAGAAAGCATGAGAGACAAGTAAAGTAAGAGAATGAACAGTTAACATGGGGCTCAGCATCACTGCCTGGAATTCCAGGGGTGTGGTCTCTCTGTGATAACCCACAGCCACTCAAGGTTTCATTTTTGCTCCAGTATCTGGGGCAGTCTTCAGAGCATAAGACCAGTGTAGAAAACTAAAGACACTTCCTTCATCTCATTTTCTGGGCCCCTTTGGATGGCAACTGAGGTCCAAATACATAGATGGGTATATAGGTGCAGATAAAGACGCACACAGAAGATAAAGTACTTATATTCAGGTATGCAGATATACAGAGGGGGGAAAAAGTCTATATAAGGCTATGTAGAGAAGCATACTAAAGCATGAGATGGAAAAGATTTATTTTCCTGGTACTGCCCCATTTTGAGGCTTTGAACATGTGATTTACACTCAGGCTTTTGCACTGTTTTAGTTAAATACATACAGCACAACTGTCTGTACAGGTGATAAATTATGCTTAAAACTGAATTATCCTAATCTAAACTTTTCCATGACTGGTTTAAATCACACTGGAGTAAGCTGGCACTTCACATCAATATAACAGCTCCTGTGCACCTCAACTCTACCCATCCAAAAGGCATCTGCAATTCCCCTGCTACAATTCAATGTACATCCAATGACTTGGAATACTTCTGTTCACCAGCACCTCCCTGCAACCACATCAGGATGACCACATCAGAAGACTTACTTGTAGTGTAGGGCTGGTAGTGTAGAAATGCCAAGCACTATTATCTGCTTTGTTAGCTTTCAAAGAAAGAATGGAAGACTTCATATAAAAGTTACCAAGGATAACTTTTAAGCAGACCTAAAAGAACTCTTTCATAGATTTTGGTGGAATATGTGGTGGGACATTCAGGTGCACTCCTGCGTGCAACATGCATTTTTGAAGTTCCTCTCCCTCAACACCCAGGGAAGGGCCCAGTTACCTGAAAGATGGACGACTGGGATAATTTATGTATTGGCTTTTGACAGGGAGTGAAGAATGAAGAAAGTAACAGAGATATAGGCACAAGAAAGAAAATGTTAGGTATGATTGAGAGTACATCCTGCTAATGTCCCTTCCACCAGGCACCTGAGTAGGCAATACCTTGAACACCATCAAAATCGGCTTTCTTCTGCATTAACTTGGATGCTCTCAGCAGGTTATTCTCAGATACATCACAGCACCAACACAGTTGTTTCTGTTTCCACAAATTAAATCCTAATGATTAGCTGATTAAACATTAGTGCAATCAGTCAGCAGGTAATAGCAGTCCATTTGGAGTGGGAAAGAGGGAAATCTAATGCAAGCATAAATTTGTTTTAATGCACAGTACTTAGTAAATCTAACTGAGTATCTCAGGACAAAGCAAAACACGATTAGCATGCACAGAAACAGGTGTGTTAATGGCACAAACATCTGGCCCAGTAGTAGAAAGCTGCATAAGCATCAATAGGGAAAAAAGAAGTTTATGACTAGTGCTACAGGGAAGTGTGCATGCATTTCAAGGGAGCTTCTGCAATCATCGATGGAGTATGGTAGTAGATTAAAAAAAAGCTGGTAAATGGCACCCCCTAAAACATCAAGTCAAGGTCAGAAAGAAGAATTTCCAGGGAGCCAGTTCCTGCACTTCCTTGGCACAACATGCTGTTGTAAAAGATTACACCAAGGTGCCCAAGACAACTGGTACAATGGGCCCAATGAAAGGAAATCCAAAAAAAGCACAGTCATGCCCTTAAGCATTTGCAGTATAATAACAAGAATTAAAAAACTGAGTCACTTGTATAAAGTGTGAAGTACTGTCTATAATCCTGTGGTATTTTGGTTGGGCTGATCATTGCATAAGTGCCAAGAACTCATCATATGTCCACAGCAAAAACACCGGAGACAAAAATGTCCCAATTCTCTCACCTGGACTAAAACCGTGACTCATTGCTTGAGCTTGCCTGACTTATCTGGCTGGCTTGGTCGATTTCTGAACACAAGCACACATAAGAAATAGTGCTATTTCAGCTGAAGTTGTTTTGTATTTCTGAACTCTTGGAAGGGGAATTTCATCTGCATTTGATTGCTTTCAACTGTATTTCTGGAGTTCCTATTTTAAAAAAACATAAGTCCTGCAAATCAAACTTTCAGCTGCAAACCAAACACTGAAATTTGTGAAGACAAAACCCCACCAAAAAATCTTTTCATTACTTCCCTCTTAGAAATAAAAAAAACCTGATCAACCCTACATTATTTTTTTAGTATAAAACATAGAAGCAGTTTTTTTAGACAGTATTGTGCTTAATTAGCCAGCAATGACGAGAGGAATCAATGTGAATAAAATGGTGAAGAAAGAAGACAGTAGAGAAGAGACAGCCAACATAGAATCATACAATAGTTAGGGTTGGAAAGGACCTTAAGATCATCAAGTTCCAACCCCCCTGACATGGGCAGGGACACCTCACACTAAACCATATCACCCAAGGCTATGTCCTCCCTGGCCTTGAACACCACCAGGGATGGAGCATTCACAACTTCCTTGGGCAACCCATTCCAGTGCCTCACCACCCTAACAGGAAAGAATTTCCTCCTTATATCCAATGTAAACTTCCCCTGATTAAGTTTTAACCTGTTACCCCTTGTCCTGTCACTACAGTCCCTAATGAAGAGTCCCTCCCCAGCATCCCTATAGGCCCCCTTCAGATACTGGAAGGCTGCTATGAGGTCTCCACGCAGCCTTCTCTTCTCCAGGCTGAACAGCCCCAACTTTCTCAGCCTGTCTTCATACGGGAGGTGCTCCAGTCCCCTGATCATCCTCGTGGCCCTCCTCTGGATTTGTTCCAACAGTTCCATGTCCTTTTTCTGTTGAGGACACCAGAACTACACACAATACTCCAGGTGAGGTCTCACAAGAGCAGAGTAGAGGGACAGGATCACCTCCTTTGACCTGCTGGTCATGCTCCTTTTGATGCAGCCCAGGATACGGTTGGCTTTCTGGGCTGCAAGCGCACACTGCCAGCCCATGTTCATTTTCTCATTGACCAACACCCCCAAGTCCTTCTCCGCAGGGCTGCTCTGAATCTCTTCTTTGCCCAACCTGTAGCTGTGCTTGGGATTGCTCTGACCCAGGTGTAGCACCTTACACTTGGCATGGTTAAACTCTGTAAGTTGGCATCAGCCCACCTCACAAGCGTGTCGAGGTCCCTCTGGATGGCATTCCTTCCCTCCAGCGTATCAACCGAACCACACAGCTTGGTGTCATCAGCAAACTTGCTGAGGGCGCACTCAATCCCACTGTCCATGTCACCAACAAAGATGTTAAACAAGACCGGTCCCAACACTGGTCCCTGAGGGACACCACTCGTTACCGGTCTCCAGCTGGACATTGAGCCATTGACCACAACTCTTTGCGTGCGGCCAGCCAGCCAGTTCTTTATCCACTGAGCGGTCCACCTATCAAATGCATATGTATATTGATAGGCTTAACTGTCACTCCACATCATTTCCACACATCAAAGCTCCCTTTTCCAAATTGCCTGCTCGTCACACAGAAGATTTGCCTACTAATTTGCACATCTGCTTGAGAAATGGCCCTGGCCAAGGGAAAGAGGACAGCAATGTGTAAGGTCCCCCAGCAGGCTGATGGGTCCTGACCTTACTGCACAGTAGAGCCTGGCAGGAAGCTGTAAAGCACCGAGTCACACCGTCCCTGCAGATGCATTTGGAGCACCGACCAAGGTGCCAGTCCTCCCCATCCTGGAACAAGTGTCCATCAAAGGAACAAGGCTCTAGGAGATAGGAAAACAAAACGTGATTTTCTTTTCCAATGCCCCTTAAGCCCTTTCTGTCATCCATAACCAAGACACTTATTTTGTGCATCTCAGAATTCAAAACTTTGGTTTATCAAAGCAGGTAATGACAGTAACAGTTCCACCAGTTTTAAAGGGCTGTAGCTGTGGGAGCTAAGAGCTCTGGATGAACTTCTCTCACTGGGCTTCTATGAGAAAAGATATCCAACAGCTTAGGCATTTTTAGAACTTGCAGTCCAAGTCCCTCTGTACACATGAAATATCTGCATTTTTTTTCCAGATTTTAATCTCCAAAATAAGGATTTATTAGGTACATCTGCTCACGGCTTAAAGCTTACCACTTCCTCTTGGCCTATGGATGAAGCTGTTGAAAATGTAAACATGTTAGCAGGACAGAAAGAGAATTAAGGGACACACCTGACACTAGTGTCCTCCCAACAGAACTGACAAGACAAGAAAAGATTTCCAGATTTGGGACTAAAAAGAGATTTCCAGTGGCCTACTTGGATCAATGAAGCCAGAAAATACTCACCTCCACGTCCCACACATCTAGGACAGCAGGATCCCTGAGGAGTGTATTGCAGTTCCCCTGGTCCACACATGAGGGCTGGGCAGGGTGGAGGAGTGCAGTTCACCTTCCCGTGAGCACAGGAGCACCGGACACATCCAGAGCTGGCCCACTCCGTGCCATGCTGCAGTGCACAACACAACCAAAGGCACAGAAAACACAGTGTGAATCCAGCTGCTGCTGAGACCTGTAAATAGATCTGCTCCCCTTCAAGCCCTACATTAATATTAAATTTACTCTTTTGCAGGCCCTGCCAATCTTGGCACATTGTAGCCCTTACTCCTGGCTGCAACACTGGGGCTAAAAATAAGTTAATACTGTCAAAGTAGTAAACCTGGAGATCAGCCTTATTTTCCTTCCTGTTGCAAAGTGTCATCCAGCAACAACCCACTGCAAAACATCCAGGCTAATGGATACAACCCCTTTTCATTACAGCTTCTGCAGGGCAAATTGTACATTTATAGACATGTTTTCTTTAGAGAAATAGTCAACGTGCCCCATAAAACACATCTCACCACAGCGCTCACCCCGCATACTTAATACACTCTACTGTGAGTAAAACCTCATTAGATTTGCTTATTCATTAATGCAGAAACAAGTATCTCTACCCTGAGGCTGGATGAGGAAAAACTGGCCTCAACAAGAAACATGTCGGAGCATTGCAACACTCCCCAGCAAATAGAGGATGTTAATTTTCAGAAAACATGCAATACTGAATTAGGCAGTAAAAAAGCTCTTGCCAGATAGTGAATACAGATTTTCTTCTATGGAGCTACTGCTTGGTGCCAGTGTTGCTAGCCAGATACTTGCAGAATGATGGTCAAGTCATAAGGCATTACAGTGGCTCACTGACAAAACAATCTTTCCTTGAAGAAATTTGCTCCAACCATCAATACAAGACTTTGCACTAACAAAAAACCCTGTTTAATGACCACCTCAGAGTGGAATTGGTGTGTTACAGATAACCACAGGTACAAACATGCCTCTAATCCCTGTGGCGATACACACTTATTCACCTGACTTCTGTCCTAAGACCAGGCTTACAGACAGATGAAAGACAAAAACTGCAGCAAGAGTACAACACAGCAAAATGCAGCAACAGCAACAACAAGAAATGTAATGTAATATACTAACTAAATATTATTATATTTATATAATATAAAGAAATATGAGAATATATATTATATATAGAAACATGAGAAGAGGATGAATGTAGGGACAGTAGTGACAGGACAAGGGGCAATGGGTTCAAACTTAAAACAGGGGAGATTCAGATTAGATATGAGGAAGAAATACTTCCCTGTGAGGGAGGTGAGGCCCTGGCAAAGGCTGCCCAGAGAAGCTGTGGCTGCCCCACCCCTGGCAGTGTTAGACGTCAGGCTGGACAGGGCTTGGAGCAACCTGCTCTAGTGGAAGGTGTCCCTGCCCATGCAAGGGGGTTGGAACTGGATGAGCTTTCTAACCCTGACCATTCTATGATTCTATGTGCTACCCCTACTATTCCAGTCTTTGTCTAGCTCCTAAAAGATTCATACTGGTCATGCCTCATGCTGAAACAGAGGGTGACAACATCCATCTCGGGTGTACAGCAGCAGGTCCAGATATTCAAACGTATCTGGGCATTTTAGCATATTTCTTAAGATTTGGACTTGACTTGCCTCTTGTCAAACAGAAAAGTCTGTAAGAGACCAGGCACAGAACTTGGGTTCACTGTTAAGACATTTTTCTACATTTACCTATTGTTTTCTGTGATTCATTAACTACTACCCATGAATCTTTATTTTTTTCTCATCTGTAGACACTTACTGTTTTGGCCTTTCAGCACCACTGGGTGAAACCACAACCTGCTTCTTGAATAATTAAGGATTACAAAATACATAACCCAGGTCGCACAAGAATAATCAATCTCTCCCAGCATAGATGGCTGATGAGAGAAAAGCCTTCTTTGTGGATAGCTAATATGTCAAGTTCACTGTGCTTTGCTCCCCTACTAACATTACTATGTTGTCTCAATCATCCACAGAAACAGCAAAGCGAATGAATGAGTGGGAAACTTTCTCCCCTTAAGACAAGAGGACAGATTGCTCAGCAACACATTCCCTTTCTGCAAAGCCTGATGACCAAACTGTTATCATACTACAAGATCTGATTGTGATAGAATATAAGCACGTCACGTAAGCATCCTTCACTAACGTGAACCAGAGAGTTAAAAGCTGGGGAGGATTGCCCCTGCCAAGGAACATAACCAAGCACTCACGCTGTGGATCTGTCCTTCATGCTGGCAAAAGCCTTCAGCCCTAGAGGCACACTCAGGGCAGCACTTTTTGGAGGCTATTTGGAGCACTTCTCCCTAAGAAGAGACAAGAATCCAGTAAGCACATGTGGAACAGAGACTTCAACATGAAGGTAAAGGCATGGGGCCTTACTGGACCTGGTGCTCTGTTTAGACAGTAAAAGTATGAAGTGAAATATATAATGCTGCTACACAAGATCGCTTTGTTGAAGGGTGGCACGTCAGTTTCCTGTATTTGACATTTTACCATCAAAACAAGAGGAGAATTTATAACCCTGACAGTACAATTAGGAAGTCTCCTGCTGTTCCTTCCAACCCAAACCACCTTGTGAGTTTGTGTGAAATGTCACAAGTTTTCTTTCTCTGTTCTCTAAAAGAAATAATTTGATTTTTCAAATTAAAAAAAAAAAAAAGTTTTTCTTCAATACTGTGTTTTTTAAGAGGTGGGAAACAAAACGTAACATTTCATTTAACTTAAACTATTAAACCCTATTCAACTGTGATCATGCTGGGGAGAAGCTGTTCTTGGTTGTTGGCTTGTTCGGGTTCAAACAACAGAAATAATGTTTGCAAATTTTCCACCTACTCAACACATTCGGCATGCACAGCGGTAGGTTCTATATACAAATGTTTAGGATGCCAATGGGGATGCTTTCTGCAGAGCCTGCCTGGTTTTGTTTGTGCTTTCTTGCTGTAAACAAGATCAGCAATATTAGCATAACTCTCATAATGAGCAAACAAGAAATAAACCATGGAGAGGGACTGTGATTTCTGCCCTTGTTCATCAGAGGTTGCTTTCTGCCTTAAGGATGACTGGATTTATTTTTTTTTTCTGAGTTCCTTAATGATCCTTTTGAACATTTCAATGGCCAGACCTTTACGGAACTGTTAAACTCTTTTGTCTTGAAGATTACTGTCCTGGGTTCAGGTCCCCATGTCAAGGAATCACACAGATTCATTTCACACTATAAATCTATTTCCTTTTATAAGCTTTAAGTTTGCCACCTTTTCATTTATTCAATTTTTTAAGATGAACAACATCACTCATTACTGTTGTGCCGTGCCAGCACATTTTTATTTCTCTCTTCCCTAGCAGAGAACTTCCTAATATTTCAGTCTTGCTTTAATCAATACACAGTGATAATAATGGAGGAGAACCAGTAAGAATCAAAATTATTTCCTCATTAATGCTGTCATATTGGAAAACATTTTAACCTGCTTCATAAAGCCATATAATTATATCAGCAATGCCTCTTTAAAACACTAATTTTCATTGCCATCCATGCATGTTACCCCATTAATCCAGATGCTAACGCAAGACCAATTCCATGGCCAATTAGCTGTAGCCATTAATGAAGGCTCAGACAGAGAAAGATAAAACAGGAGACAACAAAAGCTCAATGGCTATCACAAGGCAGAAGAAACTGAAAGACAAACAAACTCAGCTCTGTCATTGTTCATCAGGGTGGAAAGCATCCACCTGCATATTTGAGGAAGACCCAGATCTGTCTTCAAATGTAGGGTGACTGGAAGCTGGGGTCATGCTGGGAGGTCCAAGCCCATTCAGGCACTTCCTTTGGGGACCAGACAGCCCTTGCAGCACAGGCAGTCTGAAAGCTGCTCCAACACCAAGCTTCCGTCTGTAGCATGGTGAAGGGGACAAAGGTTCATACACTGGTTTTTGCCCATGTGTTTCTTGCATAGAAGCTTGCACTGGTGAGATGTGAAAGCGTACAGGAACTGTGCCAGATCCTGGGCAGTCACACACACCCTAAGAAGAGGAGTGGGATTTCACTGTTCCCTCCTGCTCCCCCCAAGTCCTGCTGTGAATTCAAAGGGAGCTGTAGGGAGGCAGCTGAGCCTAGAAGGTTGACATGGCAGCTGTCACCACAGTGTATGAAGACAAGCAGTCAGCTCACCTCTGCCACCTTCTCCAGGAAAACACCTCATGCTGAATCCTGGTTTTGTGTCCCTCTTAATACAAGAGGAGCTTTGCTTACACAGGGACTGTATGACTAACTACCTGAACTGTTCCCACCACACCTTTACAGGTTCCACAGTGTGGCAGACCCAAACACATTTTGACATACAACTATTCCAGGGGTTTAAAGCAGGCGAAGGCTTGGAACTCCAGAGTGACCCGACATTTCTCCCACCACATTGGGTCAGCTAGCATTTGAACAGTTGCAGCTGTTTACCTTCTGAAAGTCACACTGGGGATGTTTGCAAAGGGTAGGTTCACAGGTGACAATATTGCTGTGGCAACGGCACTCTTGGCAGGAATCTGGCTTCCAAATGGTGTTATTCTGCAAACAAACAGAAGTTTTAAATGAGACCCATACAGCACAAGGCAAGTGCTATTTTACACAACAGCAAACAGCTCAGTATAGACTGGAAGAGTAAAGTCTACAATGCGCCACCTTTCCCTCCTCCCACATGCTCCTCACACACAACTTGGTGCCTTTTGTTTAGTGAGTTCAAACATGTAGTTGAAAGACAAGGCCATGCAAGGCAAATCCTAGAATCCTAGACTGATAAGGTTGGAAGAGACCTTAAAGCTCATCCAGTTCCAACCCCCTGCCATGGGCAGGAACACCTTCCACTAGACCAGGTTGCTCCAAGCCCCATCCGGCCTGGCCGTGAACACTTCCAGGGATGGGGCACTCCAAAGACAAGACAAACATTAGGACGTAACCTCCAACAACTTTAGGTGTTCAGAGCATCGCTGGGAAACTTTATAATCCAGTTTGGACTGTCCAAACTTCAGCTATGCCTATGAGCACAGCTTGTGTGGAGGCAGCTAAGGTACCTTTGAGGCTAACCTGCTCCTGGGCAGCTGTGGTACCACTAGCACCCCATGAGCTGATAGAGAACGCAGGTAAATCTTGACATGACTGAACCCAAATGAGCTGTTGAATGTAACACTGAAACTTTTGAGGAAGACAAAGTCCTAGTGTCAAAACCGTGATACAAACGTGGTTATTACATTAAGGGCTGTAAGATGGAAGCAAAGGTCTAAAGAGCCTTAAACTGGAATTAAACAGATTTAGTAAAAAATGCTGAGCGCATGGCCAGGTATGAACAGGCTCTACCTGGTCACATTAATTCCAAAACGTCATGAAGAGAACTCTGATCAAGCAGACAGTCCAACAGATTTGGGAATAGCTGTCGCCACCACTTCATCAGTGTACCCAGCTTGAACACCCACAGCTAATTGGCTAAAGAGTTTTCACCACCCTAGCTTGACCCCTTTCCATTCCTTCCATGCTGAGGTCATGATCCCACGCAACCACCCTGCACTCACAAGGCAGCTCAGACCCTGACGCTTACCAGACTTCTCCTTTCCCACCAGTTTCTCCAAGGGCTGAACAGCCACTTGGGACTCATCACTTTTGGCAGGATGCTTGGAAAACAAAGCCTTCTTTCTCTTTACTCCTGAACACTGACTTCCAGTCACCCTGATACTAAAACAGCATCAGCAGCATCCCAGAGAAGCAGCCAAGTCTGCCTGTCACCCCCCTTCCTACAAAACATCTTGCCTGCACTGAGCTCTTCCACAGTGTCACTTCACCCATGCCAAGCAATCTTTCTCTGGCAGTTTAAAGAAGCAACCAGTAACTATGTACTGAGGTATTCTGAATGATTCAATTGCCATATTCATGTTTAATTAGCTGTTTTTAAAAGCCCACAGTTAAATCCACCAAAAGAAAATGGGGCAAGGAAGATCAGTTTCTTGTCTGAAAATCTCCTTCCCATTAGACAACCCCTGCGCATACAGCAGGCTAAATTTATGCCACACAGGAAATTTTCCTGTGCAGTACAGACAGCTGCTACCCAAGCCATTAAGCCTCATTTTTAATGGATTTGAACAGAGACCAGACTTTGCTACTCATTTACATGATGCAGTGATTTACTCCATTAAGTCAATTTACTCAGAGTGTAAAGTATGACTTAGGCAAATTAAGATATGAGAAGATGATTCACAGTTGACTACTAGAAACATATTTAGGGCTAACTACTAAAACTGTTAAGCATAATGATAAAGCACTGAAATCTGCCTTAAAAGCCCATTAGATTGCTTAATGAGAGCAAAAATATCTTGAAAAATCTGGCCATTTGCTCAGGAACTTATGCAGAAGCTGTTATTGGGTGCTGCAGTCTTGTAATAAGTTCATGTGACCGGCAAGCCAGCCAAGAAGTTCTACAAGCCAGCATGTGCAATGTGTGGGGAGAGATGGTCTTACAAGGCTTCACCTCACCTGCATAACTGAAAGAGGGCACAGGTAGGGGCTCTCTCTTTGTCCACCCATCCTGCATGCAGGGCTGACTGTAGAGGAAAAAAGGCCGGTTGCCTCCCCTGGGAAAGAAGGCTCTTTGTCAAAATGAGACAGCATACCCTACAAGGATAGAGCAAGAGTGCAAACCTGCAAGGAGGGGGATAACCAAAAATGCTGCTGACAATTCCTTGTGCCTCTTCGCTGCTTTAGAGAAGCATTCCATTCTTATCAAACTGTGCTCGTCTCTTGTGGCAGAGTTCATGCAAAAGGAACAAACACTCCGGCACCACCAGAAATTCAAGGAGATTCTCTGTTAGTGTAATGATGATGGCAACACTAACCCCAGTAACAGTATGAGATGGCAGTAAGTGTACAGGTAAGATATCAACAAGATCAAGAGAGATGGTAATTTCTGCTCTGGTAATACAGCTGGTTCTCCTCTCACACACACATGGCTGCGGCTCTAGAAAGGAAATCCTGACTTCATCTGATCTACAGTACGATTTACAGACTGATTTACAGTATGGTTACAGAATAAATTCAGGTTAAGTTACATGTTTAGTGAAGGAGTTAACGCATTCTGCCCTCTTTAACAGAGCTTTATCATACTCAGACTCACCCAAAAGACTCTTAAAATCATGGTTAATACCTAGATCTCCAAGCATCTTTCCACTATAAAGAATGATGTTTAACTGTTTGATGGAACCATTTTATGCATCTATTGATATATTTGATAAATCTATTTGATACATCCTTTGCTTGCTTGTTTCTAGCTGGAAGAAAACCTCAAAGCAGTGGGTGGCAAAGGAGAGAATCAGTGCGAGAACAATGTCAGTGGTAAAAAGAAGCCTGGATTTTAAAACTCGCAGCTCACTGTAGGGTGAGGCTGCTATCTCAGAAGACAGTCACCGGGTAAGCCTGAGCACAGGGAGCAGATGGAGTGCCTCATCACTTGGCTCTCCTAAACCTTCACCTATGGCCTCTCTTCTTCATTAAAATAAAAACTATTTCCATGATGGAATAATGGCCAAACGACTCACATGGCAAGAGGTCAGCACAGAGCCACCCTTACTCACATTTTGAGACTTAAATGCTCAGGTTTCTGATAAGAAAACCTTCTCTTTGCTCTTCTCCTTCCCTTATTTTCTATTACAGCCTAAGCTCAAACCAGCTTTTTCTAAATCCACGTGATAATAATCTACTTGGAACATCTGCATGCATCAGTGATTTCCATTTGCCAGGTATCAGATCAAAACTGACACATCCCCACAGAGGTTTTAAGAATTCATAATCCAGTTAATAGCCAGAAAACCGCTACCTGATTTTTTGGGCATGAGAGTCTTTCACTCAGCTCACGGGTTTCGGTGTTCAGCTCTTTTGACAGTTCAACATTAAGGTTAACATTCCTGACTATGGAGCAACAGACCTAAGCTCAGATTGGAAATATAATAATTAAGTTTACTGATTTCTCTACAGAAAAGTGAAGGGTTTATTCTCTGCAATGCTACCAAATAGAGCAAAATGCAACACTCTGGCTATGAGCCACTGAAAGTGGAAGGCTATTTAACTCCTTTGAAATGGGAGAGAAAAGCAGCCCCTGTACTTCATACACATGATGGAAATCCATGAAAGAAAGTGGAATTTATTGCAGTAATTACTAGTGGTAGCATCCCTGGACACTGATACCTTTAGTATGACATCTCAAATCCATTTTAACACGTTCCCTGTTTACATGGAAGGGCATAGCTGACAGCTGCTAATGCAGGAAAGCATTGAAAGATTTACTGGTACATATTTAGAGCTCTTGTGACCTGGAGAACACCAACTATTGGTATTTTAATTATTCTTTTGGGTTTTTCCATTTCAAATGTGACTATAACTAAGGCAACCAAACACTTACAAGGACGCTTTAAAGCTCCCAGGTGTTAATGTTTGAAACACAGAAGAAGACTTCCTGGTATACACTTAAAGAACTGCTGTAACATCTTCCCCAAGGCACTGTATCTCAGTGGACAAATTATCTGCTACAATTTAAGCACTGAATCCCTATCCTGTTAAGGGTGTACTTTTATCAATGACAATTTAAGAAGCTTTTTCCTTATAAGTACTAATATAATTAACAGTATAAATAATGAAATGCTATGCACAGAGCACTTGGAAGATGGAAAGCACTCCTTAGGCACCAAGTAGTGCCCTTATGATTTATTAATTCTTTGGATTTCCCGACATCAAAAGAAGAAATGATTCCTAATTCAACTGCATTTTAAAACACCATGCTGCAAGGAGAGATATCTACAGTACTTGGTTGGTTTGCAGTACAGGAGCTGAGAAAGCAAGATATGCTCACAAGCCTTTAGAGCTTGCAGGCACCCAGACACAAGGTGAAATAAAACCCAAGACACAGGAGCACAGTGCAAGAGCTTGGAGAATACTGATGAGGACTTAAGAAAAGGCAGGCGAGAGAGCAGAGCTGCGTGTTAAGAAATGGCTAAGAAGAGATAGAGTCAAGAAAGCAACCAACAGTAAAAGCAAATAAGGACTGAAGCAAAGAGTAAACTAAAGAGCAGCTGTGAGCATTCATGGATTGCTGTGCCACACTGTCACATTAAACAGGACACAGAAGACCTTAATCTCTTTGACCATGATTTTTTCGACTGGTTATCACAACTTCATATGGCTGCACCTGTTCCTCCTCTACCTCAGCAAAATACCCCACCCAACAAATCAAAAATAATCAGAGTCTGCTATTAATACATAAAAAGCCTCTGTAATTCAATCCGATGCTACTTAACTTGGGGTATCATCGCACTAGGTAACAATCCGTGCCCTATTCTGGCACAATGACTGCAGAAATAGGCAGCATACAACAGCTGTCTTGTGTCCTTCCTCCAGCCCCTTTTCCATTTCTTACAGCCTCATGAAAACATTTGGTCAATCCATAAAGTGTCACTGGATGCTGGATTGTCCCCTGCAGCACACCAGACGTGTAAAGCCAGTCATCTGCTTGGTGGTATTGCTGCAATTACTAA